GGGAAGAGGAGAGGAGAGGAGAAGAGATGAGGAGAAAAAGTGAGGAGGATAACTTGAATGTAAACACGGGAGAATGGGGTACTTAGCACTTACAATTACGGGAGAAGGAAAGTCCGAGGTTATTGTGGCAGGTGCACGAGCTGGGAGGTGTTCTTTAGAACTTTTCGAGCTGAGGGGATTATCCACTGTGGAAACAGAAGGTAGAAACAAGAAAGGTTGAAATCCAATTAGATGGAACTCATAACTAAACTTTTTCGTTTCGTGAAAATTATCGATAATTCCGGATGGTCCCTTACAGGTCGAGCCGTGGCTGTTCAATTTATTTGGGAAGTTCACTGCTTTGGAGATGGCGGAATGTCAAGGTGACTTAGTCACAAAATGTACTAAAATTCTAATTGAGTCGGTGCGAATGAGACACTGTTGAGGAAACGAGAGGGCTTGGAAGCTCAGGGCCCTACGCTATGCTTCGTTGCTTAGCTCATCGTGCATGTTGTTAGAACTGATGGAAATATTTCCTGGGACTGGCGCTGACTCTGCCGATCACTGGCGTTCTGGAGTCGACGGGATGTCTGTCCTGACGTTTCCTGGGACCGGCGCTGACACTGCCGATCACGGGCGTTCTGGAGTCGACGGGATCTCTCTTCCGACGTTTCCTGTGACCGGCGCTGACTCGCCCGTTCACGCTTATTTTGGAGACGACGGGATCTCTCTTCCAAAGTATGTTTTTGCTGACGTATCCTATCACCTATTCGGAAACTAGCGTCCATTCTAACTGCATTTCCTCCTCGTCTCCCTATTTCTTTCCAGAAAGTCTCCCTATACATCAGGGAGTCGTATACATAATACGACGAATATTGTGGTTAGCTGTTTGTGGCCAGCTGTGTTTGATGGTACGGCACGGTACGGAACAGATACGGGAGCCAGCAAATACTGTGGCCAGCTGTTTGTGGCCAGGTACGTTTGATGGTACGGTACGGTACTAGACAGATACGGGATAGCGCCAGGCGTGACACAAACAAACAAACAAACACCAAATTAAAGCTGTGTGGGCCCTGGCTAGCGCCAGACGTTACTGAAGTAACGTCTTCTGCATAGCTACAGGAATAAAACCCCACTACAGTAACAGGGCCCTGGATGCACACGCGGTGAAGGACTGGTACATGTGCACCCATCGATCGTTTCTGCTTCCGACTACTCCCGTTCGGCATCTCCTCTGCACCTGAGTACTTCCAGAAGCAGACGTCTGACCCGCTGAGCGACTTGCCAGGAACCATCTGTATGATTGACGACGTCCTAACCTTCGGTGACGACGAACACAAGGAGGAGAAGAATCTTCATGCAGTACTACAGCGTCTCTCGTCAGCCGGAATCACGCTCAACCCAGATAGGTGTGCTTTCCACCAACGTTCTGTCAAGTTCCTGGGCCACATTCTCGACGATAACGGCATTCACCCTGATCCACAGAAAGTGCGTGGCGTTCAGGAGCTGAAACCCTGCACGGATGTCCCAGCAGTACGTCGTTTCCTCGGCATGGCAAATCAGCTGGGAAAGTTCATACCCGATTTGGCAACCATGTCTCAGCCACTGTGTGCTCTTCTGATCAAAGGCCAGGCATAGACCTGGAATCAGCTGGGAAAGTTCATACCCGATCAGAGGCGGATCTAGGGGAGGGCGCGGTGGGCGCGCGCCCTCCCCTCAAATATTTCGATTTTTTGTAGTGCATGCACATGGGCAGTTGCGCAAGTGTTTGCACATGCTGTGACAAGTAGTTTCTAGTGTCAGATAAGAAAGTTCTTCTGAACACGGAATAGTTGTTCTCTTAGACTTTGGTTGACTTTTAGTTTTGAAATTAGTGTTCAGTTGACGAACTTGTATAGCTAAGTCGGTGAAGGGGATGGCGCACCGCCCGCCAAGCGGCCAGGGAGCCAACAAACTCTCCACGGATTTTTCGCGAAGTGAACTTGTGCTTCGCCAGCTGCTCAGTCGAGCGATCCGTCTTTGGAGGAGAATTCGGACCACAGCGAAGATCCTGAGACCGAGGTCTGCTCAGACACTGATCTTCCCCAAATGGAATCCGAAGTAGATTCTGACGACGATGATGGGACTCTCAGTAGTAATGATGCGAGTCAGGAGCGTTTACCTGTTGAAACTATCGCAGATGACGACGTTGTGACTGTCACGAATGTGGCTGGTAGCACTGCTACGCAGCGAAGTTAGTTACTCGGATGCTGTTGATGCAGCTACTACAGCCAGAGTCCTCAATGAAGTGGTTGAAAAAGTGGGAGTGGGTGCATGTGCTAAAATAGTAATTCTACATAACCGCTAAGCCTATGACGTAAAATAGCCGCTATGTCGTAATGTGTACAAAATACATGTACCGCATGGGTTCCCAGTCATGAATATTACCCGCGCCCTCCCCTCAGCTGAACTCTGGATCCGCCGCTGCCGATTTGGCAACCATGTCTCAGCCACTGCGTGCTCTTCTGATCAAAGGCCAGGCATGGACCTGGAATCAGCTGGGAAAGTTCATACCCGATCTGGCAACCATGTCTCAGCCACTGTGTGCTCTTCTGATCAAAGGCCAGGCATGGACCTGGAATCAGCTGGGAAAGTTCATACCCGATTTGGCAACCATGTCTCAGCCACTGTGTGCTCTTCTGATCAAAGGCCAGGCATGGACCTGGAATCAGCTGGGAAAGTTCATACCCGATTTGGCAACCATGTCTCAGCCACTGCGTGCTCTTCTGATCAAAGGCCAGGCATGGACCTGGACCGATGAACACCAAGCAGCATTCAACGCCATCAAGTCAGCTCTCAGCTCGCATCCAGTACTGGTGATGTACTCAACTACCATGGACACAATTATCACTGCAGACGCCTCATCGTTCGGCCTGGGAGAAGTCCGCCTCCATGTACAGTCTGACGGCTCTATTCGTCCAGTTGCGTATCAGTCCCGTTCCCTAACACCAGCTGAGACCCGTTATTCTCAGATCGAGAAAGAGGCTCTTGCTTCAACTTGGGCATGTGATCGCTTCGAACACTTCATCCTTGGCAAGCCGTTCACGATCCAGACCGATCACAAGCCTCTCATCCCACTTCTAGGCAGCCGTGCTCTAGATGACCTACTGCCTAGAATTGTTCGTTTCCGTCTGCAGCTCCTCCGTTTCAACTTCTGCCTTCATGTTGTCCATATTCCATTCTCGATGTGTGTGAAGTTTCGCAATGATGCGCGATGATGTACCCACCTTTCCGTGGAAGGGAAAAAGTAGCTTATCAAACAGAATCCATGCAGCATTTGCTGCCACTATCCTCGTTCTTCTGCATGCAAAGTGGGTCCACATCTACGCTGAACACATTGCCCTCAGGAAACGGAAGGCCGAGTCGCCTGACCGACTGAAGAAAGTTCTCTACGAGGCCTTCTTTTTTCTTCTTCTCTCTTTTCTCTGGCGTGGTTCGGTATCACACACAGTCCTGGAGACCATTGTCTACGCGGTCCTGCTCTACAGAGACAGTAACTGCTGTTATGGTCGTCAGTCAGCTCCTCCAGTCAAGCGAACAAATTAGTGCTACTCAACTATCCAATGATTTTCACCGAATTAAGAAGCCTGGAAATTACGGAAAGTACCTTGGACGCCTGCGGACAACACGCTTTCGCGCAATCGTATCGTCCGTGGTGGAATTGTGCGCAATAGCCAATTTCTCAAGGCACACAGCAAGTCTCTGGATGGCGGTGAGGTGTTGGAGGCGAGGAAAGTCGTTGATGATGCTGGATGTTCAGAAAGCACCATTTGTTGCTGACACATGCGTTCTTCTGTGCTGTGCCTGTGTGCGTGTCCAGTCGGACTAGTATCCATGGCAGAGTGGGAACAGGCCCACAACTTCATGGAAATACATTTCAATAAAAGTTGATAGCATGACAGGCCAATGAGATGAGTGGTGTGTGTTTGACTATTGCAGCGTGGTCTGCCTTACCGGTTGAACCCGGTGACTCACTAGAAGCCCACAATCTCCTCATCCTGAAGATTTTGTTTGGTAAGGACTGCACCTATTCCCCTCGTTGCTTATACAATCTTTGCTCGCACTTACCCCCTTGCTGTCCGCCGCAGTCGTCACCATCTCTGCATGCTTATTCACAAAATTCGCCTTGGTAAGGTCCCCCAGCATCTCATGCTTTACAACTGATCTTCACAGTCTAGGACCACCCATAACACAGTAGTTCTTCCCCGTGCTTCTATGCCTATCGACCTCCTGATATATCTCCTATCTTTTCTTGATCCAAGATTTGGTCTAATTCGCCGTTTCATATCAAGGACTGTACTGCTATCAATGAATTTATCAACCAGCTCTCCCTCATATCCATAGGCAGCTACTGCACTATTATCAAGGCTTTCAAGCGCGGTTTTCTTTTCGTTTCTCCTTCTCTTTTCTCTTTGTCCTCCCTCTCTGCATAACATGATCACATGTGTCATGATCATTCAAGCATGATGTGCTAACTGGAGGGGATGAAGGGAACGGGTGAGGAGTGGCAATATCGCAAAATAAACAACCAGCCACCACATGTAGGCATGCAGCAAAACAATGAGAAGCTTGTTTAAACATCACTCACTTCTCCGAATAATTGCAGGTAAAGATGGCCATCGCGCCTTAGGCTGCGAGTAATCCTCTTTGCTATCACCCTGAACACCCAACACAAAAGAAACATTCCACAAACTGCATTTATATTCGGAAATACACGGTATGACCCTCACGCAGAAATCATTAAAGTTCAGGACTCGACAATATTCATAAATCTGAGGTACTGAAAGGGGGAAAGTCTCAAGAGAAGCTTGACTGTTGCCACCAGGACTCGAACCAGGGACCTTCATTATAGGCCACCGGTGCTCTAACCCCTGAGCTACGGTGTAGCTGTCATCCAAGCAGTGACTGTTCAACATTTTCTTCAGATGCGATAACAAGTGACTGAGTTTTCCGCATTCATAGGAACGCCACCGGCCTCAAGGATCAAGACGCATCCGCAGGAATGCCACCACCAAGGATCAAGGTCTTAAAGGGGAAGTTAAGGCAAAAATCAAAAATTCACCAGTTGTAGTCTTCGGGGTGCTGAGTCGAATGGTCGTGGTCCGAGGAAGCTGAGACGCTCCCTTCCTACTTGAATCCCAATCGAACTTGTGCACTTCCACCGAAACTGGGTGACTGCGCCCTACTAGATGGGGATTTGTATGCAAAATGTCACTAAAAGCGCCATTTCGCTCTTATAAAACCATGGATGACCGCGATTGGCCCATATATTGTAGTCTTCTGGACGCTGAGTCGATTGGTTTTGGTCCGAAAAGGCTGCGATGCAGCGTTCCTCCTTTATTCCCAATCGAACATGGTTGAGCAAGCGGTCACGTGCTCCTGCGTACACCAGTCACCTGGTCACGGTGCCTGCAGGGTACAACTTACTAGACTGTTTGACCTTTTTTGGGTGCAGTCCTGTCACTCGAGTTGAACTCGAGTTGAACCTTGGTGTGAAAGTTGTCACCTGCTGGCGTGGTGACCAGGTGATTTGGGCACCCAGCAGCACGTGACCGCTTATTCAACCATGTTCGATTGGGAATAAAGGAGGAACGCTGCATCGCAGCCTTTTCGGACCAAAACCAGTCGACTCAGCGTCCAAAAGACTACAACATATGGGCCAATCGCGGTCATCCGTGCTTTTATAAGAACGAAATGGCGCTTTTAGTGACATTTCGCATACAAATCCCCATCTAGTAGGGCGCAGTCACCCAGTTTCGATGGAAGTGCGCGAGTTCGATTGGGATTCAAGTAGGAAGGGAGCGTCTCAGCTTTCTCGGACCAAGACCATTCGACTCAGCACCCCGAAGACTACAACTGGTGAAATTATATTTTTTGCCTTAACTTCCCCTTTAAAGCAGAGGGAGGCAAGTGCATCACACCTGCCACAAAGTGGTCAAAGGGCGAAAAATGGGACGCGATAGTTGCAATTATTACATGTACATGAACTAACACGGTCATAGACTGGACATCTTACACAGTACAGTGACAAGAATGCATTGGAATATCAGACATATGTACTTTTACAATTGTTAGAACTTTAACAATACTGCTACTGTTGGGATTCCAGTCCGGTTTTGGACTCGGGCACATCAGCAAGAGGCTGTCAGATGGCCACATCTAAACTTGCACTTCTTTCACTCAAACTTCCCTTCATCAAGCAGCTAAAAAGACAAATGCACTGTCGTACCTTTGCTAGCGGAACCAAGGACGTGTAGGATCTTGATTTCAGACCTGAAATGTTGCACCGCACAAACATGGACGGACATCGAAACAGACATCAGTTAAGCAAAACTAAACAAGATGCAAGCGAGGCAGTGTGAAAATGAGTAAGACAGTGGTGGCCATAATTGTTGTCACACGAGGTTTCTTCACATTCGCGATACTCTATTCTAAGTAGGTACTTGTAGTGGTGATAGGAGTATTGCTTGACTTACCTCCTTTCCTTGACACGATGGGTGACGTGGCACCACACACAGAGGACACGCGAAGCTTCAGCCGGGCCTCAGAATACTCATCCTTTGTAGGTAAGCATGTGCATGAAGACACACACGCACGCACACATGCACGCACACACACACACACACACACACACACAACGACACACACACACACATACACATACACACACACACACACACACACAAACGAGCACCATACGAGCCACACATGATCCACACACAGACGCATAGACACATAACGTTACAAGCCATTCAGACACAAAGACACGCACACGTCATTGGCACCAGCAGAACGGCACCATGAAAGCAAAACTAAATGTGCATTGATATGACAAGAAAACGGACCCACAGCATTAATTGCGAACATGCTTCCCCACAAGCTGCTGTGGACTGCTCTTTCTCGAGTCTTTGTGCAATGCAGACAGACAGTGGGCAAGCAATTCACACCCAGTACAGTACTTACATCAACAGCTTCTTGTGAACGCTGCAAACCCATCCTACCAGCAGTGGAGGACACTAAATCTACAGCAATATAAACACAGCGCAATACACAATACAGTAGCAACATTGTAGGTACATGAGAGCAGTTACCGATACACATGTACGTTTATGTACAGGCAGTTCTCGCCCTACTGCACTGAAGTACATCAACGCATGGACAGTAGAAAGTCTGGTTTCCGGGTGCCTAATGACGGAAGCGTGCCCGTTTCTCAGACTTGTCCCTACCTGGGAAATACACTACACTACAACCATAACTGTAATGGATATAAGGTACCGTATGTCCGCACCTTTATTTTATACGCCATGGAGGTATATTCGATTATAAAGCCAGTCTCAGTTATAAAGCCATGGGCTTCATAAATGAAATGCCATTCGTTTTGTGAAAATGAAGGAATAAGTACTATAATAACAAACTTACAGTCCAGCAGGAAGGGTGAACAAGTGGATTTAGATTGAAATTTCTGTGTGTACTTTGACTTTTATGGCATAGCGTAGTGGGTGAGTCATTTTGCATCTAAAATAGCTAGGAAAGCAGCGGTGTTCGAATATAAGGCCATGGCTTTAAAGGCGCTGATATACGGTATCAACCTCTTCGAATGGACTCACTGGACCAAAACCGATGCCATTCAGAAGCATAACCACCAGGATCTGAAGGTTTAGACCTGCTATGCTGTAAACTAGTTCAGCTGACTGGCACGGAAAAGAAAGCATTTCCAAGGTTTGACTACCGGTACCTTCCTGCAAGGTGCTCAGTTGTGGGAAGTGTCCGGATAAGAGAGGTGCCAGGTATATTCCAACCCTGCACCGCTCTGTAGAGCGTTGTGCCCACGCGTGCACCTGTGTGTGCGGATGTGTGTGCGGATGTGTGTGTGTGTGTGTGTGTGTGTGTGTGTGTGTGTGCATGCTCGTCAGAAGCTGAGAAGTACCGGGCCGTGCCTTGCGGCTCACTCACCGCTATTGCCGATGGTGGAGTGTGCCAGCAGCTGGTCACACAGCGGCACATCCGTGGGCGGCGTGTCGCTCATCGTGCGCTCCAGGAACACCACTTTCTCCATGTTGATGGAGTCGAGTGTGGTCTGTGTGGGTGCACATACGTGTAAAATACAGGCACAGTGCTTGCTTTAGTGTGAGAGGTCTTGATGCGGCGTGTGAAAGCTATTGCCAACAAGGATCATTCCACACACCAACAATTTGACAAAACCCAAGGCCGTGAAATCCGTCATGTTACAATAGGAACAAAGATGTAATTCTTAGGGCACTGACGTTACTGCCGGAACTCGGATAAGCGGGCCATATAGGGAGGGCACTGCAATACAGTCTAGCACAATGCAGACAGGCTGAGACCGAGTGCTGGCAGTACCACTGTGGCCTGATGGTGGCACTAATAGCGAAATTCAGATTCACACGGATTGTGGTCTAACTCCTGGACAACAAAGGATGTTGTAGGTATTATCTGGACTCTCATTATGCAGGCTCATCGTACATTGGCTTGGATAAGGTTTCACTTTTGTACAGAGGCCAGAGTAGCATGGACATCAGCAGTTATTCACTAACTGTAAATATTACTGGTCACAGGACTGCGACCGACTACTAGTACTTACCGGACAGGATTTCGCTGCAAGGACACCATCATAATCCTCCTCCTGACTATCGTGTCCTGGAGAATCTACCGATAATCTCGGCTCAGACTCTAGCAAAGAGCAAAGGCAGGGAAAAGATGTATAATGCAGGTTACTTGCTGGTATCTTGGCAAGATGGACTGAAACCGTACGAGAAAGTTGCCAAACGAAACCTATGATGTTCATTCTTAGTGCGCAGACTGCCCTGCACTCTAGTCGCTGCACCCAATTTAACCGTCACTTGCAACACCTCAGTACCAACCACTTTAGAATGCATTACGCCACCAAACATTACACAGTACTAAGCAACATGTGGATACACCTGCACATGAAATGATTCAAATCAATCACACCAATGAATGGGGACGTTCAACACTCAGCCATATTGGTGCTTGACAAATAGAGAGGCGAAAACAGATGCTGAAGTTCCGAAGCCAGCAGCGACATACAATATTGTGTGCGGGTATGTATGTGCCCCCCCCCCCCCCCGCATGCATGATACTACACAAACAATTTAGCGGGGCAGACCAGATTCTCTCCGCCCCGTTTTAAGTCTGTGCTGTAGTATCCAGTGTTATTTATACAGACAGCCAGGCAGAATATTCTTAAAAAGTGAACCAAATTACTTACTATGTTCTTCATTCTTTAGTGAACAGAACATTTTTCGCCGCGTCCGGCCGGGTCGAGACACAGTTCCCTGATACAGCTGTCGGTGAAGTAAACAAAAAAGGGAAGAAGAGCGGAGAATCAAATAACAACTCTCATTTTGCAAACTGATGATAACAAGAGCACATAATCCCCCAGAGTGTGCAACGCCTGATCCAGCTCTGCATAGGGTCTTGGTCGAGCGTAATCGGATCTTCTGATGTTATGCGTATGCTCCACACCAGCGCGAGGCAGGGCACCTTTTGTTTTTGAGTCTGGGGTATTTTGGTGAAGAACAGTCGCGCTGGAACGCACAAACTGTACGTGTGCTACAGGGTTGTAATAAATATGTGTACCAATCTTGTATGTTTGGGAAGATACGGCCCCGCGCCAGCGGCCAAGCCACCGCGAGTTGACTTGTAAGGACGACCTCCTTTCTCGGCAAGTTGCTTTTTTCTTGGCAGGTTCTTCTTAGGAAGTTCTGTTCTCCTCTTTTTGGTAATCAAACGAAGGTGTCCTTTCAAACTTGCTGCTTTTATGAGTTTGATAAGTTTGTTTCATTTTCGTTTATGCTATCCCGTCCATCCTAATGGAGCCACAGGCAAAGAAGTCGTGCTGCATGACTGCGGAGGATGTAATAAAACGCTTCCTGGATCAGCTCGGATCATCGTTTGCCAGCCTGTCATGCCGACGTCTAAAAACCGTCGGTAGTAGCATTATGTGGACTGAAGTGTCACCTGCTTTATGTGCCAACGTAACCAAAAATGAAACTCCGGTTACTGTATGTCGTCTAGTAATTAAAGATAATGGAGAGTTCAAATTCGAGTGTCTCTTTGGCGAAAGGACTGAGATTGGAAGTTGTAGTGGTGACCTGATCTCCATTGTCCCATATTGGGAATGGATGCTGCCATCATCTCCAACGAAGTTCTGCCCTGGGATTGCTGACTATGAGATCCACTTTGCAAATGTTCCCTTCCAGACAAGGCACTTGCGAACATGCACCTTTCCGATTAAGCGCCACGACTCACACGGCTGTTCCCTATGGTACAAGGTTGGTCGGACAGTGTCGATGGCAACCAAGGCTTCCAATGTTGCCATATGCAGGTCGTGCAAGGACCTTGAATACAACTGGTCTCGGCTTGAACAACATGCCAGTGGCGGCACTGAAGAGGACAAGCTGAAAAGAGTGTCACCTCTTCTTCTTCTTCTGTTGATTCCAAGGCCTGTTTTAAAACTCGAATAGTTTCCTCGTCCATGTCGATTTACTTACAGTAAGTTTCTCCAGTTCAACCACTCCAGGTGCAAACCAAAATTAATTATTGGTTGTTAGAAGAAACGACACCAACAACATACACTCCGAATTTCCTAAAAAGCAGTAAAAGGACTTCGAGCCGTAGGTCTATGTACCGACAAATTATTACCGTAGTGACCCACATTTAAGCCCATGTGCTTATAAGCGAGATTTCGCCATATTTGATATATTTTGAAGGTCGATTGGTCTCACATATAGGCGCATGCGCTTGTGAGCTACGAGTGTGGAATTGCCCTTATTTGTGGGGTGCGCTTATGCCCGGATATAGGCACTTGAGCGTCACTACGGTATCCATCCATGTAGACCAACGCAATGATTATGTCAGGCACTCTGTGGACTACACTCTGTACGAAAGTTCGATACAGTTGTAGGGATGCTGCACACATGCTTTAGGACTCCAGTGCGGGGTTGGTACCACTGCCAGGACCCCAGAAATGTCCTGCTCGCGATCAGATCGCATCGTGCCCAGAATCAGATGTGTACGGTAGTATGAAGCAAAGATCCGACTATGCTCGACCAAGACCCTATGCAGAGCTGGATCAGGCGTTCCACACTCGGGGGGGGGGGGGTTATGTACTCTCGACGATAGTCGTACTATGTGGCAAATTTTGCACTGTGAAACGGATTAGGTGGGATTTGCACTCGTCGCATACTTTGACAAGTTGTCCCCTAGTATAAACAGTACACAGAGCAAAAAGAGAAGACTATCCATAGTATCCTGACATGAATAGTTGAAACGTGCTCAAACTGCTTTTACGGAGCATAGAAACGGTCGCATTCCAGTTTGTGACGCGAAAGGTGTACATAAACTGCGCTGAAGTGCGATGCACAACATCTCTTCTGCAACGCCATGAGTGACGAGCAATGTGATTGAAAGTTTTCCTGCACAAATTCGAATCACTGGTTGTCGAAGCTCCACATCAGGTCGCATCGTGGGAAGTTAAGCCAACTTCTGCAACGAGTGATGAGCGATGGGCATCACTTTTTATATGGCGGCCACACATGGCTCAGGCGCTCTGGCTCACGTGCGGTTTTGGATTGTGTGCGCCACTCAGGATTCCACTGCGATGTGTCGCACATTGTGCATCAAAGCCTCAACGCTTGATATGAAAACGATTTTCGCCCAACACTCATCGCATCGCAGAATTGGCACTGTGCATGGCACTTAAACATCCTTAATACTAGGCCGCTGACTGGCTTGGCAATGATGACACCACACCAGACACCAGTGCCACAGCCCCGAGCATGACATCATCCTCACACTGCAATGATGTAATAATTATGCTCTGAGCATGACATCATGCCTACTCCCTTCCACTAAGTATGAAACACAGGTTGAAAGGAACTCATCGTGCGGGTGCCATAGGTTGTATGCGCACAGCATTATCCAATCCACCATGGAGTACGCTAGCAACTGCTACGTTCACACCATATCACCAACCCCATACAACAAACTCGTTCGATGCTTCAAGCGTAGCCTCAGGATAACATTTGGCTACACACCATACCACCCAACAGCCACCATTTGTCACTACCACAAAATCATTCCTGTCGCCATCCGTTATAACCTTACAATATTTTGCCTTGTCTATAAGTGTGTGTATGGCCGCCGCAGCCCTCTACTTGCCGAATTTCTGTACTTACATCAAATAGCAACCATACGGATGCCTTGACCAGGGGACAGTCCGCCATCGCTTTAGCCCTGCCTAATGCTCCGTCACGGTATGGTTTCTAGGCGTTGCCCTACCTGGCTGCTGACAGGTGGAATTCGCTTCTAGCAGCATGCCGCCAGGCAGCCTCCTTCGCAATGTGTTCTACGCAGCCTCTTTCGCAATACATTCTGGCATAGTATGCAGCCACCATTTTCTTTACTCTATTTCACGCACTTACGGTTTTCTTCATAAAAGCTCTGTTGTACGCACTTACATAGGGTACCCTGTAAAAAAGACTTACAGTCTGTGGGGATTGCCCTCGTAAAATAATAAATCACTTTATCACTTTGTGCATAAAAATTTCGAAATTGGGCGTTTGCAATCCGATCACTGAAAAATCTATATGAGAGTAATTGCGGAAGGATCTGAGCAATATTCTGAAAAAATTCTCAAAAAGCTCCAGCCAAATTTGAATATTTCAAAAAATACCATGAGTCTATATATATTTTTTGAAATGAACTCTATGTATTGGTGGTTTAGCGTGTGCCCTAAGCCCTGTTAACGAACGTGGAACATCTACCACTCATACTTAGTCTGATGATCATGCATCTGATTATGATGTCATTGCTATACATGCGCATGCGCAGCGCGCGCCACTCTCCCACGCGTGCTTTCCAAATCTTGCTTTAGAGAGAGAGAAAGAGAAAAGAGAGACTCCTTTGTCACTTTTGCTTTCCGACGACTTGACTGTTCACTGGTTTGTCCGTCAGTTGTCAATTTCCCCTTCCCTCCCAACCCCATTCGACTGGGGATCACTATCTCTCCGTCACTGTCACCATAATTTCCTCAATCACAGTGTCAGTACAACTCTTGTCAATATACTTATATCGGGTGAGGGCAGTCTATCTCCGCAGCTGGCTCATTTCAATCACTACCGGTCGCAGCTCCTGCCCACGGCAGGCCGACCGTCTCTCGTTCACACTCTGTGTGCTCCAGGTCACAGCTCCTGCGCAGAGCAGGCCGACCTGTCTGTCTCTCTCTCTCACACACACTATGTGTGCACCGGGTCACAGCTCCTGCGCAGAGCAGGCCGACCTGTCTTTCTCATGCACGCCAGCTGCTCCGCCCAATATCCCTGATATGCCAACCAGAAACAATGTGTTCTGAGCCGGGTGCATGCCTGTATGTGGAGAGTGCGTTAAGTGCCTTTTACTTGACAGTAAGATACCTCAGGTAATTTTCAACTTGTAAGCCCGATTTTTAACTCTGTCTGAGATAACTCCAAATAGCTTCTGACTTGATAACTTGCTCTGAAGCTTTGACGAAGCCTGAAACGGGATACAACTTGAAATTTGTACAATTAGTATCCGTACGGACAGATGCATTCATATCTTACCCTTGCTCTTGGCCGGAAAATGTCTGAATCATCTTTTTTCGCATCACCGTTCAGCGGCCCATCTTCATTCAGAGAATCGTCAGATTGTAGAGAGGGCGATGCAGCTGTGAGGTCGTAAGAGCCGCTGGAGCCGCGTGGCCCACTGGCTCTGGACAGATTGTCGGTGGAGAGCGACATGCCGCCTATGAAGGAACCACACACAGGTTGAACGGAGCCAGTATCACTCATACAGTTACTGTATATGCTGTACAGTTTAGCAAACAAGTCAGACAACATTTGCAGGTGCCTTCACTACAACTGCTTCACCTTCACTGCATCACAAATCACTCAAACAGCCTCTCCCTCCCTCCCTCCCTCCCTCCCGCCCGCCCTCCCTCCCTCCCTCCCTCCCGCCCGCCCTCCCTCCCTCCCTCCCTCCCTCCCCCAGGGCAAACTCCAATGAACTCGCCAACCGTGGACTTTTCCTCCTTTTGAAAGGTGCAAACGAACAAGAGAAAATAAAACAACAAGTGATCGTGTTGCTCCTTAAAACAAAGCAGCTGTCGCCAACCAACATTCTGTGCACAAAATGTGGACACATTCATGTGGCCTAGCTCACGTCCAGTTAAGGGGCCGGCAGGAGATGCATAGGGGATGCTCGTACCACTTGAAGTTGGCGGGTCTGCGAAGGAAAACACGGCATCATCCTGCACACACGCACATGCGCACGGACGCATGCACGCACACACACGCGCGCGCGCACACACACACACATACTCGCGCGCACCACACACACACACACACACACACACACACACACATATATATATATAAAAGCATGCACATGATCTACAACCGGGGTCTACCTCATGAATAAAGCCTTGAATATAACTACAGTGTAGCTAGCACTCACTTGCACATTGTTCTTTAAAGACACCCGAACACATTGTTCTTTAATGACACCCGAACACATTGTTCTTTAAAGGGGAAGTTAAGGCAAAAAATAAAATTTCACCAGTTGTAGTCTTCGGCGTGCTGAGTCGAATGGTCTTGGTTCGAGAAAGCTGAGACGCTCCCTTCCTACTTGAATCCCAATCGAACTCGCGCACTTCCACCGAAACTGGGTGACTGCGCCCTACTAGATGGGGATTTGTATGCAAAATATCCCTAAAAGCGCCATTTCGTTCTTATAAAAGCACGGATGACCGCGATTGGCCCATATGTTGTAGTCTTTTGGACGCTGAGTCGACTGGTTTTGGTCCGAAAAGGCTGCGATGCAGCGTTCCTCCTTTATTCCCAATCGAACATGGTTGAAGAAGCGGTCACGTTCTCCTGGGTGCCCAAATCACCTGGTCACCACGCCAGCAGGCGACAACTTTCACACCAAGGTTCAACTCGAGTGACAGGACTGCACCCAAAAAAGGTCAAACAGGCTAGTAAGTTGTACCCTGCAGGCACGGTGACCAGGTGACTGGCGTACGCAGGAGCACGTGACCGCTTGTTCAATCATGTTCGATTGGGAATAAAGGAGGAACGCTGCATCGCAGCCTTTTCGGACCAAAACCAGTCGACTCAGCGTCCAAAAGACTACAACATATGGGCCAATCGCGGTCATCCGTGCTTTTATAAGAACGAAATGGCGCTTTTAGTGACATTTTGCACACAAATCCCCATCTAGTAGGGCGCAGTCACCCACTTTCGGTGGAAGTGCGCGAGTTCGATTGGGATTCAAGTAGGAAGGGAGCGTCTCAGCTTCCTCGGACCACGACCATTCGACTCAGCACCCCGAAGACTACAACTGGTGAAATTTTAATTTTTGCCTTAACTTCCCCTTTAACGACACCCGAACACATTGTTCTTTAAAGACACCCGAACACATTGTTCTTTAATGACACCCGAACGACCTTACAACTACGGGGGCATGATGATAATGCCTGTGGGGTCGCCTGCAAATGAAAATATTTATCCAAAGCAATACGAAACAGAGGTAACAACCTCGGCAATTATAGAGAAACTGTGTGTTGCTCCATACGTGGCCGCGCTTTTCCTGCTGACTTGATTTGACACTTACTAACTCACGACTACCATACAGAGCGCACGAGAAGTCCATCGACCCTTCCACTCCCTGCTCAATGCCCAAAGTTTCAGGATATTCACCCCTCATCAGTTCAGCTTGAGTAGGCCAATGACAGCTGTGCAGCAGGCGCACTATAATTCATGGCGCTGCAGCAGCCCATTTTGATATTCTTTAGGAAATGTAGATGCCTAATGCTCCTAAAACACCACGTGTTCTACGACGTCCGCTGCCCGACTCCAAGTTCGGACTCCAAATCACACTACCGACCTACCACATGATTACGATATTGCATATTTTGCATTTGTTTTGCTGAGGTGGTCAATCACATGCCTCCGTGGTTGCACGGCGTCATATTTGCGGAAGAGAATTGGCGCCCATCATTTCTCGACCGATGGCGCCTTTTATCGATGTAACCGCCTTCATTATTCATATGTTGCCTATTCCTTATTCAATAATGCCTTTATTCCCGTAGCTATGCAGAAGACGTTACTTCAGTAACGTCTGGCGCTAGCCAGGGTCCACACAGCTTTAATTTGGTGTTTGTTTGTTTGTTTGTGTCACGCCTTGCGCTATCCCGTATCTGTCCCGTACTGTACCGTACCAGCAAAGACAGCTGGCCACAATATTTTTGTTTGTTTGTGCCATCGACATGCCTGGCGCTATCCCGTACCTGTCCCGTACAATCAAGAGTACGGTACCATCAAGAGAATGAGTAGATATGCGAAGTGTATCGGGGGAATGCATTCAGTGCAGTAACATTTTGTGTGGATTTGTGTGCGAGGCCGAGATCCCACTAGCAGGCTGGCTGGGCCGCCTGTCGACCAGCCGGGGAATCGCATGTAGGCTGATAGCATAATAATTATAACGTATAAACAGTCATTTAGATCTATAGCAGGGAGTCATATTATGTAAACGACTCCCTGCTGTATGAGGAGATTTTCTGGGAAGAAATAGAAGTAGGGAGACGAGTAAATGCAATCAGAATGGATGTTAGTTGCCGTCAGTATAATGATAAGAAGAAGAAGAACGCCCGTGATCGGCAGAGTCAGCGCCGGTCCCAGGAAACGTCAGGACAGACATCCCGTCGACTCCAGAACGCCCGTGATCGGCAGAGTCAGCGCCGGTTCCATAGCTATGCAGAAGACGTTACTTCAGTATCTCATTGAAACGTTTTTGCAATACAATGATGTAGCTAATCAAAGGAAAAAGCATTTTCATCAGTTCTAAAAACATGCACGATGAGCTAGGCAACAAAGCATAGCGCAGGGCCCTGAGCTTCCAAGCTCTCTCGTTAATGGCATGTTCTGTGGATTTGTAGGCGTGCTTGGCAACTTTAATAATATCCTGCAATATTACTTTGTAGGTGGGTGACTGCTACTTTTTTTCATTAATTAATGGCTTTTTCTTTTACCTCAAATGGTTCTTTACAATCTGTATCACAATTTGTGGGTTCAGCAATAAAGGATGTGACATGATTATGATATTATTGCGATATAATATACAAAATAGGAAACAGGAACAGGGTGAAGAACTGCACGCAATGGCAGGCAAGAAGACCACGAGGGAACTACTGGTTTCTCTCAGCAAAGAATGGTCATAAAAGGAAAGACAAGAAAGGTTGCAATGGCAACAAAAGTGCGGAACGAGCATCATGATGCAATCCAGCAGTAATAAAACTATTCAATGAAAATCAAGAATATGCGGGCCTGTACCCTACAGTATCACCAGTGATCATAGTATTTGGTCTGCTGGAGCGCCATTAAAGTGCTGCCGCAGCACAAATTTCATTCGCCTACTCAAGCTCAACTGATGAGGGACGAATTCTCCTACTCCCCTACTCGAACTCAACTGATGAGGGGCGAATTCTCCTACTCTCCTACTCAAACTCAACTAATGAGGGGCGAATTCTCCAACTCCCCTACTCAAACTCAACTGATGAGGGGTGAATGCCTCAAAACACTGTGTATTGGGCAAGGAGTGGTGCTTTCTAGAAGGTTTGCCGAGTGGAAGGTTCGATGGACTTCTCGTATACATATCCTCTGTGTGGTAGTCAGGAGCCACTCCAGTGTCTATCCCAAACAACGTTGGTAATTTGAGGGAGGGCGTAACGTTGCATGTGCTGTTCGCTTCAAAAGCAAGCTGAAAAATATCAATGCTCTTTTGGTGCACGCAATACTGAAATATCACTGCACTGTCTCATTTTGAAGAAGGACCTGTCCCCTGGGTGTCCGTGTGACAAGGAATGTAGCTGTGCAATTATAAAATACTTATATCAAAGGTTCCATCAGGAAATCCAGTACCCCACCACCAATCAACAGTGATGGACAGGAGCTACACTCATCTATCAACAGACCTGATAGTCTTGCTCAGTACTGTGCCACAGCGTGCAGTCCTCGTGCGGAAGAACTCGTGCATGACCTTCCTGAACAGTCGATCCTGCACTTATACTTCTGCCGCCCTGTTCGTTCTGTCTCGGTCTTTTTCTTCTCTTCTTTCCCGTCCTGGTCGCCCTGGCCTTGTCTGTGTCTTTTTTTGTCTTGCAATATGGCTGTCCGCAGCCAACCCTGCTCTGATTATGGCTGATGTGATGTGCGAGAAAGAACTTTCCTTTTTGCGAATTGGGTGTGTGGGTGTATGATTCTAAAATTATACGACTTACCTGACTAGGCGCTTGCGCAAACTGCAGATTCTGTCTCTGCTGACGGTACACGCTCTGTAGGGCCTTGATGACCTCGCCACTCCGGGTGAAGTAGCGGTACGTTGTCAGAAAGGTGTAGAGAAAGTCGCCCGCCTGGAAACGCTCTTCTCCGAGCTGCAAGAAAAGCGTTTCCAACGCAGCAGCCTTGACCGTCTGCAGGGCCGATCAAGTAAGAAGAAAGAAGGCAATTCTTAGTACAGCACTGCACAGCAGCACTATGTCATATTCATGATCTCTTGTATCATATCAAGTACCATACACGATACCCTTCACATAGGCCATATTGAATATTTTATTGCAATCAAGTAGTGTGTAGGAAATGTGCTAGTAAACAAGCCTTTGTCCGATGAGAATTTCCTGTTGGAATGTGTGAATCAGCAATTTCACACTGAAACCATGATCAGGACTGCCTTGATCATGTGTTTGCACTTTGTAGCACCAATATGTTTGCTGTGAAATGGCTCATCCTCCACAGGACACTGACCCTCTTCTGCGATCGCTTCTTTGGCTTCTTCCTCTTCTTCTCCTCGTCGGCTATTGCTTCCTTGTCAAAAGTGCCTGTTTCACATGTGTGACTACGAAGCCGGCTGCCAGGACCGTTCTCAAGGGACGGCGGCAGCTCGCTGCCAGGTCGTCCATTGGCCACTACCTCTCCATTTCGTTGCATCGTTGAGGTTTCTAAACACGTGCACACAGCAAACAACACGATATTGAAACCACTCCCGTCAATGGTCTTCATTGTGAGTACACACAGATTGCTCAATATAATATTTCATTGATTACTCTCAGGTGTGTGAGTGCAGTGGCGTACCGTATTTCCCCATGCACAAGCCGTGCTGCCGTTTTACACTAAACTTCAAGGCCTGAAGAGGTGCGACTAACAATTGAGCGTGACTTCCTAACTACGTGAATGTATCACGACAACATTATGCCTCAGACCTGAAAATGGGGTGCGACTTATAATTATCGAGTGTGACTTATATCCGGGATGTGTGGTAATTCCTGGCCAAAAATCTGTAACGCATTCCCCTGGTGAATTTTGGTAGGCTATGCAGTGGCGCACCCCTCTTATGATCTAGTCAATTGATCAACATTACCTAAGAGTGCCAGCACATCCTGAAGTTCTGTTTACAGTCAGTCATCGTAAGCATAACGGGCTGCCCACCGATACCAAATTTGGTTGGTTTCCATCAAAACAAAAGAACGGTCTTTGCTTGGGGTGAGTCGGTTTGGGGCTTTCGTTTCAGAAAGTAATTCTTGAATGCACAAAGCCCTCGGTCAAACTGATGGTGCTGAAGAGTGAAACTAAGATGATCACTCCCAGCTGGTTTTTCGGCAGGGGTGGGAATTAGATCAAGGCAATCAAGTGCAGTGCGTTGTACAACGCGAAAGATCAGACTTGGCGTGCTGGATTTTACACACTTTCATCCACATGCATGCCTTGCACTGGCATGCGTCATGTACAGCAGTGCATACGTCAGCTCAACACCGTATTTCTACGTACAATGTACGTGCTGTAGTCGCTTCATAGGTATTCAACATGGGGCAGAAAGAAAAGAGGGGGCGTATCGACAGTACTTTAGCGTACATGCGTGTAACTGACAATGCATGCTGGACTTCTACAGCATGCAGCATGCAGCAAGCCTGGTTAAAGCGACCACCTGCCTTTAGCGACAATGTTTTCAAACATGGCCAGTCCTGTGAAAGAGCATGAACCACATGCAGTGCCCAGCTGTATTGCGCGACCAGCAACTGATGTTTTCGCACCCCAAACGCCATGTTCGACCTGCACACAGTGACCATGCGCACAGGCAGTGGCCTGATCCGGCAGCTGTCCTGAACGACCAAAGTGGCAGTCTGCAGTCCAAATATGGCATGTCCCAGTGCAATTCGGTCACAGCTCCAATGCATGCACGAGACCTGGTTGGACAGAACAATACTCAATAAACCGTACTATCTCCATTATAAGCCCTGGACTTATATTTTCCAACCAGTCCGGCTTGTAATAGAGATAATACAGTAAAGTTGCAAATTGTGCAAGCGCCAGAAAACAGGTACCGCAAGAGTTGCATCTCAAATGAGGCACAAAGTTTAACGATTTAACGCGAAAAGTCCACCGCTAACCTAAAGGAAACGTAACCTGAAACTATTCACATTCTCTCCCCTGAACTAGAGAAATAAATGACCGGGGTGTGATGGTAGAAGGGATGATTGAAATTTGTGCCCGCTAAGGCTGTCATCACACCATGGTACAAAGCGCTGCGTCTACGTCCACGTAAGGAGTTTTTGGTCGGTTGTCATGATGATCCGTATACGGGGTGAAAACGGGAGCAGAGGAAACGGGAGACGTAGACGTGGTATGGAGAGGGGGGGGGGGGGTATACGACTTTTTGTATGAACGTGCGTATCTCCCCCAGCCTTTTTTCCGAGCGACCCTGTACTTCGATGTACGTGCGTTCAAATTTCTCCAAAAACCTGACTGAGTGTACGCGTCAAGAACTGTGCCCGTCTGATGACACAACCACCCGTTTTGGTTTTTTCACCATAGACGTAGACGTAAACGGGAGTCGGAGAACGTAGTGTGATGACGGCCTAAGTGGGAAAATGACATGTTGTTAAACGTTCAGCACTGTAGTTGTGTTCAACAGCATGCGACTCCACTCAAGATAAGTGGTAAGAACGGCACAGTCTGCCCTTGTGAAGGATATGCAACCAGATCTGAGGAAAACCACGTGTCTGCCCTTGTGAAGGATATGCTATAGATCTGAGGAAAACCATGTGTTGCTTCTACAGGGGTTGTGCTCATAAAAGTTCAGAAAGAGAGCCTTTTGTCAGCAGTAGTGCACCTTGGTTCATTATTCGCTAGAACGAATGCAACTGGGTCTACAAGACATGGACTGTCTCTCTGTCTACATCTACACACTTCTCATACTTTCTTGCCACTCAGACTGGGCTGTTACTCGCCTCCCAGCTGTGCAGCTACGTGCATGTGCCGATGTGGCTGTGCTGTATCTGGATGATAAGCCAGCTAGGACTGTAACGTCTGTATCTCAGCACTTCATCTAGCCCCACGGATCAACTCTAACAGCAGTTTGGAGATACATGCACATGTATATGTTGTAGGGCTTACCCCATGACCTGATAGCTACATGTATGCCCACCATTCCACCGACTATGCTGGCTGCCTTACAACAAACTCATAGCTGGAACTTTGTGCAAGCAGTTGGTTTATATTTCTCCCTTTTGAATTCTGAAGACTTCCTCCCATTGATACTAGGTGTGAATGAGTGCACATTTTCACGAATCAATCACTTGTTCATAATGATCGATCAAGGATTCCATGTCAATGGAAAGGACTGAAAAGGTGGCAATATTCGTGCTATATTTCTTCATACGATGTTTAGTGGACTGTAGCCCTACAGCTTCCGGGAAGAGGCAAGTTCAACACTACGCTGACAGACTGTGGTGAGGTGAACTACTTGGCTTGAAAAAAAGCTTGATTGAAGCATTATACAAACTACGGATCCCTGTGTATACAACCCAGGGAATTGTGCTACACTTGACAAGCGATCGAATGCAAACCTGTGATTTTTCACTCGATACAATTTGTCCGAGGGAGTATCCGACAATACGAACTAATTGTTTCACCCCTAAATATCCTATTGTAAACTGACTGATTGACTAAAGTCGCAGGACAGGAGCATACTGTCCCCACGTTCGATGCAAGAGCAGTGAATGGTGCCTTACCACGGATACTATCTGACGGGCTGATTTACAGAAGCTGACCTCAGCCGTCAACCCAGCAGCGCAGAATGCCGAGCTGCCGCACTCTCTCCTTCGTTGAGATGATTGCCAATTCTCAGCAGAAACTTCGGGATATTGAAAGTGGCATCGCCAGCATAGAACCACACTCTGCTACGGATGGACACAGCTTTTCGATCCTAACAGCAAGTACTTAGTAGTATCACGTTCCGAGGTTCCGGCCAGCTGCCTACACTTACACAATACTGAGTCACTTCTATGTACATTATTATTTCGAGATAGCAACACGAATACTGTCAGTGACACTGCTGTTTTGGCTCCCAAACGACTGCGGGATAGATAGCCTTCACCATTTCTTTTGAGCCTTCGAGGCCAAATCGAGCGTTGTGAGAAGATGTTTGGGTAAAGCGTTTGTACGAGTGTACTATGCTTGCACCATGTGCACCGTGACTTCAGATGATCTGGTGCATGGTCTCGTGATCGTAGGTCTACCAGCCAGATAAGAAGCTGCTGCCAGTGCTGGCGCCACTGTCTGTGCTGGCCAGCACCACAAAACAAGCACCAATACTACTGCAGTGTAGCTTGAGACTGTGCGTACAGCTAGTACAGCGGCTTTACCGCATGTCTATAATTGTACACGTTCCCATGCGTACCGTTGCCACGTGTAACCACTGGTGCACGTGACCAGTGCGGATGCACTTCTACGGTGCAGGTGATGCAACGATGTTGTGCTCGGGTAAACATGTAACAACTAACATGGTATTTAAAATAGGCATGCAAGACAAGTGACCCACGCCCTCGCCCACCAGGCATCACGGCATCATCAAGCACCATACCATGAATTCTTGCTTTCTGCCTCTTGCGTGCGTGACTGACATAATACAGTCAACTCCTGATACAACGACACCATTGTGCAGGAGACTCATTAGTTCGTTACCTGGTTTACAAACAACAGAAATGCAGCCCGGTCCCCGGCACACTATACAAACAGTCAACACTGAGCAAGTAGTTATGACTGACATGTAGCCAATGACTGTCTGCCGGAATGCAATTGGTTTACATGCGGCCTTTCAAGATACGGTTCGTCATAAACGAAAATAATTGTTCACCACAAAGGGTCAATTTCAATTCTGTATGGGTTCTGACCAGGAGTAGTATAATATTATACTACTCCCGGCTGGTTCTGACCGCTCAACTTGAACAGGAACATGAAGAACAGTTTGCTATATTATCCGATGAAATTCGCTATGCGATTTCGTTATAAGTGGAGTCGACTGTATAATGCAGTTATGCAATATCATGGATCAAAATGAACAAGACCCAACGCTATCATCATTCCACATGCATATAACATATAAGCCAGGTTATGAGCCGACCTATTGACCTCATATACATAGGCAGGGGTCACAGCATCGCCATAATTATGCATGCGGCCTGGCCAGCTTACTTCTCAACACCAGCATGTAGCTGCATCACTGTGCACACCTGCATGCTGTGAGTTATACCCAACCAATGGTGTTTGTACATGTACTGGATATGACACTCTGGTGCACACACCTACCGTACTCGTACATACATTGTTTCGCGCACTTCCACCGAAACTGGGTGACAGCCAGGGAGTCGTAAAATACTTTTTTTACGACTCCCTGGTGACAGCGCCCTACTAGATGGGGATTTGTATGCAAAAATTGACGTCACTAAAAGCGCTATTTTGTTCTTATAAAAGCACGGATGACCGTGATTGGCCCATATGTTGTAGTCTTTCGGACGCTGCGTTGACAAGTTTTGGTCCGAAAAGGCTGCAATGCAGCGTTCGGGCCTTACTCCCAATCGAACATGGTTGATCAAGCGATCACGTGCTCCTGCGTACACCAGTCACCTGCTCACTGCACCAGCAGGCGACAACTTTCACACCAAGGTTCAACTCGAGTTAAACTCCAGTGACAGGAAATTCAGGAATGCATTTAAACAGGCTGTAAGTTATACTCTGCAGGTACGGTGACCAGGTGACTGGTGTACGCAGGAGCACGTGCGGTTTTCTTAGCTGTTTCAGATGCAAAATGACTCACCCACTCGAATATACCGGCATGGCTTTAATTAATTTAAAGGTACGGACATACGGTATGCCTATTGGGCTACATGTAGTCCATTCAGAAAAAGATGATATCCTAGCTTTTGGCCATAAATGGATCACATTTTGAGTTTTGTCACATTTTTTGGCAATCCCCCCCCCCCCCCCCCCCCTGGAATGCTCTTCTAATTGGGTTTTTGAAGTATATTTCTCCAAAGAGCAAGCCATAACAAGAATAGGATTTCGGCCAGGTTTTGCACCCAAAGCACTGAATTGGGGAAAATCCATGAAAATCCAGGCCATTCACTCCACTTGCATAACAGTACATTTGAGGCATCTTTTTACCTTTTTCAAGTACAAATCTCGCGGCACTGCACAGTGTACCACAAAATCACAAGAAATCACCAAATACAGGAGCTCTCCAGAGCCAGCGCTCATCTTTTTCTGAATGGACTGTAGACTATGCTTTCCTGGAAGCATATGCGAAGTTGTACACTGTGGTGGTCTTTTGATCTGTGTATAACTAGTATCAATGACCAAAGTGCCATTCAATTGCATGTACGGGTATCTGACATGTAACTTCTCAGACACATTCTACTTGACTTGACGGATTACAGACAAACTTTTTTTAATTAACTGCTGACCTGCAGCATAGCTAGGGTTAAAAAATCAAGCTAAAAAAAGAAAAGAAAATGCAAGATAAATCCAGCTTGACAAAAAGTTCAAGATCACTCCATAATAGATAACTCAAGTCCAGCGATCAAAGGGAACCGGATACAGTACTGACCTGCCCACTGTGTACTAATACACATGTAGACGAATACAGAAACGTTACAAGCAGAATGGCAGCATAGGGAAAAAACATGACACTCAACAAAGATCAAAGATAAAGGTGACCAGTAAAGCCTAGAAAAGGACAGGATTATCCTAAACAAACAGAAATTAGAAATCTACAAGAGTTCCATGAACTACTGAACTGATGAGTAGACATGAAACACAACGCAGAGCAACAACGAGAGCGACAATGAGAGCGACAATGAGAGCAACAAAGACAAAAGCAACATGTTCAGACATTACAACTGCAGGGCAGGATATACTGACATGACATGCAAGCAGTTACACTGGGATATTCTGAATATGGCCACAGAATGCACAGTTTAGCACTCATACAACCACATCAGTGAGAACTTTCAAGACAGCACTTCGATACTGATAAGAATTACAGTTTCGAAGCAGGACTATCGGTGAAGATGCTTTGCTCTCAGCGAGAAGTGATAGCCATGACAACAGAGCAGGAAGTCCACAAAAGCCGACAGCAAAGCTATTTCCCCGACCAAGAGAATGAACGCCGTTGCTAACAAAGCCAATAGTAGTCCTGCATGGCGGCTGCGACGCACAGGGGATGGTTTTGCTGGCGTCACTGATACACTGGACGGCAACAGAGTTAGACTTGGGGTTGAGTCTGGGCTGTACAGGACTTGGCGATGACGACGCCGAGGACATCTTCAGATCTTCTGCAATCGGCATGCTTATGGTTGCACCATGTACAAACACGCCTCGGCCGGAGGTTTCCAGACTTACAGGCACAAAGGAGTTGGCTGTCGTTGCAGCAGCGGCAGTACATGCTTCCTTCAAGCTGGACAGCTGCACAGCACAAAACAAAACACAAAACTGATGTGATCGATCACAAGTTCAGAACAGGAACCTACATTCAGAATCAGAAAGAACGAACTTGGATGGTCTGAACTGAATATAATTTTTTTTAAGTGATGTTCAAATTCATGTGGGTTTGCAATCTGTAACTCTATACATTGCAATGCATAAAGTGTGTACTGAATACGTAAAACATGGTTGAACAGCAAATCACCACATTTTTTCTGACCTCGAACTTGAACAAGAAGAATGACATGGCCATTCTGAAGAGGTTGCCAGAAGGTTAATATCAAAAAGTCCACCAGTCATGATTTGTCAAGAAAACCCAAGGCCCATCTTCTTCTGAATGAACTGTAGAAGAATACATACTGAAAAGTAATATTGTACAGTACCTCTAAGAAAACAGAACTAAACGCATATGCTAAGGGTATCGACAGGCCTGCAAAGTGTGTAGTCAATACACATGCACGCACGCACACACGTGATTTGCTTACCTGAGATCAAAGTAATATAGATACTGGTTTGCTCCATTTCGACACACTGCCGTCTACCAACACTCTCACAACACTCTGACATAGACTACCAGCTGCACCAGGAGCACTCATGCTCAACTCCTCACACCGTTTTTTTCTTCTATTTCTTCTGTGATGGTGTACACCTAACAGTGATATTCACAGTGATATCTTTAGCAGTAAATTACTGAAATATTATTATTCTCATGTACTAGTATTTCACAGTTCTCTTGGAGACAAGAAAGAGATTAACGCGCACCAACCTGACAAGCAGCGCACCTGTCGCTGCTCGACCAGCACGAAATAATCGCCCGTTGTAAATCCTGTCGTGTAGTCGACAAAATCCAATTCAAGCTGCCAGCGAGCCTCTTCGCCGGACTACAGTAAAAGCAGGAGTCCTGAAGTGGCCACAACCGCACGCTGGACTGCGTGATACCCTTGTAGATTGGAGCATCATTGGGTTGGAAGTGTCAAGGCAGCAGATTTTAGATGGCTATGATGAGATGGATCGACGTTGTCAAGAAAGACTTACAATGCATTAATCTGTCGCTTCTGGATGCTGTGCAATCTGCTTCTGATAGAGCTGCTTGGCTCGAAATTGTTAACAGATGCGTTGACCTCATGCAATGAGTGAAATGCGAACTGTCATTATTATTATTATTATTATGATGTTGATGTATGTGAAAAGAAATAGGATCTATCCAAGCACTGCGTCAGCAAGCGATGTACTAGTTTTGCAAGTGGGCTTGAGGTGAATTTTTCACAACGTGGACGTATCAACACCGTGGTCAAATCCTAATCACACCATCCTCAGACGTGAGCAACTGCAGAGATTGAGAATTCTGCCACTGAGTCAATGCTAAACAGTACCAGAAAGCGATCCCATGTTGATGGAAAGGCTTGTGACACGAACACAGGAGTTTTGGAAAAGAACGCCGGTATCCTTTCTTGATTTGGCCCTTTGTGGGCATGTTCTGCCAACTGGGCTAGCCGGGTAAGACCGAAGGGCCAAGATTCTAACAGATGCAGTATTCTTCAATCGGCTTCTTGCTATTTTCTCTTCGCTCTGGTCCTTTTTAAAATAGTTATTTTACCGCTAAATGCTGAATGTAGTCATTGCAAGAGCCAAACACCCCCTTACTAAAACCGATGTCCCACGGAACTGTACATGGGACTCACTTGTTGACAGAAAGATACTGGCTGTTGTTTCATTGGACCGGCCTTGCCAAGCATTGATACCAGCTTGTTTAGCTGACGCAGGATAGACGCATCACGTAAGATGCACTCTCCTGGAACACAGTAAGCAAAGGTATATGTACATGCATGTACGGCCTGAAACGAGCAATGCCATAGAATGTGGGGTACTGCAAGCATAACTCATTAACCGGTAGCAATATGAATAGAATTTGTGCCACTACTTGTACTGGTACACATACAAGTACTTCAAGTACATTGTATCTGGACGCACTCGTGCAAAGCTCGCTGTGTTTATCGCAGTTAGAGCAGCACTCTGACTTTGATGCTTTGAGCTGGGTTTTAAATGCTTTCTTGCTCATTAGACTTCATTGCAATCGGTTCAGCTAGTGACTCTGAGCTCCGCTGATGAGACCTAACTAAACTTTAGTAAAGTAACTAAAGTAACAAGGTGGAACAGCTAGCTGTCCGAAGATTGAGTACAGTGTATCTTGGCACATGTAGAAGTAACAACAGAGCACTAACTATGCCAGACAAAGTTACCGGTACTCAAAACAAACAAACAACGATGGCTTATTCAGACCCTTCTACAATGATATCACGTACCTTTAGAAGAGGAATCCGAAGGAAATGCAGCCAGCACATCTTCCCATGCAAGACGAAACGGACGTTCGATAGCAAGCTGCGGAAACGAGACGCGTTTCGCTGGTGGGTGGCGTAGATACACTGCTTCGGCGGCCAAGTGCTCTGCGTGCGCATGCCGCCTTCCTGCCGTTGTGTCAAAGCTGTCCTGAGGAAAAAACGGTATGCCCGCCTCCAGTTTCAATTGCCGCAGCTCTTGCTGGCCACCAGTGCGCACACCATGGTAAACAAGCGGAACCCAAAACGCCATTGCCCACCCAGAGGGTATGATGATATCCCAGCCAAATCCTATCAAGAAAGCAACACAGAATGGAAGACTCGGAGTTAAAACACTTTTTCATCCTCTCATTGTTTGAATTAGCTCTGCCTTTCGGTATTGAGCACTCTATTGGACTGCCTGGAACCTCTCTGTTTTACGGATCAGTCAAGAAAGGTACTGTTGAGATATTTCGGCATTGCCCACAAAAAATGCACCCAATGCCACAGATCCATCATGATTAGAGACAGAAATGGTGCTGCCAGAACAGTCCTCAACACATAGGATTTCTCTGCTTGCAGGGAGACCACTACCCCCCCCCCCCCATCCCTTCCACCTTGCATATGCATACCTACCTTGGGAATGACGGCATAGGAGAAGCGGAACCATGGAGTGGCTCAGAGTGGAAACGGGACACTCTTCCGGCGATGCACGCATAGCAGTGCGCAGCTTGTTGAATTGTTGTTCACTCAGCTTGGTCTGTTTCACCTAGACAGAGCAAGACGAGATAAACAAGACAAAAGTAAAGTCATGGTACAGCGAAACCTGAGTCATGTACCTTGAATACCTGCACCTCACTCACAAAACACATCGGGTACAAAAGCAGCTCCCCCCCCCCCCCCCCAACCCATACTCAACACACATACCCACCAGGGAGTTGCAAAATACAGAAAGTAAAGATACGTAAAGTAGTTCACGACTAACTGGTATCCACGCACTCCAAACCAAAAAAATCAGAAGGGGAGCTACGCATAATCTTCCCGCCATTCGGATTCGCAGCGTCCAGCCTTAGGGCCTGGTCAGACTGCGGCAAAAACGAAATAATCCTGTGATTATAATCCGAATCTCCATAGTAACTTGCCGCCAGAGCGGCAAAATCGAGAGTTGATGCTCCAAAAAAAAGCAAGAACGGACCACGCTTTTCCGCTCCAAACAGGAGTTTGATGCTGATACGCCATTGACGCTGATATTCACTTATTTTTTCATCTCGACATCGAGGAGCTAATTGGCCGCGCACAACAACAAAACTCATAAGGATGGTTGCAAGGATTGCACTGAAGGTGTTGGCTATCCCCAAGGTGAAGGAATTTGACGTCGTTCGTGGAGATTACCACTTGACGCTCGAAATGAAGTTTGAATTTTCATTCTCCCACCCTCCGACTCGGGTTATATCCTCTACGTATGTTCCTCTATGGATAGACATAGCTGCAGCCCTTTTACGGGATAACGTGTCCCGTAGTTGGCAGGTACAATCAGTTCTAGTGCACGTGGGAGTATGACTGTACGCAGTTAATGACCTTTTTTGCCGGGGCTCGTATCATGCTGTGTAAGGGCCTGGTCAGACTGCGGCAAATTTTCGGTGCCTGACGAAAAAAGAAAAGCGTCCAGAATTAGAATCGCGATCACACTACACATAGGGTTATACCGGCTGAATATAAATCCCGACTGCGATAGCAGGAGGGATTTATATGAGGGTACGGTATAACCCGACTACGAGGGTCATATCCTACTTATGCCAGGTACCCCTACGCATTTCAAGAACAACAAACCTATTCGGTAGGGGTGAAACGAGTATCTGTTTTGACCAATCGATCACTCATTCATAATATTCGATCGAGTATCCGATTATTTCGAGTATTTTTATCGAAATTCAAAAGGGCTAGATTTGTGAGTTCTCGAGCAATTCGGAAGAAATTATCTTTGAACATAGAACAAAAGTCGCCAACGTCTTATACAGAGTGTAAAGTAACGATTTTCACCAGTACTTTCATTATCTCAAAACAAAAATATTAATAACGTTATTGCCGTGGTGATCGCATTGTCCAAGTCATAAAATACTGACTCAAAGGCACGAATAATGCATGCATACCAGTCGATGAGCAGTACAACAGAAGTTTTTGAAAAATAAAAGGCCAGTACTAAAAAAAAAAAAAAAAAAAAAAAAAACGATCGAGTGCAAAATTTCGAATACTCGCTCGTTTGAGATTTTCGAACAAATACTCGAATATTCGAACTAATCGTTTCACCCCTACTATTCGGAGATCTCCTACATGAACATGTTCTGCTGGTTATCAGTTATCAATTGAAAGAATGGTCGAGCAAGATCAGAAGGAGATTCCTCCGTGGATGTTTGGCATAAGATTTCCTTTCAGTTCCAGTGCATATTGTAACATCTTGTCTCGTGAGCGGTGCAGAAGTCAACTGAATAGCTGGGGTGCTGGAGGTGTCGTTGAATCAAACTTGGCTACCATCACTAGTTAGACTACAGTATGGACTCTTTGGGAGTAAGTGTTACTATAATAATTATTATGGTACAGTGCTGATTTTCACATGCATCTTTATAATCAGTTTTGCTTACTTGCAAGTACAGTAGGTATCGGTTATAGCGTGGGTGTTTGAAAAACGACATTTGATTCTTATTTGAAACTCGGATGTTGAGCCATAAATAAATGTAGAAGAGAAAAAAAAGGACATATGGATACGAGTTTAGAGTAACTCTCCATCACTGTAACATGATACTATATACAGTCAGAAAGTGCAATAACTAGGCACAAAACTGACAGAGTACTGAGACATTCGACGTCCTGACACCTAGCTTCAACACATCTTCGTAGCGCTAACCGACAGCCTTCCAACTTGGAAGGTTCAAGGTTATGGAAAGACCAAAGAGGGGAAGGCAAGCACAACGAAAACGAGCAAAAGCTACAGTCCCAACGGAACAAAGAATGTCGATTGTTACTGGACGATGACGAGACCAGTACGATATTTGACAATTCTTTGTTCCGTTGGGACTGTAGCTTTTGCTCGTTTTCGTTGTGCTTGCCTTCCCCTCTTTGGTCTTTCCATAACCTTGAACCTTCCAAGTTGGAAGGCTGTCGGTTAGCGCTACGAAGATGTGTTGAAGCTAGGTGTCAGGACGTCGAATGTCTCAGTACTCTGTCAGTTTTGTGCCTAGTTATTGCACTTTCTGACTGTATATAGTATCATGTTACAGTGATGGAGAGTTACTCTAAACTCGTATCCATATGTCCTTTTTTTCTCTTCTACATTGATTCTTATTGCCGATATTTCTTACACACGATAAATCACGTGTGACATACATGTACATTGTAATGTATCATATGCACGTGTGACATATCATATGCGCGCACGTTTGGCATGTGGACACGTACACATGATACACACGGATCAATCAGACTCGCGGTTTTTGCTAGGCGACTCACCCCACTGCGGAGCAGCGGATACAAGAGAAGTCGGAAGAAAGAATCCGACCGGACAGAAAAAGGGATTCTCCAATGCTCCCTTGGACATAACTCTCTTTTTGTGTTGAATATTATTGTATGGAGTATGCACAGAGCCCAGATGTTATTACTACAGGCGATACACGTTGCACTAATCTGGCATATTTTGCTACACAAAATCCATTCTTAGGGCCGATATATTCTACTATGCGATAATACTGCTTGTAAGAATGAATATACACATAAAATATGTGTTATGATTATGAAAAAATGAGTGTTCATTCTGGTAGGCAGTATATTCTTGTATACGACCACACTATAACCGATACGCACTGTAGATGCATTTGCAATTTTGCATTCACTGTTTTGTATCACTGTATCACATTTCAATCCATTCTAGCATTTTCCAATCGGTTTAGGTGGATTTGAAGTACACTCTGTATCATAAACTTAGTTACGAAGGAGACAGTCTGTTGATGATCTTCAACTTTTCGAAGTACAATGTACATTGCTGATCCATTCGGGATACTTCGTGGCTATTCGACGTTCTTTATCCTCAGATTCAGTATAATAGAATGCTCGGTAGACGAATTCCAGGTCATTCTTCTTTCCATTGCGTACTGTTCCTCGTCAGTAATGCCGTTCGGTGCGGAGTGTACGCGTGCATGTGGTGTATGTTGTGTCTGTTGTGAATGGTCCGTGCGCTGGAGTACTGCCGCCGTACAAGTTCACTGCCTTTCAGGCAGTGAACTTGAACGATGGCAGTGCCCTAGCGTATGTACCGTGCACCGGGATTTATATTCAATATAAATCCCGCGCGGGATTTATGCTGGCCAATATAACCATGGCTAGACGAGCGCTGATTGGCTGAAAACAGGCCCCTCCGTACCGTACCATGGTATAATTAAAAGTTATAGTACTATGTGGATAGTAGAGCTGAGGATATCGAATGCTCTGTATTGAATCGCATGTTACTGCACAAAATTGAGTTTAGACTGGAGAAAAACGAATGTTTTAGCCCCTGAAATGCCCAAAATGCGTTTTTGGGCTTGAAATTCAAAAAAAAATGCTCGACAGCCACTGAGAATACTTTTTTTTACCCCAAAATGCAAAAAAGTGCAAAACATAATGTAGAAGGGTCTACCCCGGATACAGTCCAATCATCCAAAACAGTCCCGTTGGCTCCGAAAACCCGATTTTGGCTGGGTTTAAAAAAAAGCTACATATCAAAATTGAACTGATACAATTGACCTGATGTTCGATGTTTCAGAGGATGGGAAAGAGTTTGTCAGCTCAAACACCTTTCATATTGAAAATGAAGATCAAATTCATTACATTTTGGGTTTGGGACCTGCTTCTCCATACACTTTCCCCATGGTACACCTGTCCTAATTTGGTAAAAACCAAGCCAAAATTTGAAACTCCCTATCCTATGACTTTCCTGACCCCCAAAGTGGCAAGGAAGAATGGCATGGGTCACACAATGCAGGATGTAGTTTTTACTACTGTTGTACTTCGAAGTACAGTACGGTCACTAGTACCTACCAACATGCATGCAAGAGTCAGGGGGGGGGCAGAAAGTTAGGGTGGGAATATTGGATGAATGGACTGTATGTATGCCAAGAAAACAGTTTACAAACCAACACCACTCTAGAGTACCCGCAGTAGACAGTACAGCTACAGAGCATGCACAACCATACATATACACAGGAGAGAGAAAGAGAGAGTGGGTGAGTGAGTGTGTGTGTGTGTGTGTGTGTGAGAGAGAGAGAGAGAGAGAGAGAGAGAGAGAGAGAGAGAGAGAGAGAGAGAGAGAGAGAGAGAGAGAGAGAGAGAGAGAGAGAGAGAGAGAGAGAGAGAGAGAGAGAGAGAGAGAGAGAGAGAGAGAGAGAGAGAGAGAGAGAGAGAGAGAGAGAGAGAGAGAGAGAGAGAGAGAGAGAGAGAGAGAGAGAGAGGGAGAGGGAGCTGCATTGAGACTCCCTTTCATACATTTACACAAAGAAAAGGCAAACTAACCTGGTGGCGAACATTGCCATCCCAGAGATGAGATCCACAAAGTCTTGCAGGGACATCCTGAACCAATAGCTCGGACATATCCTGATCGGCAGTGATCGCTGACGAAATTGTCGACAGGCCTCTTCGCTTGTTGGGCAGGCCCAGCCGCGGATCACACACCACCAATCCGATGACTGTACGCTGTGGGAACAAACTGTGCGTATGCCACGTTCTGGCATTTTCCTCTGCAGTGCTCTGCCAATCCGACTGTGTTGACCACCATTCATCAGAGCCAGTGGACGATGCATCGGCATCAGGAAGTTCTGCACCCGCATCGTAGCACTCCAACACTTCCTTCAGCAGTGCGGTAGATTTGGGACCGTACAGACTGAAACGGCACAGATCATGCTGCAGACTTGACACAGACACATCAGCGACCTGAAAAGCAGCATTAAACTCCTCTAGGGCATCGTCTAGCATGGACGGGTGTATCCAGAGCCAAAGGCGACGTCTTGGACCAGCGGTGTCGTCAGCTCTTTTCACTCGCTTCGCTGCAGGCTCACTGTCCCCAGATGGCAGTGGCTGCCACAGGAATTGCACTGGCCCAAGCGCACCGTGCGGATATGCATCGCGTTTGAACAGTAAAATAGTGCCCTCTCGCTGGCCAGGCAAGTACTGTGCAGCTCTGATAGAAGGTCCTGCACACAGATACACACACACACACACACACACACACGCACGCACACACACACACACGCACGCACACACACACACACACACACACACACACACACACACACACACACACAATGCATGAAAACACATGCACAGTTATACACACAAAGTACACATACCATAAAGTTGCGGATAAAAGCCGGGCTTAGAAGCATATAAGCCGCTTTCTGCATCAGGCTTTAACGCAAACCAGCCTTGAATGCAAACCATGCTTATATGCACCACTGATATTTTTGCCAGGCTTGTATGCACATAGAAGCCAGGCTTGTATGCACGACACGCGTAGATCTACCACTGAGTAGACCCAGGTGCTCGAAGTCCGTACACTTTTACAGTGTGTGTTTGCCGAGCTGAAACTCACACTAGCAATGATCACTTGCCAGAATCCTGCTCGTGGATGGAAGGTATCTTGTCCAAGTTTGTTCTGAGGCCAGGCTCGATTGAACCAGGCCATCTTTCGATCCGATCTGTTTCTCTGGAGTTCGCTCATTTTTCATATCAAATTTTGGTGTCGCAGAGGGTACTCTAAGTCCGTACTGATCAGAGGTGACTCGAAATACACACATATCTCTGCTAATCGCTAACTTGCAATCCCTCGGTTACGACGAAAGCACCGAAGGGATATGTTTGGCATGTGCCTCCACCAGTATTTCTTGCAAAAGCGTAGTTTGTTGCCGAAATGCAAGCTGTTTTTAGTCGGCTCAGAGAAGAAGCAGCTGCGCTGTGAAAACCGCGGGAAAACAGTGGTGGAGATGCCAGGAGTGTCAACCTTTCTGCAAGGATTGGTGGTTCTCTGTAAATTCTTCTCCTCTGGCCATTGTCAGCTCTAAGCTGGCTCTTGATGATTGAGTGAAGGTCTGTTTGACGCTGTGTCCGTTCGAAATCGGTCTTGGCAAAGTTGATTTTTGCATGAAATGTAACCCAATTTGTATTTCGTATGGACACTCGAAAACCCACTCCCGTGGTATGGGACTTCTGCATATCGTAGATCCCTGAAAATTGGTACGCGAGGAGAACATACCACACTGTCCCCTCCATAAAATATTTGAGTCGAATACAATAACAGAACATGAAATTATGGGCGTACGAACTTAGGATACCATGTACGGACTTCGAGCACCTGGGTCTACCGGTATGGCGGCAGTTTTACTATGCACTGTACATAGCGCATGCACTCTTGACCTACCCAATCCGCGCTTGCATAGAAGCCAGGCTTCTACGCGCGACAGGCTTATAATATATGCATTTGACCCGTTTGATTTTCAGGCTTCTATCCGCGATGTGCTTGTATGCAAACCCGGCTTTTATCCGCGACTTTACGGCATGCAGGATGTACATGTACACGCACAGTAGAGGTCCATATCATCACTGAGCCATGCTTTGTTCTGCTTTTTTACAGGCAATTTGACGACAGGGCTAGGCATGACGTTGGTGGACAGCTGCATGCCTGCATGCAGTATGCTCAGTTGATAAGAAACCTAACCAAACTGATCATCATGATGTCAACGTCGGAGTGCCTGATATTCTGTGGATGGCAGAACAATGCATATGTGGTCTTTGAGTTTCGGGCACCTGCAGTTATAGTCACATATTCACCTTCACAAAATCATGTAAGCACAATTCTACTTCACATTCAAAGGATTCTTGCAGAGTTATCCATATGGTACGTCTTCTTCCGCCTAGGCACTGCAAGAGGCAGGTAAACAACATGCTCTGCCGGGGTCATCACACTACTGATGCTTCATGCTATAGGCTCCAACTAGGTGGAGAGCTCACAACACCTAACTCATTCTCCTGGGACATCAAAGTAGTGCACCCTGGTTTCTGCTGCCAAGCGATCCCATTTCCAGCTGCATCAACAATCCTTACCGCATTTACAACTCGTCAGTGATTGCATCGCCTGGCAAATGTCCTCCTGAGTGCCACATAGCTCGATGCAGCTGTAGTAAGACGCATCCTGCACCCGGAGCAAGACAGCCAATCACAATGCACACATCACAAGAAAATCAGACTATGAACGTCAGGCTGTGTAATGTGGCGACATACAATAAAGATGGTGTCATGCTATCATGTACATGTACAAATTACAATGATGCATTATATTATTACACGTGGAATCCTGATAATCGAATATGGCTTAATCCGAACATACCGCTTAATTAGAAGTTTTTCCAGGACCGATTTCTGTCAATACGATTCCCACATGAATTTTTCTGATAATTCGAACCTCGAACCAGACATGTCCGGTTAATTCGAAGTTCCACGGATTCCACTTACATAGAAAATATGTGGGATTTGTGCTGATAATTCGAAGTTAGCAAAATGTAATTCGAAGTTCACTGTACACTGTACTGGTCAGTTCAGTTTGCATGAGCAGGCTGTGCCGGTCAGTTCCGTATCCGTGAAATCTGTGTCTAAGGTCCATAGCGCAACTCTGCGTGACCATGAGAGCATTTTGATATACATATTGTGTTGTGGGTTCATGTTTGGATAATTAGAATGTCCGGCTAATTAGAAGTTTGTTCCTGGCATTTCGAGGTTCGAATTATCAGGATTCCACCTGTAGTTGCGCAGGGTGAAATCTGACCCAAAGTGCAAACCGGTACGCTGATACAGACCGTCCCAATTACATCACTGTATTTTAATACTATGATGTAATGGGAACTGATCCAGGGCATCCGTTTCGCAAAACAGAGTGATGCAATGTTGTACATGTGTTCGCCCAGCATCACTTGTAGCACTTCCAAGACATTAAGGCTGCGTTCGTTTTTAGCTACCTGGTAGAGTAGAGTAGAGTCACTCTACCGATAGAGGTAGATGGTAGAGGCAAGTGTACGAACGCTGTTCTACCAGATCTAGTAGTTTACACGATGTGTACGTGAAATGTTTCTTTTTTTATGGAGTTGTGTACAAATCCTTGATCTTGCTGGAAATCCCGTAGCTCTACCAACTTCTACCGGATTCTACCAACTTTTTCCCGGTAGAGCCGGTAGAGGAAAGTAGAATATACCCTTTTGAGTAGAATTTTTTTTCAAAAAACGAACACCTCTACCCAAAGAAGTAGTTTCTACCCAAACCTGTAGATCAAAAACGAACGCCCCCTAATGCTAATGATGCACTTTGGGACGGATTTCAACCCTAAATGCATGTGCACGCGACATGGAGAAGTGCTGGGACAGAGAAAAGCAGCAAGCGTAACAGCAAAGCCACTTCAAAATCCAATGAGGCCTTTCGCACCACTACTCTTCAACATCAGTACAATAGCGACACCAAACAAGTGAGCATACAACAAAGAAAAACAGGGTAACGCTTGAAGCAGTCGCATTTCCGAGGCGGTCATTTTAGTGAGCTGTCCGGGGTCTGGTTACACAAAGGTGAAAGTGGGCAATACATGGCACAATGCAAAGCATGCATTTACTAATCTCACTTGCACGTGGTTTGCTTCATATCAACATGATGGTAAGTCACACATACACAAGGCCAAATCAATGGGCATAGTATGAAAGCGAGAAGCACAAACACTACTTACAGCCATCATGCAGCCGCGCGACGTCGCTCGGAATGCTGCCCTGCGGCCCTTGTCACACGGCCTGTCTGCCAGCCGATAACCCCACAGCTCCTTCATGTGCATGCGCTTGGCATGCCACAGGTGAGTCTCCAGCCAGCCAATCTTGCGCTGCCGACGAGCGAAGTCACTGGCCAGGTTACTCGGTCGCCGCTTGTGCCGTCGACTGGGTGCCTTGTCGCCATTGGTTTGCTTTTCAATCTGCGCAAACAAGGAAAGTTCTTGATCTGATGAGCCTTTTACAAACAGTGAGATATCGACATACAAACACAGACACAAACACACTAGCCCAATGCCGCAGCATGCCTATAAACGCTCACAGTTTCACCGTGAAGCGCACAATTTGGTGGTCTGTCTGACAGTCTGACAGAGGTTTTAAAACAGATTTCTCACAACTTCACCCACACCTTGACATGTGCACGAGCACAGAAAGCAATGTGCAGACACCATGTGCAGACACAACTTCACTGAAACGAGAGCACAACCATGTACACTCTGTCTCATACCTCGGTTATCCGGACCCCGAAGCTACGGGCACTTCGGTCTACCGGGCACCCTTCGGGCGAGTTTCAGTGGAAATATTACTACTCTTTTGTCACTTTTTTGTGGAAATAGTGACGTCACATGCCATATCTATGGCCTTTCCCCGTCAATTGTATGTGATTCGGAGTTACGGACATTTTAAAGTTACGGGCAGTACCTGGTCCCGGGCCACCCGGATAAACCAGGTATGAGTGTATGTGCATGTACTCTCTCCTTCTGTTCAAGTCAAATGTCATTCAGATAAATTCACACATTCAAGTGCCACTGGCGTGTGGAAAATAATCACACACACACACACACACACACACACACACACACACACACACGTAGACATGCAGACACACACACACACACACACACACACACATGTGCGCGCACACGCGCGCGCGCGCACACACACACACACACACACTTACGCGCACACACACACACACACACACACATACACACACACACATGCAAGTTGTGACGTGTAGAGACCTGGGAGTGCATGGAAAGCAATGTTTGATCAGTGACAAAGCCATCTACAACTGTAGCAATGACCGGCATCCCTTGGTTGCGAGGTCTGCGGCGAATGCATGCCACACATCACTGTGGCCATAACTAATTACGGCGCTTAGCACACCTCTTCTGTACCCTACACTAGACTGAATGTCATTTGTAGCAAACAACGAAAAGGCATCTATATGCTACGCTGTGCATATCACTGATCTTGCTCAGTACTCAACCGCCAAGTCTTTATCAGAAACTCGCAATCATTGTCAGTCAATCACTGATGGTATGCTTCAGTCGCACTATCCTGTATACTATTATTATGCACATGTACTTTCAGGGTACTCGGTCTGGCCATGGGCGGACCTTATTTCGAAAAGATGACCACGCAATTCGTGCAAAACGGGTTTTTTTCGTCTATGTTCATTCCCAGTCAAGTATCCCATTTGGCCGGACCTCCTGATATCCCGGTGCTACGGCCGGGGTGTTATTACAATAGTATAGTGCACGTATGCTCTACATACTTCTCTCAATGCTGCAGCTCTCAGTCGAACTGGTAATCGCTTGGTATTGTGACTGACAGCCCTTCTTCTCATGTGACGAGGAAGAGCTTGTGACACCCGTCGCGTGCCTGTCGACGTCTTCACTGCTTTCATCATGGTCTGTAGCTCAGACACCCTGGCGTTGGCGAAATCCAGTAGTCCAACATGTTTAGGGGTTCGTGTAGAGTCATCCACTTCACTTGCAGCTTCTGCTGCAGCAGCCTCGACGGACGCTGGTTGATTCCTGAGACGGGCCGCTTTTCGCCGTTTCCTAGATCCTCCATGACTACTACCGTTACTAGCCATATTGCTTTGTTCTTCATTAGGAGTAGACATGGTGGCCAGAAGCAGAATGACTTCTTTGCCCTTCGAAAGGCAGCTCAAACATTCTCAGCAGACTCCCAAACATTTCAAATGCATGAAAATTCAGAAATTTTCATTCATTCGGCCACGATTTTTTTTCGAAGCTATGACAACATCAGATTCTGGAGTCATCGTCATCTTCTTCCTATCTTTCAAATCTCACTCAAATCACGATCATAGAACGTACAGTAGCCATAATGACTTTGTCGTCTGGAACAAAGTGTTCTTGTTTGTAGTTTGGTATCACACCTCACGCGATAGGGATGTCTCTGTTTCCGTCAGCTACATCGACGGAGAAACCAGATGGTAAGATGCTCTATGATCAGGAAGAAGCCTCGTGTTTACTTTCTAAAATGTTCTGTTCGTTTTTTTCTCTTTTTCTTGGATGCATGGAAAAGCTTGACAGTTGAAGGAGAAAAATTGTCGGTCACCCTTTTAACCTACTTCATTACGTGTAGGAAATAACTACCTGTACATGAATAATTGGCGTCAGCACACAACAACAGGACTTTCAAGCAGGCAAAAATCTGCTGCTTGTACATGCAACGTCATTACTCACATTAGTCCAGTACTACCGGTATTCCTGATGTAGAAGGCATGTTTGTCTTTTACAGCATCTCTTTCTGTTCTTTCTTTTTTATGTTCAGAGCGTAAAAGCAATGGCACTGAATGGCTGGTGAATGCCAGCTTCCGCCCTGTGCTGGAGACACGTGGCATCGTGCCCGTTCGCAAGGAGACTGCGAGCCAGAAACGGAAACTGGAAGAGCGAGATGATGAACACGATGTAGATGAATGCTATGCTGAGGATACTGCAGAATCTCATAGACACCACCACAAAAAGAAGCGCAAGAAAGAGAAGAGCGGCTATAGAGAGGAGAAGCATGACCGTCACTATGATGTTGATTCACAAAAGCATAGAGATCATGACAAGAGCCGTGCTCGGAGGAAGCTCATTTGGCTCGATGATGTTGCTGCGGCTGGCTCATCAGCGACGTTTGTTGAGGACTTTACTGGTGATCGTAACAGGACAAGCTACTCGTCTGACCATACTGGCGGTGCTCTGTACAAACGTCGCTTCCGGAACATTTGCTTAGGTCTGCGCGAGAACCTAGAGCTGCGCTATGCTGACTACCGTCGCTCCAAAGACAAGGAGGGCCGCAAAGATCACAAGAGCAAAGTACAGAGCGCCCGCTACTTCAGCAAGGCGGCAGCTCAACGCCTGTCTGCAGTAGGTGATGCTGTGCAAGTGTGTCCCTCGGCACAAGTGGATAGCTCCGATCAGTTCCTGTTGCTTTGTACCGAGAGCAACATGAACGCTGTGCCCGAGGAAAACACAGTTCTAAGTGGCCATGCCAAGTACCATTCTTTGCTCGCCAAAGAGCCACACAATGTGCAGCTCTGGCTGAAATTTGTGGATGATGAAGGCTCCCATGAAATGACAGTTGGTGACACATTGGCCAGCTCCAAGGCCACCGCTGTAGCAATCCAGGAACGAAAAATGGCCATTCTGGAGCAAGCCCTGACAAAGAATCCAGCGTCGATTGACCTTCTACTCAAGCAGATTGAGGTTGGTGAGAGCCTTTGGGATGAGGCGAAGCTAGCTCAGCGCTGGAAAGTACTGCTCCACACCCATGCCGCAAGCCACCGCGTTTGGTCGCAATACTTGCACTTCATCCGACGCGAGGCCAGCAGGTGCGCATTTCGCTCTGTGTCAGCCGCGTTTGGTCAGTGCTTTGACACGCTCTCGGCAATTTGCAGTGGAGTGCTGAAATCTCACCAGCCCGAACCGAACTCTGAGGATTTTCTACTTGACGTTCTCACATCCTACTGCTCATTCCTGCAACAAGCTGGCTACTGTGAGCGAGCAGTTGCTCTTTACCAGGCAATGATCGAATTCAACATGTTCTGTCCTGATCAGCTGCTGGACAAGCCTCGTGGCGCATGCCTGGCGTTCTTTGATGCATTCTGGGATAGCAACGTGGCTCGGATAGGTCGTCCTGGTTCGCCCGGGTGGAAACATTGGCAATCGACGGTAGCTGGTGGAACTGTGTCGAGAGCAACATCACTGGACCTCCCCACTGTCGGCAGCGTAGGAGATGCTGTGCCTGATCTAGATGCCGAGGAGGCACTTGAAGAGGCATTGATAAAGCCACAGCATAGCAGTGCACGTCACAGTGCGTGGGTAGAATGCGAGCAATCACGCGAGTCACGGCACTGGTGCCCATGGACAGCAGATGAGGACTGCGATGATCCAGATCGCTGCGTTCTCGTGGATGACGTCCGGTCGATCTTGTTCCGCTTGTCATCACCAGAGCACCACCTTCGTCTCGTGCTGGATTTTCTTTCGTTCCTTGGTGTTGAGACACCTATTGATATACAGCACTCGGCACTGAAGAAAACCTGTTCACAGTTTGATTGCAGCTCAGCATTGCACCAGCTAACACCACTGCTAAGTGGCATCTACGGTAGCATGCAAGTCCAGACCTGGTGCAGTGCCAGGCAAGGTGTTGCCTGTTTTGCTGGCCAGCCCGTGGATGCGGTGAAGACTGCTTGGCTATCCTGTGGCCAAGTGCAGCACTTTGTTGACTGCATATTTCGCCAGGCCGCCCCCTGCTTCTCCGGGTGCTTACAAACACTGTTGCTTCAGGTTTGGATGCACCATCAAACGCAGCGATGCTCACTCAGTCTTACCTATTGCCAGAGAGAAACGTGGTTGCAGGAAAAGTCTCCACTAAAACGGACAAGCAAGGAGGTCCGTGCTTGGGCTAAGGTGCTGCTAAAACGGCCAGAGAATCGTGCGAATGTTGCCCTGTGGGAATTATACGGACGGTTTGAACTGGCGTTGGGCATGCATGATGATGCGTGCTTAGTGTTTGGCAAAGTTCTCACGTTGGCATCTGCCATGGCTAGTGACTCTGCTAGCCTAGCCACATCACCTCCAGCTCTCATCAAATTGTATAGTACTTACGTACAGGCTTTGCTGACTCTGATTGGTGCTGATAAAGCTGAGCCGAATTGTGATCTGGCTCTCAGTGTCCTGGCTTCATGTGTCAGTGGCAAGCCGTTTCGATCTGACCAGTTGGCAAGCCCTCCGCCATCAACCCAACTGTTGCGGTCTCGACATGCCTTCGAGTCACTTGCTGGTGAGCTTCAAGCGCCTGCAGCGGGAGATCCAGTCACAGATTATGCTGGTCGTGTTGCACACATAGCCTGTCTGCATTGCCTGTTCTTGTACTGCAGCAATGACGACATGTCAGCCGTACAGGAAACTGCTTTCGACTATGCTGCAAAGTTGCGACGTCGAGACGAAGTTGCGTGCTCTTGGGCCGCTGAAGCTGTCCTGTCATTGCTGATTCGGCTCTATCACGTTCAGTTCTGCAAGAAATCACTGCCGCTAAGGATGTGCACAGGTGTGATCGAAAGAGCTCTCCAGCTGTTCCCGCATAACTGTGAATGGCTAGCCATATACTCTCGCCTGCTGTCACCGGTGCATCTGATGTTCCAGTGCCGGCGCTTCGTTGATCAATGCTGTCTCAGACCAAGCTCTCCGAGTCTTGTGTGGGCAGCCTCTGTTCTTCTGGAGCTGGAGAGGTTTCAAGCATATTCTTCTGGAAGCCAGTGTGAGCAGCCAGCCATGCCAGCCAGTGCTCTGAACCGTGTCAGGAACATACTGGAACGAGCGCTGCAGCAGCCGCAGTGTAGCCAGTCCGTGCTGCTCTGGCGGCTATTCCTATATGTCGAGGTACGTGCAGGGTGCAGTTGTTTTGCATTGTCTGCTGGGCCATGTGCTGCAGCTGTTATTCAAAAATCGGACAGGCGATACGCTGGTGGCTGGGCTTTTTGTTGTTGTTGCATGGGCTGTATTCACGCAAGCGTCCATGCATACATGTCTTGTAGGACAGTGCAGCAGGAGGGAGTAATGTTTGTACTTGTATGGCTACTGATTTGTTTCCTGTTCTTTAGGCAAAATATTGTTTGTAACTGCATCTAGGAGTCTCTTTTGCAGCATAGTCTGTATATTGAGGTGTTGCATGTACCCGAAGATGGTGTGAAACGCTGTTGTTTTTGCAATACATGTAGTCATGTACTCTGTGTTTTCTGTGTGCATATGGGCGTATATTCAGGGTACGTTTGGCAGCTCAGAGCGTGCTGTTGGTGTTCTCTACCGTGCCATTCACCACTGTCCAGTTGCAAAGGTCAGTACCCACTCGGTTTTGTTGTTGACGTGTAAACTCCACTACATCCTTCTACTGCATGACAGAACAATCTTTACTACGGCTCAGCTGTGCTAGGTGAAATTCAGCCGAAAGTGCAGAACTGGCGTCCTGGACCAGTCCCCAGCACATCAGTGTATTTGTACTGAAGTACATGTGTATGCCCGGCAGCATTCGTACCGTCTCCGCGGCGTCAAGGGCTCTGCAAGTTTAGGGCACCAAGGATGCACCTTGGGTCGGATTTCTCCTAGCACAACGGTACACCAACACCACCAGCACCAACACCGCGCACGCCACCACCACCACCACCACCAACAACAACAACAGTACCAACACGGTGTAGGTCGTTGCATACTTGTCTCCGTGGCCGAATGTTCAGTGTGCCTGAGTTGTGTCACAGGGGCCAGAAAGCTGGTCCTTGACCGGGCTAGTTTCCTCGCATGATCCTTCACCTCGTCACTCAAGCGCCAGGTGATTGACCTGGTGCCTAAGCTTCGTAGTGGCAGATTCCGTGTGATCCAAAACAACTGCTACACCGGTAGTATTATGAACAGCGGCTTCAGCGCAGCTCGTAATGATGTCAGAAGCGCTGTAGTATAGACTCCTCTGCCCTCTTGAGTATTTCACAAGTAGTTCCATTTAAAAAATAGAAGGGAACTCATGGGTAAGAGTTACGAAGTAAATGTCCACCACTGTAACACGATATTAAATGAGCTGTTAGAAAGTGCATTAACTGGGCACGAAAACTGATAATGATCTGACACATAGCTCTAACACATCTCCAGAGTGCAGATCAACAGCCTTCCAACTTCCAACTTGGAAGGCTGTTGGTTTGCACACTGGAGATATGGTTAGAGCTATGTGTCAGATGTTATGCACAGTTATCACCCTTTCTGACTACTTATAATCTTGTTACAGTGGTAGACAGTTACATCATAACTCGTACCCATGTATTCTCTTCTGTTTTACATGTTATTATTGGCTCAGTATCCGTTAAAGTTCCATTTTGCTTTTGTTTCTCCTATTGTTTCTGCTGTGCATTAGGTGCTCTTTATGGACGGTGCCCGTGTTGTTGCAGACAAGCTCGAAGAACTTACCGACATCCTCAACGAGAAAGAAGTGCGCGTGCGTATGCCTCTAGAGGAGCTAGACCTCATCATAGAGACATTGGCTTCCGCGGAGACCGGTGGCGAATCACGGTAGATTTTGTCCGTACCATCATGGCTCAGTGGACCGTGTCTTGTGCTGTTGACCACATGCTGCATGTGCGGTTGTTATGGACGGTTCTCTCATGTCCACAGTCGCCTCACTTAGTTTGATGTTGATCTTTCAGAAAGTTTGCATACGGCACCTTGATCGTTTTATGAGAAAGAGAACTTTTTAATCCATATTTATTTTGCAACTGTCCTATTTCCATCTCCATGCAACAGTTTCATCTATCATGCCACCTATAGTTTGTGTGTTCGTCCTGCATAGTTCGAGAAATTGTAATGTTTCATCTAACATTGTCCGCCAGTATGTATTGCCTGTGATAGAGTGGCAAGCGAGTTCTTGTGATGCGGTACGATAACCCCTCTGTCGGAAGCCGTTAGAGGAGCAAGTACCGGTAGAGACACAACAGTCAGCTGTTGTAGGGCTTGTGGGAAGTTGTGATCACAGACTAGACACAGACTGTGCACATAATGACATGTGAAACATCACTGCTGAGTGTTATAATGACTCTGCAGATCTGACTACTATACAGTCTACCATGGTCTACACTGTATGCCTCTCTACATTTTTTGTTTAATTATGTTGACGTCAGCAACGCTTTCCCTGCTGACGTCAGCAAATTATGCAAAAAAAGAAAACGTCATTTTCCAACGCGCAAGTCATGTCACGACATGTCAACGACGTCACTTGGTAACTCGCGCGTTGCCACATATGCGAACTCGCTTTTTTCAAAAAGAGCTGGAGACCAGAATGAGCATCAGATCACAGTTTTGTCGAGGTGGCTACCACATCTTGCTGCTGCTCCAGAATTCCGATGTGCTTCGTGATCATTCATCACTAGCTCCTTCGCTCGTTTCTTAGAAGCAGCCACTATGTTCTGTCTGAAGCTTGCTGATGGCGGTAAAGAAATACAAGTACCGGACGGGGAGACGGTGATCGGACGTGGCTCACAGTTTGAGGTACAAAGCCATTGCATGCTATAAACTGCCAATAGTTCACACAATCATAATCAGTTCTACACACTGAGAATAATGAACTCCTATACCTATACCATGTCATGGACAAGCCATCGAATCAACTACAAGGTGCATTGTACACTTCAAGTGGATTCTGCCACGCAATGCAATCCTATAAATAATTATTGGTGTTCATGCTACACGCGTATCTTGTCATTGTGAATCTATCTGGCGTGCACATTGTGCTTTTAGAAATTAGATGTCATGTTGAACATGGCAAAGAATAGGAAAGAGTTCGATTTTTGTTTAAAAAATGCCCGAATTTGGGCTTAAAATTCAGATTGTACGGTACATGCACCATAAAATCTCTACTTGTGCTTGCTGATTGCATGCTCTGTTCCCGGTTAGATCACGGACAAGCGCGTATCTCGCTCTCACGCTAAGATTTCCTTGGAGAACGGTCTCCTCCGTATTCTTCCTGTAAGTATGCTTCTTTTTGAAGTACTCATATCACTTGCGAACCCAGTAGAGGCAGTTTTCAATTGATCGGGGAATGGAACAAACAAGGAGATGTAGAGTCCGCCCAGAATTTTTATCGCTACAGTCCATTTCAAAACTATAGACGCGTACCTAGGCAAAAACCGTTATGCCAGCATCTATACCACATAAAATCTGTGATCACTTTGTGCATAATTTTTTCCAAATTGGGCGTCTGTTATCCAATCGTTTAGAAACTATATGAGAGTAATTGTGGAGCGGACCTGAGCAATATTCCGAAAACTATTCTCAAAAAGTTCCAGCCAAATTTGAAACATTTCAAAAACCCTACGCGTCTATAGTTTTGAAATGGACTGTAGGCGCAAAACGTTGCATTCTGCTTTTTCTGGGCACAGTCCACACGATTTTCAGACTGCTTTTACTTTGAGGTACATGACCAAGGCCGTGCGGGGCGAAGTCTGATCGGCGCGAGGCCCAACTGACCCCGTTGGTCATGACTTGTGCTCATTAGGCGTCTAACATGCAAGAATGCAGTGCAGACATATTGCAGTGTCGTTCACTGTCATTCAAAAATGACTGCATACCGTATTATCTCTAATATAAGCACAGTCCTTTATTTTTTCAATGTACCTCCGCCCCGTGCTATTAATGGAGACGTTCCTTTATTGGAGACTGTTCCATTATTATTTCAACCTCATTTCAGAGGCATGTTGCCATGTCAAATTCATGTCAGACACACACATTTCAGGGTTTTTTCGCCGGTACAGATAATGAATTTACACAGTGTGCTTATAATGGAGACTGAGCACTTTATTTTTTGAATGCCGCCCCAAGGTGTTCTATTATTGGAGACTGTGCTTACTCTAGTGGTGAAACGAATATCAAAACCCAGTAGCCGAATATTCTTCGGCTTAACGAACGAACGAACGAATATTCTTTCGTTAACACAGATGATATCACACGCCCTCCTCTCAGTCATTTTATTGAATATTGTCACTATTATTAGGCATGACAAACGAAGGCGCATATTTTCCATCATTTTTAGGTCAATTTTCACAAAATCCCCAGCTGAAGTGCATGTTACACGCTAAAAAACCCAGCTTGAGACGTGATTTTCGTTCGACCGCCATAACTCCATTCCAGGACCTCGGATCGCGTTCGAGTTGCTTCGAGACGACAGCTGAGAGTTTTCTAATGCCGATAGACCTTTCGATGAAGTGATTCAGTCAAGTATTCGCGAAGTTACGGAAGTTTGAAGTCGCCCGGTAAACTCTGCATACCGGGTTAACGAATATTCGCCATGAGAAATATTCGTTCGAATCTGACAAACCGAACGAATATTCGAATATTCGGTATATTCGTTTCACCACTATATTAGAGATAATACGGTATGCTACAACGCACATTCTGCTGCTCTCAGTCTCTTACTAGTGTAGTTTACTTCTTTTTGTGTGGTGCTTGTACATGTAGTGTACATGAACTGGACCTGAGGTACGTGTTTCTTGTTTCTGTGCCATGTGCTCCATCTGCAGACTCACACAAATCCATGTTTTTATGCTCCCAACTCCGGCACCAAGCGTGAAACTCTGAAGAGAAATGAGTGGAAGGTACGCCTTCAATTTCAACCTGTATGTCTTCACTCTTTTGTCATATGACAAGATCATCCTTTCCCCGGCCCTTTGTTAGAGGCATAGCTCCTGTGCAAGTGCAGGCTGTATACTACTACATGTATATTTGCCGAAAAAATCTGGCCAATGCTGCATGGTAGTCGACTACCATGTGCAGCATTGGCCAGATTTTGTTGGCGAGTATAGTAGAGAATACTATAGATGAAAAAGAACTGGGAATGCATTCATAATCGTTTGGACACTAACGAAGAAACTTGAAGATCGCCTGGATGCATGGTATCGTCGCAAGCTCCAATATCTTATGAACATTGTCCACCCTCACCACATCTCCGACAAGAATATTATACGGAAAGACCAACCAAGCCCCCATTTCGCAAACCTGTAAAGAGCGCCACCTCCTGTGGCTGGGGCACGTTGCCCGGGAGGGACCAGGCACGGCCTCTTTCAAGGCACTGCAGTTAGCCCTCAATACTTCGGACATCGAACGCCCCCGTGGATGACCCCACAAGCGGTGGGTCGACAATGTCAAAGAAGACCTCACGCCTCTGAATGTGCCGATTCAGGAATGTTTCAATCTCGCCACCAACAAGCAACTCTGGTTAATGATCATTGACAGATGCATGATCTCTATATCATTTGTTTATGCAGGCAATATGCGACTTGTTTATATTAATATATTTGTTAGTGTTGGACGCAAATAACGGATAACTTGTAAACCTTTACTTCTTTTGTTGTCAGTTTATATTATTATTATTATGCATTCATAAGTTGAAATGATAACATGTCAACAGTGGGAACAAGCAATAGTTTCCTACCGGTATGTTACTGTATTTTTATCGTATTTGTCTCCGTGCCCACCAGAATCTAGAAGATGGGTCGGTTCTTTCACTGCTGCCGAATGATTGTGTCTTCGACATTGTGAAAGTTCCCGTTGGTAAGAATGGCGATGTCGACACTGACTCGGGTACGGACATTGATGGCGAACTGGAGCAGGCCGCTCAGCAGGCGATGGCAGAAGCGAGGGCCGAGATGAAAACGTCGCCGCCTGGAGCTAAAGATGGCGCTGCTGCTGATGCTGCCCGGTCCCCATCATCGCCAGCACACACCGCATTTGCAGACAGCAAAGTGGACGACAGTACTAGTGTGTGCACCAATGCCTCCCAAAGTTCAGGTGAGAAGCTGCAACTATATTTACTACAGCTGCTGCTGTGTTGAGCGATCACACCTTCCTTGGCGTTGTCTTGAATTTTGCAAAAGGAGGTTTAAGTGCTGTAAGATGTGACCGAGTGTTATTAAAGGCTACATTATAAGTCTCTCTCAAACAAGGACTCACAAGTTTGTTACAGTGCAGCCTCTTCTTTGGCCAACAGGCATAGAACTAGGATGGAAGGAGAAGGAAGATTACACGATGTGACTCGGAAGGAGACTAGATACAGAAGGATGACTCAGCAACTGAAAGATGGATTTAGGGTAGAGAAGGAAGTACACCTACAGCTCTAGCTAGCAAACTATGTGCGGCAGCAAAGGACAATGACAGTATTACGTCTCCAGTCACACTGCCTGGAAAGATGAATACGGGCACTATTTAGTGGTTCGGCCAGTAACTCTGAGCTCCAATGACGTGGCATAGCGTGGTCAAAGCAGCTAGCTGTCCGGAGATTGAGTATGCAGCAGGATAGCTAGAAGTGCCTGCAATACCTTGTGGTAGGAATGCTACAGTCGGTAATGGCTCGCTGCGGCAACTCACGGTGAACAGGTTTGTTTCTTCTTTTTTTTTTTTGGTCAAAAGCTAATTGATCCTGTTTTATTGTCCTTTGTTTTAGGCAAGGCATTGTCATCAGTAACTGACCTCTCCTCAACTAGCAAGGTATGCTTATGAGTTATGAGTCTGAGCATTTGTTTGTTTTCGTTTTTTTCTGTCTGTTTGTTTGTTTCGCTCTGCCGTATGAGCCATGGCTAAGGTTTATAAATTAATAGTCATTTTGCGATGTACAACTGTGTTTTTAACCGTACCCTTGAATTTCATATCAGCTTGCTTAGCAACCATGCACAACATTGTGGGCTGCTCTTGACTTTTCCTATGTATGTGTGTGTGTGTGTTCAGCAACCTGATACAGCTGCCCGCAAATCACCTGGCATGTCCTCTGCCGCTAGTCTCACCACATCCCAGACAGCTTCTTCACAGCCTCAAGCCAAGCGACAACTTCCTGGCTGGATGCTGACAGGTGCAGCGAAAACCACCGGCCGCGCCACCAGTGCATCTTCTAAGAAAACCGCTGCTGCTACATCTAAAGGTAGGACTGTTTTGCCAAATTTGCATGAGCCTGCTTTTACTAGTACTTGAGCATGCCTGTTGAATGTTGTGTAGCTCCAGCTTGTATTGCATATTTCAACTGTCTGTATGTCTGTTGCAGTTTTTTTTCAGCTTGCCCATTCTTTCTTACGATTGTTTTGAATTGCTAACATATGTACGAATCACTGGACAGTATGTTATTTTCGTCTTCCTCTGGTTTGTGTTCTATTAGTATCTTCAGCGAAGGCAGCCAGCAGTAGCACAAAGAAACTAAAAGATTACAGTGATAGTGATGGAGATGACTCTGCCAAGCCCTCTGCATCGACCAGCGGTAGCACACGCAAGCCAGCTGGACGCCAGGGAAAGCAAGCGCGTCAGAACCTGGCCGACTACAGTGACAGTGACGGTGACGGCAGTGCTCCCCCAGCAAAGGCGGCAACCCAGTCGTCCAGTCCGCGTAAGGCTGCGGCTCGTCCGACAAAGCAAGCACGTCAGAATTTAGCTGATTACAGTGACAGTGGCGGTGATGATGCTCCCGCTGCTGGTGCTGCTCCAGCAGGTGGTGCCTCAACCAGTCCCCGGAAGGCCAAACCAGTGAAGAAAAACCTTGCTGATTATAGTGATAGTGATGGTGAATCCAGGAAGCCACCTGCCCGTGTAGCAGCTCAGAAACGACCGATGAAAGACTTTAGTGACAGTGATATAAGCGAAGAAGAGCGCCAACCGCTGAAGAAAGTAAGTGCGAGCAGTCTTGAGCAGTGAAGTACATCTACACACTAGTTGTATTGTCCCACTACACGGATCCTTATCTTGTTCTTCCATGCTCTCAATGTGTCTAGTAGCACCAATTGAGATTCTCCCTGTAGTGATGGTAGAGTCGTGTTCTTGTAGTGCGGCGGCGTTAGTCACCTTCCTGACCTCTTCCTTGCACCTTGTTCACGTGATGATATGCAGAAACGTCCAGACACAGCTGCAGCATCGACTGATGCAACATCGAGTTCAACTCTACCACGGTGTCAGTACGGTTCCCAATGTTATAGGTAAGTGTTACCTGGAGGGTGCCGCTCTTGGCCCAATGTGTGTGCATGCTGCATGTTTCGGACAACTCGCCTGCATTCCACATGTTCTCCTATATGTAGGCATTGGCGGTGGGGAAGTGAAGTTGTAATGTTTGTGCTCCGATATCTCTACGTCCCTGAAATAGGTGCTGTGTTGACTGTACATGTAGTTGTGTGGTGATGCCAGCAGCTGGGCGTGCATCCTTTGATGACCGTGTGGTGCACAGTCGTACTTCCTTTGTAAGATATAAATGCCATGGTTGTATCACGTACATACATGTAGTGCATGGCACAATTCATTGTGTGTGTGCGTGTGCATCGTACGTGAATTTCACTTCACAGGAAGAACCCACAGCATTTCCGTGAGTACTCGCATCCGGACAAGGATGATGACGCATCCGGTGATGACAGTGCAGCTGCCACTGCAGCTGCCAGTGTTCCAGCTAGCCTGCCGGAGTGTCCATTTGGACAACTATGTTACAGGTACGTCCATTTGCTTCACATTCCTCATGCACACTGCATACAGTAGTTAGCATATCTGCTGGAGGTAGGACGATAACATTAATTTTCTAGCCTCAATAGTTACAAAGGCATGATTCCGTATGTGCATGATACTGCTGATTGAGTGGCCTTGGTGACAGTAGTAGGCGTATTGCGCAATAACTTAGTTTGTACCACCGATACCCCACACAGCTACCTGGGGTTGGTTGTCTGGGGTGTTTAGCAGTGCATTGCTGATCCCAGCGTACGCACATACATTACTCATACCTTCCATAGTTGGCAATGTGCAATGGGCTTATATGCTCTATGATTTATTGAATCGTGTTTGACCTCACAGGCTTTAACCCTTTAAGAGCCACAGGAAAATTTCAAAATTCTGCATTTTTTCGTGTTCCTTGGACCATAGCTTCAGTTCTACTCACTCAATCCTCACAATCTATGGCTTCCTGGAAAGGTCTCCACGAGAGGAAGAGAATGAGGTTGATCATGATAGCCAGCACACCGTCTATCCAGCGCTAGATCGCAGCGACAGTACGAAAAATGCCCCAAATGCGTCTAATTGCGTCCCGCTCCAGATATTTCATTTTACTCGATCGTGGAGTTCCCATTTTTTCGCTGTGTACTCTTGACAATATCAACAGTGAAACCCGTGCAAATTCGAGTAAACCAGCGTGACGAAAAGTCTCAAAATTCTCAACACTAAAGTCGCACTGCGCGCTTTTGAAATTGCCGCGATCGCGGCTCAACTTACGAGTAATTTTTCTCAGGAACCGTTGCTCGCAGCGCTTCGTGGATTGTTTCTCCCGACAGGTGAGAGTTTTCTCTTCGCCCTGGATATTTCTATCACTGAATTTGAGCAAGATTGGACTGAGTTACGATCTTTTGAAGTTTTGCACTTGAATGCGTCGTTTACGACGCATTCAAGTATGGGGCGGCTCTTAAAGGGTTAACACACTGATGCTGCGTTTATGATTATCTCTGCAGGAAAAATCCAAAGCACAAGCAAATGTTTGCCCACAATCTTCCAGGACCCCAGTCAGGCTCTGGTAAGGATCAAGAAGTTGCTGTTGGTTCGGGTTGCAGTACGCACAGCATTTTCTTTTCTCTTTATGGATGTCAACATCTTATATGCACGTACCAGTTGCTGTACTTCCAAAGCATGCATGATGTCAGTTCCGTTCGAGTGTCAGCATGTTAGCACGGGTTTGCCTGTGGTCGGCCGAACACCACCTGGGCTGGGCTACGTCAACTTGGCCTAGGTGTATTCCTCCACTCTGGCAGTTCACTTTGAAATTCAATAACTCATTCACGTCCAGATTGCCACCAATGGTTGTTTTGTATACTTGTACGATTTTTCATATTTTGTTCACTGTGATGTGTGTACGTTTAGAAGCACATCTGTGACCACATCCAGCATTGTCACTGCAGTTGGGTGAGCTGCTAACAAACAGGCAATGACTACAAGGCTATTGTTGGTCAAGTGTCGTGACAGCCTGTATGGCGCTCTGTGTATCAACTATCGTACCATGATGTTTTACTAATGAATTTATGATCCCTTCTGATGGTCATTGATGCAGATGATGATGGTGTCCGTCGCTCACGCAGGAAGAGGACACGCAGAAAAAGTGAGTTGATTTCGTCTGTGTCCGGCCAGCCTTTCTCTTTGTGTGCTATCTCTTGCTTCCAGTGAGGGGTATAAAAGTTTTTTTCTGAAAACTGTATGCTGATGAACTGCAGTATTGTGACCATGCGGGGTGTTCCTAGTGTACTCACAGCTGTTTGCCTGCTTGCCTCTTCTACCCCTGCCTCTGTGCGCGCAGTGACCAGCTTGCTGGCAGGAGACAGCGATGATGATGGAGAGCCAAACGCGTACGATCACAACGACTCGTTCCTGGACGATTCTGATGACAGCGATGCCAGCTCACTATCCCCGTCTGACTCTGATGACACTGATTTCAACCCCGGCAGTGATTCTGACCTAGGAGAGCTGGTGTCTGAGGCCAAAGGCTTTCTACGCAATAAGAAAATGCACAAGCCAACCTGATCATCTTGCAGCCAGGTGCGCCACAGACATGAGCGGACAGGTGTGTCTGTCTGTATGCGTGTGTGTTTGTGTGTTTGTTTGTCTGTCTGTCTGTTGTTTAGTGACCGTGTCACTCAATTGCTTGTGTTGCTTCACCTGATGCGATCCATACCATTTAAACCAGAACCAATAGTTTTACTAGTCGCATTACCAGCTTATTATCCATACCTCTCCTTTCTGATTGTATGGAATAAGAAGCGTCGAGTGGAGGTGTAAATAAATAGCATTAATTCGTGTAGGATGTACAGCATTCACACGAAAACCGATCCACGTATACATTGTGTGGTCTTACTGCAAAGACATATTTGGTGGTATGCTGATGATTATCTAGTTGCTTATTCACATGACTTACATTGTAAGTAGTTTTACTGGGCAGCTGGTCTGCCTTGCAGATTTTTACTTGAAGTAGCTTTAATGATATTTTTACATCTCCAACCTTTTTGTGATGTGAGGTATGGTGTACGTGTGTCCTCGTTCCACATTAATTTTAATTTGCATGTGCTGTTGTTGCCCAGTGCCATTGCCATTGCCATTGCCACTGGCCCTGTTTATAACTGCGGGCTAGTCCTTCTTGCTATGTAAGCGAAATTAGTCGCAGCTGGTATCCTTTCTTCGGAGCATTGTAACGTCATTATGCTGTTGTTAAAAAAAATCTTGGTAGACTGCAGCAACGTACTGGCCTACTTTGCAAGCCCGTCACATTGTATTATGCTTTCTCCTGGGCAGCCTATCAGTACTTGTAGTACTGTATGATTGTACTAGTTAATACACCTGTGCAATTAGTATTATTACAAGTTTACATGTATATTAAATGTATTTTAAAAATTCGACGCTGGCTTCATGCACCGGTACTTTTACTGCTGGCAATCATCATGCTCTCTCGATGGCTGCCATAGAGTGCATGGTTCTGTGAACGTTCCCCAGTCAGCAGGGGGGGGGGGGGGGGGTTGGAACCGGCACAGCCAAACCCACACCAATAATTTTATCTTGTGATTTTTGCAGCACTAAAATATGGGCTATTTGGGTCCTTACCAATTTTCCAAAAGAATTCCTGGGGGACAGCCCCCGCACCCTCACCTTTTATATGGCCGTACCAATGTCAAAAGCATGTCGAATACCTTCCGACGCCCCTGGTCACTTGGTCAGTGACAGGCGCGTGCTCGGCGATGGACACAGGGGGCACGTGCACCCCCCAAAAATTTTCAATCTGGGTAATTGCAATTGTAATGTATGCAAATATGCTCTAAAATTCAAGAAAGGTTGCAAACAAATTGCAGAAAATTGCCGGGGGGGGGGCTCCCCTCGGCTCCCGTGCACCCCCCTAGTTGGGGGGCCGAGCACGCCCCTGAGTGAGAGATTGTATCGTTTCCTTGAGTCGTGGTGATACTTTGCCAAGTTTTTGGCTTCGGATTGCGCTTGTGGTATTTTGAAGCTGGCAACTATCTCTTTATGCATTCTGCAGAACTCATGCCCCTCCCCTTCCCGTCTAGTGTCTACAAATAGAGCCCCCCCCCCCCCCTACCGGGCTTGTAGTATCAACCATGTACCAGGGAGTAGTAAAATACTGTATTTTACTACTACAATTGTAGTAGGCCTGGTACGTGGTAGATCTACATGGTACCAAGAGTACATAACCCCGGGGGGGTTATGTACTCTTGATGGTACCAGGGAGTCGTAAAATACATTTTACGACTCCCTGATGGTACCAATGAATTATTATTATTTTGATGTAGCGGCATATGCATGAAAATTTGAATGTTCAAAAAAATGGGAACAGATGTCATTAAATTTTAATTTTATCAGTTATCTGCCATTTCGTCCTTTAGTCGTTGTTGAGATTTTCAGGGCCGGGCGGGGTAAAGAGAATCAATGGCAATGTGCTTTTCCCACAGGCCAGGCATTCTCGTATCCAGGACGAGCTGACTGTGCCCAACAGGACGTCATCTGTTAGAAAATTTGGAGGAAAGTCATTTCCAATTTCTTACTTGTTTCTCACTCAATGTCATTGGTGAGTTATTCTTCTGACAGCAGCTCGTGCTCTGAGTCCGAAGGGGGCGAGCCAGCTCGACCTCCTGCTAAGAAAGTCTGCAGGTGAGTGAATACAATCCGGGCACGTGGACAAATTGCGGTCCTAGACTCCTAGTTTACCAATTTGAATTGAACGTATTGCAAACAGTTGAAACTAGGGGTGAAAACAGTGCATCGTTAAACCTGTGGGTGTGCCTTGCTACTACCGAGTGAGATACTTCGTGCATGTGCTAGTAGTCGAAAAGGAAAGGTAGCAGAAAGACTACACTAAGTGTGTCTTACATCAAAGCTCGTACTCACTCTTCAGTCTTCACTCTACGATTCGAATATATTTCAGCTCATATATACCCACCAGTGTAGAGTGTGGAAAAAGTTGATAGCCCTCATCCCACAGACACAGGTCACTAAATGCTGCAAAGACGTACTGGAGTTCACTCGCGAAACCATAACATGGCATATGGGAGGACATGTCCATGTACCCAACTCCCAAGCAAGCTTCATGTTACTTAGTATCCAGCGAATACTCAGCTCGCCAACCCGATGTACTCGTCTCACTCCTACTTGAAACATACACATAAGAATTGCTTTCTTCTCAAAGTATCTGCTTTGAATATTCGAGGTTCCGCACTACTCAATTACGTTAGTAAAATCCGTAGTCGATCTACGGAAAGTCTTTACATACACTGCATGTGGGTCTGTGTTCCGCCATACGGAGTTTTCGAATCACGTAGCTACCCTTGGCAACTCCGGACGTGAAAGTATGCAACCCACACACACACATAGAGAGAGAGAGAGTCGTGAATTTATACAACAACCCACTTACGGAGCACATCCGTTAGTAGAGCCCCATGTCCGTACTCTACGTAGACAACTTTCCGTAAGTGGACTGCAAACGCGCGAATTAATTCACTGGTTTTCCCCGCCCACTTAAGTGAAAATGCTCAACTTTACGTGGCGCGGAACCTCTCTATCGTGAGAGTTCCACTACCGGGTATTTCATACACTTATGAGCTGTATCCAATCTGTCACCAAACCGGATCTTCGGAAAGGACTTGTTATGAGATATGGGCAGCAGAAGTGAGCTGAATTTCCTGCCCCCAAGACATATTTGATAGACAACCACCGGCACTGATTTTGGACTGATCCTGATACATGTACAAAGCAATCCATCTACATGTCATGTATATGGATTGCTTTGTTTGGGTTTTTGCTGCTGGTTTTGCTGACAACATAAAGCATCGCCAACAATCTCCGCCTTTGCCTCTTTGCAGGGCAAGCACATCTACAGGAGAAGCACCACTTCCTCTCCCATCTGGCCTCTTGGAATGTTTTAATCAGACAGGTAGGATTCTGACTATTGGAAGTGCATGGTGTGCAAGATGACTGGACTTATGTGTAGGGACTCTGGGAGGCTTTTTCAAAGTGTTTTTACATGTACAATGTAGTGCCCACGGGGTCTGCGAATGAATGAGTGAATGAATACCAATTCACTGTATTCAGTTTGAGAAGACCGGACTGTTCTTCACTATGCCCTATATTCATTCATTCATACCGGTATTCTCTTTGACGGATTCTCCAACAGTATTGAATGGATATTTATCGGGGGAGTACCCTGGATGGGCGGATGGGAGAAAAGGAAAGCAAGTGAAGAGAGCTGAGGGAACTAGGAAGTTGAACGTAGCAGAAATACCGGTCAAGGTAAACCACCGGTAAAATACAATGTAACATGGAAAAATGTGGTATTATGAAATGGTGCACTGACTTCAATAATGTATTATTTTGCTTCCCCTTCTGCCAGCTCACAGTGACAATCCGCAGAAGCATGGCGGTCGTCAGCGCTCTTTTCCACACACAAAAGGCAACTGGGCAACATTTGTGTACATTCCGTGTACAGGTAGGCATCTCAGCTCCTTCCACGGTGCTGATTAGTTTGTTAGTTTTTGTTATTTTTCACTCCGTGTTGGGTTGGTATACACCATGGCGCATTGGTGCCGATTTGGTGGCAATTGAAATCCGGACTGAGATATACCTGTCCACTTGCAGTGCCGCTGACCGGTTTTGATTATCTCATATTATGTATATGGGTGCGAGGCCTCATGGCCGTATGCACTCTGAGTGTGTAATAACTGTGTATAGGTCCGGAATTCACTTGCCACAACTGTAGAATCATGGTCATTTTTACCCTCAGCTTGTGCTCAGAAACTGCCGAATGAATTTATTTGTATGCTACTATTTTCAGAGTAGAACTTTTTCACCGTCAGGCTTCCACCTATCACGTGACCTATGCCATTAGTCACTTGCACTGGATACATGTTGAGAATGTGATGCGGGTGGGTCTGCGAGAGGCTACATGTATATGCACATACATGATTCTCTGTGATAAATGGTGAGGTTGCCTAGCATGCTGTTGCAATCGCTGTTTCTCAGAGAACAGAGTGAAAATCACCGTCACAAATATGTCATGTTGTCGAGATGATAGATTAGAGTTATTCTCAGTGATACCCCCTCGTTTTCAAATTATCAATCCCACTTTGTCTCTCTGTCTCTGTTTCTGTCTCTCTGTCTGTCTGTCTGTCTGTCTCTCTCTCTCTCTCTCTCTCTCTCTCTTTCTCTCTCTCTCTCTCTCTCTCTCTCTCTCTCTCTCTCTCTCTCTCTCTCTCTCTCTCTCTCTCTCTTCCCCAGCCTCCTCCTTATTTCTCTCCTGGTTACATTCTTTGTGTGTGTTTGATGGTGGTGGTTTGTGCTTATAGATGAGTTCGCGTCATGGTTAGAACCAGTAGCCCCCAAGCTATTCGGCTATGTTGGCGAAAAGAGAGGCTCGAAGCCGTTCACAAGCAACATTAACGATGGACTTCACCTGAGTCTGTCAAGAGTCGTCCCCATACCACATCATCTGATCAAACCGCTGACAGCAGAGTTGGGGCAACGACTAAACATATTCCAAAGGTACGCCTTGTTGAGTACTCCCGGTAGACTGCTTTAGTTCAATAGTTTTACCAAAGAACCAAACAGCGGGAAACACACGACACTGCAAAAAGATGGATAAATTAAAATTCAAAGAATCGCGCGAAACGAAAGCATAACGGTAACCAAATAATACATGTAATAATAATAATAATAATTTATGTAGAAAGGAAAGGAACATATGGATACGAGTTCAGAGTAACTGTCTACTACTGTAACTAGATACTATAGTATACAGTCGGAAAGTGCAACAACTAGGCACAAAACTGATAGTGTACTGAGACATTCGACAACCTGACACCAAGTCCACACTGGATTATAAATAATGAACAATCTTGGACAATGCCGAAAAGTTCGACGCTTGACCCATGACACAGTTATGGTGGTCAAAAGCAAGATGTTCAGTTTTTTTCTCAACGGACGGCAGGGTATCGGCTAACTGTACAAAATATTCCTGGGGCACCATCAACTACCCGATGTGCTTAGGAATCTGCAGTGGATGTTTCATGGAGCTGTATCAACCTGGAAATGTCCGTGTGGGTTGTCATGCTGATCATGGCGGGCTATCTGGTGCATTGTTCTGTGTGCAGGTTTCACTGCCAAGTGGCGAAGCCACGGGTATACTGCAATGATGAGAAGACACGGTGAGCTTCCTTTGTTTGAGTTCGGCTGTCGGTTCACGTGGGTGTAAATGCAGTACACTCATACCTGGTTTATGCGGGCGGTCCGGGACCGGGCACTGCCCGTAACATCAAATCACATACAATTTCATGGGGAAAGGCCATAAATATAGCATGTGACGTCACTGTTTCCACAAAAAGTGACAAGAGAGTACATGTAGTAATATTTCCACTGAAACTCGCCCAAAGGGTACCCGGCAGACCGAAGTGCCTGTAACTTCGGGGTCCGGATAACCGAGGCATGAGTACGAGTGTATGTCCTCTGTTCAGGGATGTGGTGGATGTGATCATCCCTTTGCAGTTATGTGATGCAATGTACTTGGTTTCTCTGTAGCTCATTGTTAGCTGTAGCAGTGACAAAGCTAATGACTTTGTGATCCATGTCTTATTTGAAAGTCATGATTGTACATACTGAACACTTCCACGTCATGACGTGCACGCACACAATCTCACTCTTTGCTCTGTCATATTCATCTTTTTTTGCCTCAAGGTCGTTCCTCAGTCTGAGTGTGGTACACGGTCAGGAAAAGGTGTGTAGAAGTGTGCCACTGATATGTATATTATGATTATCATGACAAGAATCGCAGTGATGACCTCCTCAGCTTTGCATTTGAGCACACAACCAAGTGTTTCAATGACTATGGCCTCGCTGCACCTTGCTCTGGTTTATTCATGTCCCAACTGTCATAAACTTGATAACGATGCTCAGTGCTGTCCATCTGGTCTTATGAAAATCTAGTCATGGGTGACCCCTGTGTTCTAATCTAACAAACAGAGGAACTTCAATGGCAATGTTGGCATGGCAGTGAGATGAAAAGCTCTGCACACATAATCTCTGGTGAATGGTTGACTACTATTATGTAGTACTAGCTTCACTTGAATGGTGCCAACTATGAAGTAATGCCATCATGTTGTATGCACATGCAGTACGAATGTCCTTCTGTGGAATGCACACCAGGCTTCGACACCTACAAGTACGCATAGTGGGCACATGGCATTGATTCTTCTCTTTTCTTTGGAAGGCACATTATGCTTCGGCTCATACTTTGTGGCGGACCCATTGCTTGCTGTTGTGTGTTTGCTCAGCTCAAGCTGCTTCTTGGCATCGTCGATGAGGTGTTCGTGGAATTTGGATTGCCCAAGTTTTACAAGGTACGCCTGATCTTGTCTTGCGTGGTCTGCTTGACGTAGATGCTCTCATATGAACCCTGACAGAGGCAGGATGGTACAACAGTCTTGATTCTACACCTAGCTGGTTTGTGAACCTGTCCGCTCGCTGCTTGCATGTAGACGGGACCGGCGTTATTTTTCTTCAGCAGCGCTTCTTGTGTGAGCGGTAGAGCTTTCTAATACAGAAGTCTCGATGTTGTCCAAGGATCGCTTAGCCATTAGCATGAAACTCAGAAAACTTATTGTTCTAACTTCTGTGTTTGCCCTGATCAGTGATGTGATGATCGGATGTCTCTTAGTTAATACGGGCGGAGAAGCACTTCTTTTGCATGGACACAGTTTCATCACTAATTGGCCGGCACCGGGTGTTGCTGTATGCCCGTATGGGATTTTTAAATTGACGCATTATATTATACTCTGTACTAGTCTGTATCCTGTGTGTTTCTTGTGTATGTTCTAGGAGGCCAGTTTCCATGTCAGCATAGGGTGGACACTAGGAGAGCTCTCACCTTTGACTCTCAAGGAAGAGCACGACTTGGTAAGAACTGGGAGATGTGTATGCTGGTTTCTGACTGGTGGCTGATGGTACAAGAAGTAGAATGATGTACTTGTAGGTGTACTGGGTACATGGCTTAGTTGTGTACCACCATCAGAGCAAACACGGTCTGCGCTCTGAATGCAGAGTCTTCTTCAACGTTCCTGCTCTGCCTTGTTGAAAGCTGCTGTGCTGTGCTGTGCTGTGCTGTGCTGTGCTGTTGGAGAAATCATGCTCCTAGACTCCTGTGCCTGCAGTATGCTCACACAGATGCTTTGATGTGTGTGTGTGTGTGTGTGTGTGTGTGTGTGTGTGTGTGTGTGTGTGTGTGTGTGTGTGTGTGTGCATTGTGCCATGCAGCACTCTTTGTTGCAGTCACGGACCTCATGTGCTCCACCTCCACTTACGGTTGACGGCGTGGTTTGCAAGACGGGGAACAAGCTGCACAGATTTCCTCTTTCTGGATGACAATGATGTCTACCATGGTCTACTTCACCAATATAATATTGTTTACTGAATGCCAGTACTGTACACTTTCCAATTCAGTATTGCCGTTTCCAATCTCTGCGCCATCACATGGCTACTTCTGCAATAGGACGTGCTTCGTGCTCATCGTTCTTCTTGCCAGTCCTAGCAGGTTCTGTTCTAGATGTGCTGCCTGCCTGCAAAGGACTTAGGTCAGCGCTGTTCTAGAGATCTTCATCTAGTTTTTTAAACGAATAAGTACTAGTTTTAAACTCGTTTTCGTCAAACACAATTTAACCCTATAGGCCTAGTGTATAAAAGCCTGGAATACACTCCTCAAGAGACCGTACCCAATGTAGAACGTTTGCTTCTCAGTTATGCTTACGAACATCATCATTCTGTTCTGGTTTCACCTGCGCTGTGCGGATATTCCCATGGATCCGATATAATGTGTTGTGCTACTTTGTTCAGGGTGTGTGTGCGTGCGTACGTGTGTGTGTGTGTGTGTGTGTGTGTGTGTGTGTGTGTGTTATTCTCCTTGTTTCTTTTTTCTCGCTGTTGTCTCCCGCTTCTGGGAGCGACGTGGCCATTTTGTGGCAGTTGTACATAGTAGTAGTAGTAGTGTGTGTGTGTGTGTGTGTGTGTGTGTGTGTGTGTGTGTGTGTGTGTGTGTGTGTTTTACTCTTGCACTGTACATGTAGTAGGAGTAGCATTGCTCAGTAGTTACAGTTGTAACTCTGTGTTCCAGAGTGTGAGCAGCTTGATTCACCTGCCTATTTCGTGTCTCTTGGGCACAAATGAGGTCTTCCAGAGCACCACAATCTGCTCGCATACCTGCCAAATATCCCGATTTTTTCGGTATTATCCCGCATTTTTGGATAAACTCCCGCGATCTCGAAATCCCTGTCGATTATCCCGAAAATCACCGTACATGAAACTTAGTCTTGATGTTCTCGAAGCACTTCAAGTGACTTGTCTACAATAGTTCTCCTTTAAATTATGGCTTTAATAATGCTAGCAGGATTTTTTATATTTGTACAGTAGATCCTAGGCTATGATCCATGCCCATGGACGAAATTTACAACCGCACGAGCGCAGCGCGAGCATGCATTAGCAACGGGCATGTGGATCTACCGGTGCCGTCCAACTGAAAAAGGGAGAATCCCAGATTTGAGACCACACCTTTCCACGTGTTGCACGTGGAGATTTCTGATCCGTTTGAGTTTTGATCACATGCACAGTACACGATGTCGACAAGTAGTTTTGTCAGTTTTGACTGTGACTGATGGAGATAAAAATAATGCTTGCTGATCGATGGTGCACCATGTCAGCTCATTTGTCCACAATAGTGCTGGCATTGCTGTTTTTATTGGTAGCAAATGAATGTCCTCTGACGAAATTGCATAACATTGTGCTGTCTGAGGACCGTAACGTGACAGGAGTGACTGTTTGACAATTTCATGTGAGTCAGTTCGTACTGAAACGTTTCCAGTTTCGGATAAAACACCCCATGAATAGATCGAGCCGTCTGCTCACGCCCGGTCGGTAGCTAGCAAGCTGGTACACTGTACTCATATCAGTTTTGAGTCTCGGCTCCCCTCTAGCTCTGCGAGACAATCATCAATCCAGACTAGTAACTAACACTTACTAATTACTTGGAATTGGAACGGCTTGGACAAGCTCGAGCAGCAGCACAGCAGTGTTAATTAATCCGACGGTCTTGAAGTGAGTCACTGATCTAGCAACCAGCTAAGTGCGTCACTGGTCCGCATCCACAACCTGGCACAGCCTGATCGAGACACAGTCCATTGTGGATTCTACCAGGAATTTGTTGAGCCGCAGTGTTGGTAGGACCAGCAGTATAGTAGAGCGAGCAACGTTACAGTGTAACCTTAGTTGTAGCAATAGTACATGTAGTAGTTCAATCAGCTAGCAACCTGAACATGTTTCTGAATTCCCGCATTACTGGAACTGTAGTCGCCGGTGGCGTGGCGGCAGGGAGTGCGCTATGGTGGTGGCGTGGCTCCCAAGAAGGATCGGAGCTGCACTTGGGTAGCAGTGGTGGCAGCAGCACCGGCGGCGGTATTGGACGGGGACTAAAGCTGCTCTCTGCACATGTCGTATTCAGGCACGGCGCCAGAACTCCCATCCGCCCATGGCTGCCAGAGCTGATGCAGCCAGGTGAGGCGACCATCGACTGGGCGAATACAGTGCCGGCTGAGGAAGATCGGGACGCCCGCATTCCCGTGTACATCCGCGATGTCTCTGTGGATGGAGCTGAGCCGGTACCGCTCCGCTGGGGGAAGTCAACGTGGAGAATATCGGTGAGTTTCCTGCAGTATCAACAATACTCACTTGCTGCGCTGCCATATTTTTCGGATCGGCCGATTGCCCACACTCACAGGCTTAGTGACTGGTTTAAAAAGTTGCACCCCCTCCCCCTTGCACTCTCTTGCAGGTGAAAAGCACATTCGAATCTGAATTTGTATTTGTCTTTCTTTACATGTACCGTAAAGTACCGCCAGAGCGCCCCACCATCTCATCCTTTCGTGGTCGTATTGTGGAGGTGGTCTGCTGTCTGTAGGTCATACGACATGAACCGTGTACACATACTGCACGTTTTGCAGTCAATCCGTACCTTCAAGAGGACACAAGCTCCACACAAAAACATGCCAAGTGTGACCTTAGTACACGACGATTCTTACATCGTACAAACTTCGTTGCACTCTGCCATATGATTTTCCTTCCTCTGGCAGTAAAATCAAGGTGGGGCGCTCTCGCGAGACGGGGCGCTCTGGCGGTACTTTACGGTACTAACAAAAGGCATTTTCAGTGGGTATACCCAAGAACGGCCAGGCTAGAATTTCACCAATTTTTAAGAACGGTCTAGGCTGGATTTTTCAGATAAGAACGGAAACCGTAATGTACACTATAATTTATACTCAGACATATACTGACTCTGCATAAAATGTATGTGCAAGACTGTACCATCGAGTAAGAATGAAACTGCTGTGTTCGCTAAAAATAAGAACGGGCTAGGCTAGAACCCTGACCCCTGACCCCTGACCCCCCCCCCCCCCCCCAGTTCTTCGGCGCCCGACAGTACTGTAGTTGGGCCATAGGCCACGGCAGGGTTTTTTGGCTGGTTATTCAGAAATGAAGATGCAGCTTATACCTGGGAGAATATGGTTACCATACAGTGGTGACGAGTTATACACCCTACGGTGTGTATTTGATGATATTCTCAGTTTCCCACAAATGCATTGCCCTGTCCTGGCCGGCCGGAGTGATGAGCAGCTATCCTTGATGTTGAAGAATGGTTGCTCGTCATTTAGCTCAGGGCAATGTAGCCTGTGCAACTGTGCTTATCATTAAAAAAACTAGATGCATTCTTGTACAAAGCTCGCTGCATTTCTCAGTTAGAGCACTTGGCTGACTTTGATGCTTTGATCCGGTTTAAAAATGCTTTGCTGTTCTCTAGACTTCATTGCAATCGGTTTGGCCAGCCACTCTGAGCTATGCTGATGAGACCTAACTAAAGTAACAAGGTGGAAACAAGTTGTCTGGAGGTTGTCTATCATGGTGCAGCCAGTAGATTCGTTACGCCAGTAGACTGTGACTCGGATGCTAGTTCAGCATTTACATTCATCTCTCATCTATATACTTGTTATAATCTTGACTTCGCTCGATTCAGAGATCAAACAAGTTCAAACAGAGAACTCATAGTTACAATGGATCCAAGATTATATTACCATGAGCCTCGAAGGCTTAGCTGGAGTGGTTGAAGGATGATTAGAATGAAGAGAATCAAGCACTTATAATTGCTTCTAGAAGCGGGACAATAGAAGCGGGACAATAGAAGCGCCACAATAGGAGCGCGATAATAGTAGCGAGAATGGCAATCTTTGAGGACACTGTCTTGGCTATATGGTGTTCAATTTCAGGTCCTCATCGATGTGCAAGTCCAGGTACTTGGTGTGTCACTTGCTGGAGGAGTGTAGCTGCACAGTGCACATTCAATGTCTTGTCGTCATAACGATTGGCGGGAATAAACAATATTTGTGTCTTTCGACTATTCAAGATTAGGTTGCGCTCACCAAGCCAGTTGCTGAGATGGGTGATGGCTGAGGACAGGTTGTGTGACAGCACGACCCTGTCTTCCCTGCTATCGTGTAGCATGATATCGTCCGCGAATCGGGTTACCTGGACGGCAAACTGATCCACTTCACTGGCCACATCCTTGACATATAATGACAAACAATAGTGGTCCAGTACACACCCTTGTGGAACCCCACTTGAACATGTGAAGGATGAGCTGCTAGCCGCTGATGACTACTTGTTGTTGACGATTTGAGAGGTAGTCGCTTTTAAAACCAGTTCAGGGCTGTGCCGGAGATTCCAAGCTGGAATAGGTCTTCCACAAGTGTCTGATGCTGGACCTTATCAAAGGCCTTTGACATGTCCAGGAATGGAGCGCCAGTTGACAGCCCATCGTCTCGGGCTCTTAGGAATTTGTCTGTAACCATTGTGAGAGCATCCTCTCTAGAGTGCTGCCGTCTGAAACCAAAATTGACAGGAAGGGTAGAGATTATGTTCAGCCAGATATTGACTGAGTTGCTCATGGACGATACGCTCGAGCAGCTTGGAGACTATAGGGAGCAATGAGACAGTTCTATAGTTGGTGGGTTGACTGGGGTCACCACCTTTGTAGACGGGAGTGATATTGGCGATTTCATGCTCGGTGGCAGCTGGCCTTTGGACAATGATTTGTTGTAGATGAGCATCAGCGAGGGTGCAAGGTCAGCACAGGATTTAAGGGCCGTTGCTGGCAAGCCATCATTGCCAGTAACTTTTACCGTGGCTATTGACGATAGGAACTTCCGCACACGGGCAATGGTAACAGGCTTAACGATTGAAAGGCTGTTCGGAGACATGGGGCCTTGAGGTAGAGTCAAGGCTGGGGGACGTTGAGGATCATTGACAATGCCTGCAAACACATTACCAATGTCATCCAGGGAGCATTTGGGAAGAGTGTAGACTGGCTGTCGTCCGCTCAGCTGATTCAATACCCGCAAAGTCTGCCTTGGGTTCCCTGTAGCGTTCACAAATGCCTCATTGTAATGCTGTTCTTTCAGTGCTCGGCTAGTCCGGGTAGCCTCCCGTCTGGTCTGCTGGAAGCTGCGGTAGTCCACATCAAGTCTTGTTCTCAGCCACTTGCGATGCAGTTTGTTGCGCCTGCGTACAAGCGCTGCGAGCTCCGGGTTATACCATGTTGCGACATTGTGGGCACGGTGCTTCCGAGGCCGGAGTGGTGCATGTTGATCTGTGAGTGACATGAGATGCTCATGCCACTGGGTCCACTTTTCGGTACAGGTTTCCTCCATGGAGCACAGGTTAGCACACTGGATATCTTGCCGAAACAGGTCCATATTGATACGTCTGATGTTCCGTGTCTGTGCAGGAGCTGCAGGAGGAATTCGAATTGGAACTATGTTGAAAGGGGTTGTCACAGCATGGTGGTCGCTGAAGGAGACAGCATGATAGTTCCGTGGTCCTATTTCTTTTCTATAAATTTATCCTTGGCTCTCCATCCGAATCAATTCTCATGTTATGACTCTTTTTAACATTTCCTTCTCTCATAATATGAGCCAGAGCACGCTAAAATATGACCACAGACCGAAAATTCGATTTTCAGTTTTTTGTTCAAAAATGATCTAACACACCTAATGTTCACTGTCTGAAAGTTTTGGATTGATTGGACATCTCTAAGTGTGGCTACAATGGTATTATATGCAGCACTGTTGAAATGGTGAAATTCTATGTACAGCAATGGGATTGTCATTTTTGCACGCAATTGATATGCCCCTTGGTTCATCCTTTCCGGGTCAGTTCCTCTGTCCAGGGTCTTATAGCATGAGCTGACAGGTACTCAGCCACATCCAAAATACCAAATTGTCTATAGTCAGCTGAGCTGGGTGTCCGAAATACCTCCTGTTTGGAGCACCACTGGAGAACCGCCAGCGAAAACACGGTCAACATCTGTAGATGGCCGAAGAAGTTGGCACTCCATGTCCTCTCCATCACACTCCACCTGTACTTTTAGATATACAGTATACACTGCTGCACACAGTTTTCCTCGGCATACTAGACGTCGCACTCATATTCCCCACACCAAAGCCCATCTGCACACGGTTTTCTCTGCTCGCCAGAGAGTACTGCTTTCGCTGCATACTGCTCATGCTAGCGATGTTCCGCATAAGGGTACTCAAATTATCGACTTGAGCAAGTTGAGGGAGCAGCAGAGTCCATTGATTGTTTTTGCACTTGCAACCAATACTGGCATTGTCCCGGATATGTGCAGCGATGTCCATTCTGGCCAAATCATCGGCCGACTCACCTCCCAAGTCAGTGTCGATGCCAATCGCTTGCCAGGTTGTCATCAGAGTAGAATTCCTCGTCACTGCAGATCGTGGGACTACCAGCATCAATTATTTTTACGCTCGATGAAAGTGTCGCCCTCAAATGACTCGTCGCTGTAGCCATCATCGTCTTCCTTCTGTTTCCGACCCGAATCCTCAAAATATTTTATCCTGCGCATGGACTGCGCTTTTCTGGTGTTGGGCTGACTGCTCAGCAAACTATTACTTTCTCTCTCCCACTCTATTGCTCTAAATCTTTACTATCTCCCAACCTTTCTGTCACAGCCTGTCAGGCTACCCGTGCTTTGTTTCCGCGTGCCGAACCTTCCAGTTGAGAGATCTGAGTGGGCTCAGAATGCGCGCTTTGGACAAGCAATCATGGAGGGAACTCTCAGCCTGAGCTGGTTTTGCTCGCGGCTGCAACGCACGGGGTAGTGAACCCAGGACAGAAGCGGACCAGGCATCATGACTTTGCACATCTATCGTTATGCTGCTTCATTACGCGACCTGTTTTATTATTATTATTATTATGGACTGCGATAATGTCGTCTTCTTCCGCTCCGCAGTACATTACTACTACTAGGCTCTTCTGTCGATACATCGATTACGATCAGTTTTAGGCGACTCAGCGCAACATGGAATACAAACTCAAACAAAACTTACTTGCAACAAAGAATTGCATCCGGAACAGTCCAGTCGACCGAGGAGAACAACAACAGCGACTCGCGTTGCACTGCACTTCGTATTTTTTGCCGCGGAATTCAAATCGCGATTATCTCGACTTTTTCAAAAAAAGCTGTGGTCATGTTTTAGCGCGCTCGGGCTCATATTTTATTTGTTCTTAGTAGGAACCGGAGGGTTTTTCCTCTGGCGAGAAGGCAGAATTGCCTGTGCTCTAAACGAATTCAAATTAAAGAAACAAACAGACAGACATTTACAGTGGTACCTCGGAATTCTGACCGCCTTTCAGCCCGGGCAAAGTAGTCTGGTTTCCGGAGTGGTCTGATTTGTGAAAACGACCATCCCGGGTGAGTGCTTGTGGAGGAAAGCGGGACCGAGCAAAAGTGGTTTGGTTCCACTGTACTTCTTGCTAATGACAGCCTCCTTGGTAAAACGAAGCTGAACATACAGGTGTCTGGGGGGGGGGGGGTGTACGATAGAGAGAATACAGGTGTCTGGGGTGTGTGTACGATAGAGAGAATACAGGTGTCTGGGGGGGGGGGGGGGGGTGTACGATAGAGAGAATACAGGTGTCTGGGGGGGGGGGGGGTGTACGATAGAGAGAATACAGGTGTCTGGGGGGGGGGGGGGGGTGTGTGTACGATAGAGAGAATACAGGTGTCTGGGGGGGGGGGGGTGTACGATAGAGAGAATACAGGTGTCTGGGGGGGGGGGGGTGTGGGGGTGTGTGTACGATAGAGAGAATACAGGTGTCTGGGGTGTGTGTACGATAGAGAGAATACAGGTGTCTGGGGGGGGGGGGGGGGGGGGGTGTGTGTACGATAGAGAGAATACAGGTGTCTGGGGGGGGGGGGGGTGTACGATAGAGAGAATACAGGTGTCTGGGGGGGGGGGGGGGTGTGTGTGTGTGTACGATAGAGAGAATACAGGTGTCTGGGGGGGGGGGGGGGGTGTGTACGATAGAGAGAATACAGGTGTCTGGGGGGGGGGGGGGGTGTACGATAGAGAGAATACAGGTGTCTGGGGGGGGGGGGGTGTACGATAGAGAGAATACAGGTGTCTGGGGGGGGGGGGGGGGGTGTACGATAGAGAGAATACAGGTGTCTGGGGGGGGGGGGGGTACGATAGAGAGAATACAGGTGTCTGGGGGGGGGGGGGTACGATAGAGAGAATACAGGTGTCTGGGGGGGGGGGGGGGTGTACGATAGAGAGAATACAGGTGTCTGGGGGGGGGGGGGGGGGGAGGGGGTGTACGATAGAGAGAAGTACTGCAGGTATTACAGTCAACTTGGCTTATAACCACACTTATAACCACACTTATAACCACACTTATAACCACACTTATAACCACACTTATAACCACACTTATAACCACACTTATAACCACACTTATAACCACACTTATAACCACACTTATAACCACACTTATAACCACACTCGGCGCGGCATCAGAAAAGTGTCCTTATTCGTGAAATGTCGTTATACCCGAAGTCTCATTATATGTTTCACAGTTGGATGGGACTTTGCTCTGGGCATGAAAATTATGTCGTTATTCGCGAATTGTCGTTACATCCGCAGTCGTTATTAGCGAAGTTGACTGCAGTTCCTCCAACTGGACAATTTCCCCCGTACATGTTCTCTCGATTTCTGCAGAGTAAAGTTCCCGGTCATCCGTCAGGTGAGCTTACCGAGCTAGGATTTCGTCAAGCGGTGGAGCTTGGCCACACGTTACGAGAGCGCTACATGATTCAGCACGGTCTCGTTTCTGAGGTCTATTCACCAAAGGAGGTCTAGTATGTGCAGATCTAACTGTTTGCTCTAGTTTGTTTCTAGTGTACATGTAGTAGCCGTTCAGGCTTTGCTCCCCTTTCCCACAATCCAGGGTGTTTCCTATTCGTGCCACTGAAAGCGATGTCGTTACATTTTGGCTCTGCACCATGCTTACTGTTGTACTTCAAGTACATAGATTTCCATTCAAACTTCTTATTTCCTCTATACCCATGTTGGCTGTCAGGTAAATTGGATCGTGTTGTGCATGTACATGTATGCACTTTAATAGGGTCACCATTGCAACATGGAGTTTTAAGGAAGTTAATAGGATGTGCTGTTCCCTTTGTGTGTTGATAGTGTGCGCACGACAAGCATCAATCGCACGAAGCAGACAGCGCAGGGCGTGCTGACAGGAATGTTTGGTGCCCACAAGCCAGCCGGTAACTCTACTCGAATGCTTCTGTACTAATGATCTGCTATTGGCATGACTCAGAACTTCAAGCCTGAAGTGTAATATCCTTTGTGCTAGAATTGTTAGGTACCCTCTCCCTTACATTGCCTCCTTGCGCATCCTTTCCTTGCTGGCTCACTCATATGCCTTGTGATGGTTTTCTCTGCAATGTTGTATATAGAATGTATCGTGTTACATTTTCTTCGACTTGCTTGACAGAGCGTGTGGTGCTGTCTACCATACCCTGGGAGAAGGAGGTCATCGTGGGAAACTCTCGCATTTGCCAATCATACAGGCAGCTGGCTAGCCACGTCGAGGTCAGTATCCGCGGCCAGTCGGTGGCGAACGAGAGGCAGAGAGTCATGGAGGCACTGGGCATTCCAGCCGAGAAAATGCATTTCGTCTACCTGTATGATGTCCTGGCAACAAGGAAGGTGAGAGTCTCAGTCTAGCTGCTGCACTCCCTGCTGCGCTGCCTGGTTAGCTTACATGTGCCAGTCCGTATGTATGGTTTTTTTTAGTAGTATTTATTTTATTTACCATCAGATGCCTCAACAGTGATATACACAACTCTTTTAAAGAGGGCCGATAACGGGATAAGTGGAAAGGAAAAGAAAAAAATAGAAAAGAATTGGAATCCAGACATCAAGCAGTAATCAAACACCAAATCGACTTCAAGCTCAGTACAAGAACGATCAAGATCATCGAGAAACTCAACGGATTCCAAAAAGAAGGTCAAAATACTTCTTAAACGCCAGTGGGTCTTTAAAAAGATCCCTGAGTTGGTTTGCAAATGTAGAGGTACAGTGGTGTCTGCGCCACTCGGCAGGCAGTGTGTTAAAGAAAATTGCGGCACGATTAGAAAAGAATTTACTCCATCAGTTGTCCGGAGCTTTGATATGGCAATGGAGGCATTAGAGTGGCTTCTACTTCAAGAAGTAGTTCTAGGGCCTGTTGTGATCGGTGGAAATAATTCCGTTAGGGTAGGCAGTGAGATGATGACATGATTTCTATGGTCAATATTGGCGTGATGTCGTCCTGTGACTTAGCACCACAGGCAGCTCGCACAGCACGGCGGAAAACAGTAGAGAGCCTTTGGCGGTCCTTAGCGGACAGCTTTGTTACAAAACACGAACAACAGTACAAAGGATCAGGTAGAATGACTGATCAATAAATTGCCTCCTGGCCTTCCTGCTCAGTTGCCGAAAGGACTGACGAAGAGCGCCAACCTTAGCACATGTCTTGCGAATTACAAAGTCAATGTGAGGCGACCACGTTAGGCGGTCACCAATGATGACCCCCAGGATTCGGGTGCTGGTAACGTGGGTCAATACCTGATTGTTAAGTATCACAGGAACAGACAGGTGCAGAGGGAGTTTAGAAATGACCATGGCGACAGTCTTGGCAGAGTTGACTGACAACCCTAGGTCCGCAAGATCTAGAGCAAGCACTGAAAGTACCTTTTTGACGGCGTCGACAGCTTCATTTGGCGACCGTCTACTGGCATACAATGTCATGTCATCCGCGAGCATCGGCAGCTTGCAGGAAAGAGCATCAGCTGCGAGCGGCAGCTTCCGCACATATATATTGAAGAGCACAGGGCCCAGAGTGGTTGCGCGGTCGACCGGTGCTTCCGGAAACCAAATTGATCTTCATGGAACGGGCAACGTTCTTGGAAAAACACCTGGAGACGAGAGAACACGCGCTGCTCAAGGAGTTTGGCGAGAATAGACGTTAGAGACACCGGGCGGTGATTGGAAGGGCAATTACGGGGGCCTTGTTTTGACTTCAATATCGGGGTGATGTGGGCAATTTTGAACCGGGATGGAAAGTGTCCAGAAGAGAGGGAAGTGTTGTATAAAATGGTAAGTGAAAGGGCGACTACGTCTTTCGATACCTTTAACAAAAAAGACAGAATTCCGTCCGGGCCAGGAGCTTTGCGACTATGGAGGGCACTGATTAGCCTTTTCACTTCTGAGACAGTTACTGCCTCGAACGTCCTGAGGTCCGTAGAGTTAGCCGGACCCATTGGCAGATCATAGGTAGCATGATTATCGGTGACAATAGCGTGGAAGTAATCGTTTAGTCTCTCAGCTGGGATAGTAACTGTTTGCCTCTGTGGCGTACGCTTGGTGATCGTGTTCAATCTTTTCCAGAACTGTCGAGGTTCCCGTTCATACGGCCTGCACCGATCCGCAAAGTGACGATTCTGAAGATGACGGTACAAGTTGTTGGACTGACAACGTAATCTCTTGAACTGCGCCCATTAGGACCATGTCACGAAAGTTGGCTGCTTTTAACTTCTTGAAAGCTGATTTGCGTTCTCTGATCAAGTCAAGAAGAGCCTTGGTCATCAAAGGGCAAGTCTTCCGATTCCGCTTCGGTCGCTTCCTGGGCCCATAAGGCGCTGCAATGTGAAGTGCAGCATTAAATTTCTCGGCCCATTCGTCTAACATCAGGTCGGTGTCAGTGGTTGCAAAATGATGAAGATTGGAAGACAACAACATACCGCAGAAGCGGTCTGCGTCGAAGCTTCGGTAGTCTCTGCGTTGTCTGCTTGATTGCTGACCAGCGGTGTCGGAGTTCCGTGTGCCCGCTGTGGACGATGGGACAGTACTGATGACCAGGTGATGGTCTGAGAACTCACAGTCTATAACGGATGCTGACGTGACAAGGTCGATGTTCGTCAGTATGCAGTCAATCGACGTGCGTGTCGTGGCAGTGATTCTGGTTGCGTCCTGGACTTTATTGGCTATCCCGCACGGGAGTAACAGTGTGTTCTTGAGATGTTGGAAAATGCTGGATGCCTGATGCAGGAGGTCTACATTGACGTCGCCTAATAATACAACATTTTTGCTGTTCAGTTGTTCTGTGGCTGTGGCAAGTCGAGTCCAGTACTTCACTGGCTCGGATGGGGGCCGATATATGCAACCGAACAAAGCACCATCATTGACTGTGCCGGTTCTGAGCCACATCAATTCTAGACTGGCATGCGAGTGGGTCAAGACAGAGACAGGAGTCACATTAACTTGGTCGTTCACGTACATGCAAATTCCCCCTCCTTTCCTGCAGGGGCTGCAGTAGGACAAGCACGAGCAGCCCTCAGCGCATGGCCGATCACGACGGAAAAGAATTGCTCCCGGCACAGAGACCTCCTTGTCCGAGATGCTGGAGTCAAGCCACGTTTCAGTAACTGCCAGAATATCCAGGGCATGTTAGTCTATTAACTTAGCAATAATGTGTGTTTTATGTCTAAGGCTGCGAATATTTATGTGGCCAACCTTTATGTGGGTATATGAACGGCTTACGGGGGCCAAAGGTTGAGGAGACGATGGTGTAAAGGCTGGAGCATGCGGGTTCAAGGGGAGTGGGTCGGTGGTTTGAGCCATTATGCTTTAACGGGTTTGGGAGCCCAGGCCTCTGTACCAAATCGCCACTCTCTTACAGTACGGTCAACTTTGTCAGGCCAGAACGATTCTTCCGCGACCTTCTTGGCGTCCGTGACCAAGACTGTAATATGGGCAGAGGCTGTTCTAAAGTGGACGGAGGTGTACACGACGCTTTGTACTACAGATACGCCTTGTGCCTTGCAGTGCTCAGCTATTGAATCCGCATCGCAGTCCGGGTCAACATTTCCGATGTAGCACACCATCACGCGTGGTCGTCCTACGAGTCCAGGTGCACTCTTGGGTGTTTTCGGTGCTGTGTACCGCGATGTCTCCTCCCTGCGGTGATTTGGCTTTTGCATACGTTTGTCGTGGCCAGGACCGCCAGGTGCATGTGGCCTTGGTGGCTGCCTTGCAGAGTCTGCGTACGAATTTTCTACAATGTGCTGTGCAGCTGGACCTTGTGTTTGTACCGGTGCATGTGGTGATGTGAGTGACTGGGGTAGCGTCGGTACTCGTACTAAAGTGCATTGGGAGGGTACTACTTGTAGTAGTTCTGAGATGAGTTGTATCCCCAGGGTCAGCGTGGACGTGGGTCAAACGGGATTGGTCATCTTGTTCAGCATGTAGTTCACGGCGGAGCTTTTGCACGTCGTCCTTCAACGCCTGAATTTCCCTGTCAGAATCTCTCAGCTGTACATTCACATCTTTCATCGTCTTTAGCTCTGATTTCAGTTTCCTTACTACCCCGGTAAGTTCGGAGAGTGCGGCGCAAAGGTTAGCTACATCAGGGTTAGCATGACTTACGGGAGCCGAGTCCTTGGATCCTCTCAGTAGGGCAATCAGCATTGGCCTGTTCGCCTTTCTGGGGGACTCCAGTCAGTCGCTGGATGAGCTCCTTGAGCTTGTCGTCAGTAAGCACGGCGATGTCCGTATTGGGGTCGAGTTTCTCGGCCATTATATCACTATTTACTGGTGTTCCAAGGGCCTAGTGCCCCGGGAAACCGAAAAAAGGAGTAAAGTTCAGGAGCTCGCAAATTTGCATCCACCCCTGACTCAGTTCCTTTATGTTCACCGTATTGCAGTACTAGTCGAGGGGAAACCCCTCTATACAAACGGTGCATGCTCCTGCCACAGTAAGTATTCTTTGATAAGCGACCTTTCCACGGCAAGTAACGCTGCTGCCGGTTTGGGCCGTTCATTCTGTTTCACAGGCACATGATCTTCCACTGCCGCTGGGGATCGTACCAGAACTGCTTGATGATATCGAGGTTGGTGCAGTTCTCTGTTTTGACGACAGCTATCTGGGAAAGAACAAGTAAGCTTGATGCTGAATAACATTATGCACCCATTCAGGTTAAGGCTAGCGATGACCCATACACCTACCGTGATAAGTTTTGCTCGAAGGATGTCTGTACATGTACATGTATGCTAAAAGTATACTTTGCAAACACAAAAGTAGGCACTGTTACTGCAGAAGTGACCGATGCACACAAAGTGCAGAGCCGTTCACACGCTCACACACCAATGTCCTGCCACCACTGGTGCATGCAGTTCAGCTGACTGTACGAAAGGTGATAATATTGGCTGGGTTTCGTTTTGTTCTTGCCCTTTTCTACCTGAATGTGACCATATTATGTGGAAAAATCCCTTTTGCCTATTTGACTGTTGCTCAATGACCTGGTTTTGACCAACACTACAGAGATTCATCATGGTAATGTCTACGTTGTTAGCGTATCTACTTGTCAGTATCTAGTGTAACACTGTTATGTGAACAAGTGACAATGCCTACATGTTAGTATATCCACCGTTCCACTATGAATAAGTGACAATGTCTACATGTTAGTATATCCACCGTTCCACTATGAATAAGTGACAGTGGATATGGTGTCTAGTAAGTACTAAGGAGCCAGTTGAACAGCAGTGAAATCTACGCTGAACTTCGGCCACGGGTCCTTTTCCACACAGAGCCGTGATCCTACCCTTGGCTGATTTATGACTCTGTGTGTGTGTGTGTGTGTGTGTGTGTGTGTGTGTCGGCAGCAGCGGGGGTGAAGGAGCCTCCCCCGAAGACGATTGTGTGCCACGTTTGCGGCCGCCTGTTTCGTCGGCGCGCCGACATGGCCCGGCACAAGTGCACAGCAGTCCGACAGCTCCCCGTATCACAGCAGCCTGGGTCGGTGCAGTGTCCTGCCTGCAGTAGATGGCTCCGGAGCAGGGGTGGGCTTGCAGTGCATAAGTGCCTAGGGAGTGACAACTGTGACGACCGACCGCCTTTTGATGCTCCTCCTGTTGCCGAGGTCCCGGTGTGTACTGCCTGCCAGCGTACTTTCAAGTCTACTGCTGGCCTCAAGCGCCATCGCTGTGGACCCCGCCCGAAGCGCCCTACAGTGACTGATCGCCAGCACTTTGAACATCATTGCCGAGTCTGTAGTCAACGCCAGTTTCGGAGGCGACAGGACCTGGAGCGCCATTTGAAGCACTGCCTACCTCTCCCCTAACCTCTCTGACAGTACCTCCCTTTGGGGAGCGGCGTGGCCATTTCTGGCAGCTGTCAATAATAATAATAATAATAGTGTGTGTGTGTGTGCATGCGTGTGTTGACCGTTACCATCTGGCTTGCACATTCGGTGCCTGCCTGAGGAGGATAGCCATTGACTGATACGCGGCAATGTTTGCTGTCAATTTTTGTTGTCAGGATTCCTACTCTCAAGCTTAGTTGTGGAGTAATGCTGCACACTCTGCTCACCAATCTCAAATCCGACGAAGAGTAAGTCCGGTAGTGTTGTACTATGCGGTTGAGGATTGCAAGGCAGGAAGGGGTCTTTTCCGCTGCGTGTGTGTGTGTCAACATTCAAACACAAGGCGGTGTGCTTGTAGTTTGCGTATTGTGACATCGACTACACTCAAACGCCTCTTATCCGGACGCCTCAGATACGGGCACGTCTCTCTACCGGGCACCTTCAGCTTGAGTTCCTATGGCAAAAATGTTTTGAATTTTGGGGGTTTGAGCTTTTTTCGTATGCGCAAGTGCTTATTTGTCACTGCCAACCTGTGAAATCCACACATTCTTATCAACGGATTCTTTCTGTAGCCTGAACATGTGCAATACGTGCCAAATGAACTTCTTCAAAAAATGACATGATACATGGTAGATGAGTTATCCTGAGATACAGGCAAATCTGAGATACGGGCAGTACCCGGTCCCAAGGTGCCCGGATAAGAGACATCCGAGTGTACAGTCAGACCTCGTTTATCCGGTCCTCGTTTATCCGTATCCCTCGCCATCCGGAAGAAAATCGCTGGTTACTGATGTGCAGCATATGTTATGCATACAACATAACCGGACCTCGCGATCCGCATACCGGTGCATGATTTTGTGTACAAACTGGTTAAAATGTGTACAAAATGCTTCGTCGTATCCGGTTGCATGTGGCTGGCTAGCGCTTGCAGAAGCTAGTATCAAGGAGTTGTACAAGCAAATGAGGTCCTTGACCTGCTGGATGTGTGCGGACAGCACTCAGTTGCATGCACTTGTCATTTTTCTCGCTTGTTTTACATACTGGGCACGCTAGTTGTGCTGCATAGGACCTGTCTATATGTATGTATGATATGATGTCACTGCTTTTGACATGCCACATGCATATACAGTACGTGTGTTCAGTTATCCGGTAACCTCGCCTATCCGGATATTTTTGTGGAAAACAGATGTGTGCGGTTAAGCGAGGTCTGACTGTAATTGCTTCCTTTTGTTATGCTCTGCCCCCATGCATATTAGTATATTACGAGCCTGAGCCACATTCTGTATGCGTGCAGTTGTCCGCACAGCTGCAGTGTGTGTTGAAGCGTTTGCATGAGCATAAGTACTAGCCAGTGTGTCTACTGTCTGTCCTTCACAGGCCGTGACTTCACTCTCCTGTATCTGGTTACAACAAGCCGGCTATCACCCACAACCAATTAGCACCTATTATCAGTCCCATTATCCAATCACATGCTAGTGGGTGTGTGTGTGTGTGTGTGTGTGTGTGTGTGTGTGTGTGCGTGCATGCGCGTGCATGAATGTCGAATATCCGTTTCTTTCTTCTTCTCCACTGCACAGGGATCAGCCAACGCTGCTCCTGTTCTCGATGCATGACTCGTTGATTTCCCCTCTGTTGGCTGCCGTCGGCCCACGTGACAAGACATGGCCACCGTTCTGTGTTGACGTTTCCTTTGAGCTCTATCAGGATAAGGTACAGTGGCGGCGGGGCTACAGTACTGCGGAGCGCCGAAGAACGGCCAGCCTGGAATCTCACCAACCACAGCCGCATACCAATGTATACACGGTGACTCAACTGTGCATCGTATGTAACTTAGTACATGAAAATAAGAGCGATCTAGGCTAGGAGGCTGACCACCCGGTTCTTCGGCGACCGACAGTACTGTACCCAATAAGTAACTTAGTTGAGAGTCAGAGGAAACTCAGCGTTAATTCGTTAACTTGAGCGTTGCATTGAGTGTTGCTAGGACAATCTGTGTCAATGACCCTGCACCGAGAGCCTCACTGCTGCACCTGCAAGAGTCCCGGAGAAAAGGGAGAGTTGCTTCACGATACCAGATGTAGTCTTGTGTGTTTACATAAATTGCTACTTCAAGTACTATCTCTAGGGGCGAGTGGAGGCCTGCCGTTGGAGTCTCTACATGCAATAGAAGAAAGAAAGAGACTTGAAAGTTGAAAGTAAATAAGAAGGAATGACAGGAAAGAGTATAGTAGAGATAGGAAATCACAGGCAGCTACTGCAGTAACATTACTTTGTAGGAAAGGGGCATGTTTCTAACATGTCAGTGTCTTTAGTACATGTGTTCAGCAGAGGAGATGCAGAGCGAAAGTACTTCCAGGTCTTAAATCCTACTCTATTTTTCTATTTTTTTTTCTTTTGATCTTTTCCTTACATTTGTGTGCCTGTGACTTTAGTCGATCTCATGTAATAAGGCAACACTGCCTGTTTGTTATTCGACGTTAAATAAACCAATTCAAGTAGAGGGCTGTTGAGTACTCTTCCTGGATGGCTGCATCACAGCCACTGGGAAGTTTTTCACTCGGGCATGTGGGATACGCCATCATACACTTGGCTGCGGCCCGGAATCTTCTTACATCAAGGTCAACAGGTGTCTGACCAACCAAGCCGGTACCACAGAGCACCAAACATCAAAGGCCCGAGGCTGCCATTCTCTACGTAGCGTACCAGTGCAGCCATCTGCTTCTGATATCGCTTGCTTTGTAACCGAACCCATTCAGGGTTTCATGCTATTGTATTCAGCTACTATGTCCATCCAGGGATATCACCTGGCCACAGCAAGTGGCCGTGTCATTTTGTATATCTCTGCTGAAGCAAGAAGTACAAAGTGGTAGTGGTAGTAGTAGCAAGAGTACATAACCCCCCAGAGTGTGCAACGCCTGATCCAGCTCTGCATAGGGTCTTGGTCGAGCGTAATCGGATATTTGCGTCATAATACCGTACACATCTGAGAGGAACCCGGGGAGTCGCAGGTACTCTCGGATCAAAAACAACGGTGCCCTGCCTCGAGACCGGCCTTGTGCTGGTGTGGAGTGTACGCATGACATCAGAAGATCCGATTACGCTCGACCAAGACCCTATGCAGAGCTGGATCAGGCATTGCACACTCTGGGGGGGTATGTACTCTTGGTAGTAGCAGTATTCTTTTATTTTCCATCGGAAGCCTCAACAGTGATGAACACAACTCTTAAGAGGGCCGATAACAGAGTAGAGGGGTGTGGGGTGAGAAAAATAATAATAAGAGATGTTTAAACGAAACTAAACTGTGAAGTCGCAACTTCTAAGTTCGTAAACTGTTACTTGGAACAATAAAGCAGCAGTAAGCAGTAAGCAGTAAACACAGGTATACAATACAAGCGATGCAGATCAATGAGATCGTTTGCTGAAAAGAAGATCAAAATACTTCTGAAAAGACTTTTAGCATGGTCTTAATGGGATAAAGGCAAGAATTGAAGAGATGTTTAAACGAAATTAAACTAGGAACGCAGTAAACACAGTTTATACTTGAAGTATACAATACAAGCGATGCAGATCAATGAGGGCGTTTGCTGAAAAGAAGACCAAAATACTTATGATAAAATACTTTTAGCATGGTCTGAAGGTGCTTAGCAAACGTGGAAGTGCGGTGCTGGGTGCGCCACTCCACAGGCAAAGAATTAAAGACCAGTGCAGCACGATTTGAAAAGGAATTGACACCGTAGGTCGTCCGGAATTTAGATATTGCAGTAGCAGCATTAAAAGAGCTTCTTGTTGTCCTAGGGCCGGTTGAATCTAGAGGGAAAAGGTCCGTCAGATTCGGGAGAGGGAAAACGACATGATTAACATGGATAAATTTAGCTGCTACGAATAAGGTTATGTTCAAATGGATCAATCGACAATCTAGCTAACAGCGGCATGACGTCATCTTGTAGTTTCGTGCCACAAGCAGCGCGTACAGAACGACGAAAAAACGGACGAGAGTCGCTGTCGGTCCTTGGCGGATAGCTTCGTTGCAAAGCAAGAGCAGCAGTATAGTAAGTCAGGCAGGATAACAGAGAGGATAAACTGCCGTCTTGCCTTCAAACTTAATTGCCGAAAATGCCGTCGAAGAACGCCAACCTTTGTGCAAGTCTTCCTAACGACAAAGTCTATGTGACCAGACCATTAAATATCACTGTCTACAATGCCTCCCAGGATTCTCGTGCTAGACACTTGAGTCAGAGGCTGTTGGTTAAAAACGATTGGAGTTGAGAGGGGTTGAGAAGACTTAGAAATCATCAAAGTTACAGACTTTGTCGCATTAATGTGTAGTATCCCTGCCTGGCTAATACGGAACTTTACCTGACGTATATTTAGTGTATCTCCGTACGTAAGGGGTCGTCGCAAAAGTTTTTTGTCGTCCCTGAAACGAACATGATTCGTTTGGGGGGGAGGGGGTGCGAGCCAAAATCGCAAGTCGACCGACACTGTGCATATGACATGTACATGCATGCGATTTTCGTCGTCCAGCATAGCAAGCTGTGTTCGTTTCAGAGGGAGGGGAGGGGGTCCAAGTACGAAATGAACGATGTTCGTTTCAGGGACGACAGAAAACTTTTGCGACGACCCCTAAGCGTACGGGGTCTGTTGCATAAAAGCTGCTGCGCATTTCTGTTTTCTTTAGAATTTACAGCAACGACAAAGCCGAGCAGAAGAGCTATTCAACCTCCATGTGTGCACCGGAGAGAAAGTTCTATTGATTTGCCGCTTCTTCTTTTACTTGTAATATATTCCAGGTGTGTACCTGAGAGAAAGTTGAATTAAACGCTAACTCGTGTTGATTGCACCGCGCCTCCACTCGGCTACCTATTACATTGGTGGCAGCGGTGTGTATTTTTAAATAAAACAACGTGATTCGACCCCAGACCACAATGCCTCGACCCGCTGCAGCTCCGTGCGACGAATCAAGATGAGAATCATGTTTCTTGCCTTCCTCGGCCTGGCCCTGCTTATTAGCCTGCAGCACAGTCAGGGTGCTAGCGTGGATCACCCTTCTCTCCACACGGCACACACTGGAGACTCCGATAGCGATTCCAAGCGACCCGCTACCTACATGTATACTACCGGTGGTGATGGCGAAGCTGATGAAGACGACGACAGGCAGGCTGCTGACCAAGACACGGAGGGTATTCCCCAAGACCAGCAGCGTTTGATTTTCGCCGGCATGCAGTTGGCAGACGGCCGAACCCTGAGTGACTACAATATTCAGCAGGAGTCCACTCTTCACTTGGTACTCGTCTCCGTGGTGGAATGCAGATTTTCGTCAACACTCTTCCTGGCTAGACCATCACTCTTTATATCGCTCCAAGCGATGCTATCGACAATGTGAAGACCATGATTCAAGACGAGGAGGGGGTGATTTGTCTGACGCCGAGCTAGTCGCTCTGAGTGACCGGCTCAACCAAGATGAAGATAAAACCTGGCTCGCCCTCCGCCGTAGCTCCAGCCGCCGCCGTGGTTACTAACGCTGATTCCAGGTCGTCCAAGCTCGTCTAGATCCACAGAAGCGAATCAGTGACGGTAGCGGCGGCTTCAGCTGGTGTACGTCTGCTGGCATACGTCATATCGTCAGCGAACATTGGGAGCTTGCAAGAAAAGGCCTCTGCTGTCAACGGGAGCTTCCATACATAGATATTAAATAGAACTGGACCCAGAATGGTGCCCTGTGGCACGCCACTAGTGATTGCCACCAACGGAGACTTTCCAGTGTGGGTAACCACCCGCTGTTGCCGAGCACAAAGGTATGATCGGAACCAGGCCAGGGCCGCTCCCGAAATACCGACAGCTGCGAGAGCAAGAAGAAGCTGCTGATGCGTTACCATAACAAATATTCAAATCAATACGGACAACCGCCGTGTGCAGTCCAGCGTCGCGCGGGACAAGCCAGTCGTTCGTAACCTTGGTGAGAAGCTGTCCGGTGGAACGGTGCTTCCGAAAGCCAAACTGGTCCACATGGAATGGGCAACGATCATTAAAAAACACGTGTATACGAGCAAACACAAACACAAGCCCCTCCAGGAGCTTGGCTAGGATAGACGTTAAAGACACTGGGCGGTAGCTAGAAGGGCAGTCGCGGGGGCCTTGAGTTGACTTCAGAATCGGTGTGGTGTTTGCGGTACGCGTTTTGTGACGAATTTGATCACCAAACTGTTGCACAAAATAGCGCAAGCACATCCAGCAGACAATGTCACAGTGTACTTGTGCATGGTTTCTTCTACACTCCTTTTTCTGCAGGATGACGACAAATTTGTCAAAGTGTCCTCCGGTGACAAGGTGAGTTGGCTCCTGCCGCAGCTGAACTTGCCGCATTTTAGTGTGCCCTTCTTGGAAACCGCGCGCACCAGCCGATGAAGTGTATGGATATTGTATGTACAGTAGAGAGGTGATAGACACACACCAGCAGATGAAGTGTATGCTTGGTTCAACTGTATAGCAACACTAACATCGGATGTGCCGTCTAAAACTACAAATTATGGTACAGCCATGTAGTACCCATGGCAATGAAGCGTCTGGCCCGTGTTAAGTTAGTACACTTGAAAGTGGGAAGAAAAGAGACACCGTGGTGATATACATGTAGAAGAGCCAAACACACGATGTGTCTATCGACCTACTCACATGTGATTTTGCATGTGCAGTGAGCACCATTCCACACAACAATATCATACCCCAATAACTGATCCAGAATGAAACAGTCGAAGAGTGTGTAGTTCAGTTCATTTCGATAGCGTGCATCTCTGATTAGATTCTCCAACAGTAGCTGGGTGCCTAGTTGTGTCACACAGTGCTGAGTGTGAAGTCTGTATAATAATGATTCCTACTAAAGACCAATGGGATCAGACTGTAAGTAGAACTCACTTTAAAAAAAATCTGAAACACTGAATACGGAATCATGACATCTGCAGTTCCACATCCCAGTTGCACGAGTACATGTACACCCTCCCCACTGTAAAGGTTCTTTCCTTTGTCTTCAAGGTTGCAAGTTGCTTTCTGCAAAACCTCTGCCTGATTCTCTTTATTTTTTTGTAGGATATTCTTGTGGACGGCTGCAGCGCGATCTATTGTCCTCTGGAAGAGTACGTAGACTTTGGTGTTGATGATATGCAACTGTACTTCAGGAGTGCTGCTCAGTTTCAGTTTTTTTTCACAGCTAGCATTTCCAGTTGTTCGCAACTCGGAGTCAAGGTGTTCGCCCTCTTATTTCTCGGTAGGGAGCATTTAAGCTTCTATCATTATCATCACTACCGCCATGAAACAGGTTCACTGCTCTGCTCGTCCCTTTCTTACGTTTAGCGGGGCAGCAAGCGCAGGTTGTCCCAGTTCAGCAACTGCATATGCTGTAGTATGTTTTCTATTGAAAAAGAAAATCTACTGTAAAACCGGAAAATTTCGGCGGAGATTTATTTTCAATACCTTCGGTACAGGTAATTTTTACCTAAAATAAAACGCGACCTAAAATTGAACCATACCATGCCACACAGTGTGCAAAATGCTTTTTTGCATCTAGAAAACTGGTTTACCGAAATTTTCGCGCTACTGAACCGTTGATTTTGGGAAATGCCGAAAATATTACACCACCGAAAATTCCCGGTTTTACAGTATTCAACCTGTGGTCAGTACTGTTATCAGCCAGCAGGAATCACGACCTCCGATGTGGGGAGCAGCCAAGTACTTGTACAATGACATGACAGTACATCAGTACATTGTACTGTTATGTCAGATATTGAGAAATCCATGAAAAGATAGAGTTGGATTGGCAGTTGACTGCACAACTGTATACATGTAGTACAATGGCCTGGTTTGAAAGGTTTTGACGTTTTTGTAATCCCTTTTTAGAATAGTGCTTGTGCATACACTTTCCGGCTATTTCTAGATTTGTGTCAAGCATGGAGAGGTTTGCTGTTGACGCTGAGCACCAAAGAGCTCTATGTAATGACAGGTTAGTACTACGTATGCTGTATTCATGAACAATCCCGTATGGTCTTACAGTAACAGGGTCCTTTGTGGCACAGGCAGGAACCCGGCAGACAGCAGCACAGGTCAATGGCAATTACAACAACCAACAACAACCAACAACAACAACAACAACAACAACAACAACAACAACAACAACAACAACAGCTGGAATGTGAAGCTCTTAATAATGACATTTTCCGTATTCGCTATCAATAAAACGTATCCCATCGAGTCACTAGCACTCTTTCTCCTAAAGCCAAGGTTTGTCTCATCACTCACATGAGCAGTGTTCATCTGATCGAGGCTCCACTGTAACAAGCTTCAATTGGCTTAATGGTATGCACACTTGAGAGAGAGAGAGAGAGAGAGAGAGAGAGAGAGAGGGGGGGGGGGAGGGAGGGAGGGAGAGAGAGAGACTGTTAGGACTGCCTTACACCTGCGGCAATGTAGCACTGTTGAATGTTGGTCTCTATAGTCTTGACCAGACCAGATTTAGGCTAAGGCCTGTGGAGAATCCATAAATGCGAATACAAATACCAGTGCTGGATTGGCACGCACACACACTGGGCATGGTGTATGCTGTAGAAATCTACTCTGGGTGTTTATTTTTGTTCTTTGCAGTGCGTACCAAAAGCCTGAATCGGCCGAGGCTAGGAAGGCCATGACTTACTTATAGACTGCAATGGCTTGCACTGTCGTGTGTGTTCAAGAGCGGTGTGTACAACTTGCCTGGTAGTAAGGTACTCCTTCAGATGTGGGCCATACAGCTCTCACATGACTAACAGAAGAGCTGTTCATTAGAGGACACACACATCACTGGCCAAACACGTTTAGAAGTTCACCCACCCACTGTCGCATGCCTGTGTATTACCAGCACACCGTCCAGCTGAGCTGTGACAGGTAGTCTGGAATGGGTGTGGACCCGAGCAGCTGCTGCCGGAAGTACACATACATGTACACACATTGATCAGTGATCACCATACGTCTTGGTCCTGCTCGCGGCTTTCTTACACATACGCGTACACCTCGTCTGGGCGATGCATTCTAGTGCTGACCAGAGATTCGCTGCAAGAGTTGGTGTCACCGGAGTGCTTCTGTGGTATTTAATAATTTAATGAATGTGGCATTTGTTGCCCATTCGACTTTTTCAGTGTGAAGGTTTCCGCTTTTCTTTCATTTGACAATTTGCATCATACATGGTATGACAGACACCCTTTGCCATGAAGGGAGATTGTGGTTTCCCTTTGGATACGGAAAAGTCAAGAAGACTGAAACATGAACTATGCAATTTTATTTTTAGGACCTATTTATCTTAGTCTTGCGCACACCTGAAGTGCTCGAAAACTGGTATTGCTATCATGCCATACCTTGCCACTATTTTGAAATTCCATTTTTTGCATGTTCATTGCATATTCATTGTCCGTATAGGGTTTACCGGGTGTTAGCGGCCGTCGTGAGTTCCCTTCGGGAACGGACACGATAATTTATTTTTTCAATTTTTTTTATTGTCAGTATTTATCTGATCTTAGATTATGAAAGTCAATACTACGTAGATGGCGCTTCACCACCAGATCTGATCAGGGAGTCGCCGAAATAACGGTATTCATCACGACACCCTGATTCTAACTGCTAGTATCAGTTCTTTATGCCTGTCTCAATATTTTCTGTAGAAAAGAAAAAAGGACCAAGGAACTACAAGGTATGCTATACTGTCCACTAACACCACCGGTTACTAAACAATCAGCTCATGCGAACGTCAGTCCCGTCGGTCATTGTCGTGAAATGTTGTCGCATGAGCTGATTGTTTAGTAACTGGTGGTGTTAATAGTGGACATTATAGCGTAACTTGTAGGTCCTTGGTCCTTTTTCTTTTCTGTAAATTAATCCTTGGCTCTCCATCCGAGTCAATATTTTCTCATACGTGTTTTAAAGAAAGTACCTTAAAATCCGAATCTCCACCAGTGTCTACTTGCTGTGTCTGATGCGTTTGAGATTCCAGTTATGCCTCACACGAACCGTGAATTTTTTTTATGTTCAGTGTGCTGTGTGCTTTGCTTGATGCTGTGCTGCTGCAGCGTGGTGATCAATTGAGACAAAGATAGAGGCAGAGTACATGTGGGCTTGGATAATGTTGACAATCATCAGAGATCTTCGTCACACGGAGAGTTGGACTAGTACAAAGGAAATGTTTTATGGCCATGAAGCAACAGCATTGGATCTAGAACTACCACCGGAGAAACACTGAAATCCTGAAAAAATAGCACTATTGAAAGCGTGATTAGTAAGGCGAGCGGTATTAAAGCATGTGTGAAATGGTAGTTCTAGATCCAATGCTATCACTTCATGGCCATATAACATTTCCTTTGTACATGTACTAGTCCAACTCTCAGTGTGACGAAGATTCTCTGATGATTGTCACATGAAATCCGTGCTTATTGTTCCTTTGGTGTCGTGGTATGAGTGCGGTTTTTTTACTGAATATCACAGAGCCATCAGATGCTGCACAGCGGGGGCGGTGGCATATTGGATGGAAGTGGGGGCGGGGCAGAAGTAACTCCTCCGACCAAAGGTCTCGGATTCACCGTTACTCATGTACGCCGAATCCGAGACCTTTGGTCGGAGGAATTACTTCTGCCCCGCCCCCACTTCCATCCGATATGCCACCGCCCCCGCTGTGCAGCATCTGATGGTTCTGTGGTATCGTACACATTATTTCTACCGATTATAATCATGTTTCCGTAAAACTCTAGGTGTGCAATGGAGATATTTTCCGGTTATAATCATTTACTGGCAAAACATCACTAGTACCGTATACTGTAAGGCCAGACTGCTACTGTACCGGTAACCATGGTAACTCTGCTACTTGCACAATCAATCATGCACAAATCCGCAAAGTGGTGGTGGGGGGGGGGGGGGGTGGGGGGCACACATGATACACTGAGACAGGGTGAGTCCGCTGTGAATGATGTAGATCAGGGAGTCGTAAAATACCGGTATTTTACGACTCCCTGATGTAGATCTTACTACCCGGTCGAGCAGGACGCAGTTGGGCAAGTGCGGTTGGGTGCACGACTTATTAGGGAGGTTTAGTCCCACGTAATCCGTGGGTACTTTACGTGGGTGTACCACGTGATACTCAGTGACCCACGTACAGACGTTTTCTGATTCACGACATACCGTGTATGGAGGCTCACCCACGTTCCGCCAGAACGTGGGTGAAAATCAGAATGGAGCGCATTGTGCGAGCTGTGAGGGTGCTCAGCTGAAGAAGTTTCCGAAGCACGAAATCAAAATATTAGATGAGCTTCTAAGGCCGGGGTAGCTTCGTCTTTGACCAGGTTTTGGCCTTTAGCTTTATGCTTTTGTTTGTTCCGTGTGACTAAACACAACATTGCAACGTGGGTGCCCTTCATCCACTTTACGTGGATCACCCACGTACGCGTTTCCGTTACGTGGGAACTAAACCTCCCTATTGTACATCACGAGCTCTGCACAAGCAACACAGCAGTACAGAGATGTCGCACCGGTAGCAACCGAAAATAAAAAGGGAGAATCCCAGATGTGAGACCACACCTTGCCACGTGTTGTGCGGTGAGGTTTCCGATTGGTGTAAGGTTTCCAATCCATTTGATCAATATTTTGACAAGTCTTTTCAAGTTTTTGACTGTGATAAAAAATGCTTGCTGATCATGCGGCCGTGATGGCCTATGCATGATATCAAGAGTACATAAACCGTTTATGTACTCTTGATGATATGGTGCATCAAGTGCCCACCAACACTGAAGTGCTGTTTACTATTGCCAAAATAATGAATTAGTCCTCTGACGAAATTGCACGACATTTGCTGTCTGAGGACCGTAACCTGGTAACGTGGCACTCGCGGCAGGGGTGTGACAATCTGATGTGAGTTTCGTGTACTCCGGAACGTTTCCAGAATTGTTTCGGATAACCATTGATAACACACCCCGTGAATCAGGGAGTCGTAAAATACCGTGAAAAGATCGAACCGTCTGCTCGCGCCTGGACTCGGTAGCTAGCAAGCTGGTACTCATATCCGAGTTTTGAGTCTCAGCTCCCCTCTAGCTCTGCGAGACAATCATCAATCCAGACTAGTAACTAACACTTACTAATTACTTGGAATTGGAACGGCTTGGACAAGCCCGAGCAGCAGCAGCAGTGTTAATTAATCCGACGGTCTTGAAGCGAGTCACTGATCTAGCAACCAGCTAAGTGCGCCACTGCCACGGTCCGCATCCACACTACCACAGCCTTGCACAGCGGGATCGAGACACAGCCCATCGTACCAGGAATTTGTTGAGCAGTGTAGGGAAGAGCAGCAGTACAGTGAGTAGCGTTACTGTAACCCTCCAGTTGTAGATCAGTCAGCTAGCAACCCGAACATGTTTCTGAATTCCCGCACTACTGGAACTGTGCTGGCTGGTGGCGTGGCGGCAGGGAGTGCGCTATGGTGGTGGCGTGGCTCCCAAGAAGGATCGGAGCTGCACTTGGGTAGCAGTGGTGGCAGCAGCGCCGGAGGCGGTATAGGACGGGGACTAAAGCTGCTCTCTGCACATGTAGTATTTAGGCACGGCGCCAGAACTCCCATCCGCCCATGGCTGCCAGAGCTGATGCAGCCAGGTGAGGCGACCATCGACTGGGCGAAAACAGTGCCGGCTGAGGAAGATCGGGACGCCCGCATTCCCGTGTACATCCGCAATGTCTCTGTGGATGGAGCTGAGCCGGTACCGCTTCGCTGGGGGAAGTCAACGTGGAATATGTCGGTGAGTTTCCTGCAGTATCAACAATACTACTCACTTGCTGCCATATTTTTCGGGTCGGCATTGCCCACACTCAGTGACTGGTTTAAAAAGTCGCACCCCCCCCCCCCCTGCACCCTCTTGCAGGTGAAAGGCACATTCAAATCTGATTTTGCATTTGTCTTTCTTTACATGTACTAACAAAAGGCATTTTCGGTGGGTATACCCATACTTGGGCGATCAGGCCACAAGGGGACTTTGGCTGGTTATTCGGAAATGAAGGTGCAGCTCATACCTGGGAGAATACGGTTACCATACAATGGTAAAGAGTTATACGACCTACGGTGTGTATTTGATGAGATATCCACAAATGCATTGGCCTGTCCTGGCCGGCCGGAGTGACGAGCAGCTATTCTTGATCTTGAAGAATGGCATTTCTCAGTTAGAGCACTTGGCTGACTTTGATGCTTTCATCCGGTTTAAAAATGCTATGCTGTTCTCTTGACTTCATTGCGATCGGTTTGGCCAGCCACTCTGAGCTATGCTGATGAGACCTAACAAGGTAAAAAGTTCTAAAAACAGCTAGTTATCCGGAGATTGTGTATAATGGTGCAGCCAGTAGATTCCTTACTCCAGTAGACTCGGATGCTTGTTCAGCATCGTCAGCGGTACCTCGGAGGTCTGACCGCCTTTCAGACCGGGCAAAGTAGTCTGGTCTCCGGAGTGGTTTGTGAAAACGACCATCCCGCCGGGTGCATGCTTGTGGAGGAAAGTTCGGGACCGAGCAAAAGTGGTCGGATTGGTGAGGTGGTTTGGTTCCACTGCACTTCTTTCTAACGACAGCCTCCTTGGTAAAACGAAGCTGAAAATACAGGTGTCTGGGGTGTGTTTACGCTAGGGAGAAGTACTGCAGGTATTAGTTCCTCCAACTGAACAGTTCCCCGCATACGTGTTCTCTCGATCTCTGCAGAGTAAAGTTCCCGGTCATCCATCCGGTGAGCTTACCGAGGTAGGATTTCGTCAAGCGGTGGAGCTTGGCCACACGTTACGAGAGCGCTACATGATTCAGCACGGTCTCGTTTCTGAGGTCTATTCACCAAAGGAGGTCTAGTACGTGCAGATCGACGGTAACTGTTTGCTCTAGTTTGTTTTCAGTGTGCATGTAGTGGCTGTTCAGGCTTTGCCCCCCCCCCCCCCTTTCCCACAATCCAGGGTGTTTCCTATTCGTGCCACTGAAAGTGATGCCATCACACTCTAACTGTTTGGTCTAGTGTAGTGGCCATTCAGGCTTTGCTCCCTTTCCCGCAGTCCAGAGTGTTTCCTATTCGTGCCAGTGATTACAATGTCATTCTGTTTCGGCTCTCCTCCATGGTTATTGCGGTACATGGATTTCCATTCAAACTTCTTATTTCCTCTATACCCATGTTGGCTGTCAAGTAAATTGGATCATGCTGTGCATGTATGCACTTTAATAGGGTCACCATTGCAACATGGAGTTTTAAGGAAGTTAATAGGATGTGCTGTTCCTTTATGTGTTGATAGTGTGCGCACGACAAGCTTCAATCGCACAAAGCAGACAGCGCAGGGCGTGCTGACAGGAATGTTTGGTGCCCACAAGCCAGCCGGTAACTCTACTGCAATGCTTCTGTACTAATGATCTGCTATTGGCATGACTTAATTAAGCCTGTAGTTTATTATCCTTTGTGTTACTTCGAAGTAGAATTTACTGATGTCATGTCACTCGTATGCCTTGTGATGGTTTTCTCTGCAATATTGTATATAGAATGTATCGTGTTACATTTTCTTCGACTTGCTTGACAGAGCGTGTGGTGCTGTCTACCATACCCTGGGCGAAGGAGGTCATCGTGGGAAACTCTCGCATCTGCCAGTCATACCGGCAGCTGTGTGATTGGGTCGAGGTCGGTATCCGTGGCCAGTCGGTGGCAAACGAGAGGCAGAGAGTCATGGAGGCACTGGGCATTTCGGCCGAGCGAATGCACTTCGTCTACCTGAGAGATGTCCTCGTAGCAAGGAAGGTGAGAGTCTCAGTCTAGCTGCTGCACTCCCTGCTGCCTGGTTAGCTTACATGTACTAGTATGTATGTATGCATGTTGCAGTACTAGTTGAGGGGAAACCTCTCTATACCAATGGTGCATGATCACAACACTGCCACAGTCAGTCTTCTTTGATAAGCGACCTTGCCACGGCGAGTAACGCCAATGCCAGTTTGGGCCGTTCATTCTGTTTCGCAGGCACATGATCTTCCACTGCCACCGCGGATCACACCGGAATTGCTTGATGATATCGAGGTCGGAGCAGTTCTCTGTTTTGACGACGGCGTTCTGGGAAAGAACAAGTGAGCCTGATGCTGAATAACATTACAAGTACTCATTAAAAGGCTCTCATGATCCATACACCTGCCATGAGAACTTGATAAGTCTTGCTGGAAGGATGTCTGTGCATGTACATGTATGTTTAAATTGTATTTTGCAGACACAAAAGTAGGCACTGTCACTGCAATTGTGAATTTGTGATCGATGCACACAAAGTGCAGAGCCGGTCACACACTCACACACCAATATTCTGCCACCAGTTCATGAAGTTCAGCTGGCAGTACGAAAGGTGCAATTTTGGCTGTGTTTTGTTTCGTTCCTGCCTTTCTCCTACTTGATTGTGATCATCTTATGTGGAAAAAACCCTTTCAAGCCTATTTGATTGTTGCTCAATGACCTGACTTGAAACAACACTACAAATATCCAGCATGCCACGAATCACGGTCTGCATGTTAGCATATCTACTTGTCAATATCTAGTGTAACACTGTGAACAAGTGACATAGGTATGATGTCTAGTACATGTAAGTACATGTACCAAGGAGAACAGCAGTGAAATCTATACTGAACTTCGGCTAGCGGTCCTTTTGCACACCGAGTCATCATGCCACCATTGGCTTAGAAATGACTGTGTGCGTTGACCGTTACCATCTGCCTTGTATATTCGGTGCTTGCCTGAGAAGGATAGTCATTGACTGATAAGCACTGTTTGCTGTCAATTCTTTTTGTCAGGATTCCTACTCTCAAGGTCAGTTGTGGAGTAATGCTGCACACTCTGCTCACCAATCTCAAATCCGACGAAGAGTAAGTCCGGTAGTGGTGTACTATGCGGTTGAGGATTGCAAGGCAGAAAGGGGTCTTTTCCGCTGTGTGTGTGTGTGTGTGTGTGTGTGTGTGTATGTATGTGTGTGTGTGTGCAAGTTGCTATGTCTAACATAGCTGTTCGCTATCATCGCTTCCGCGATGGGCAGGTCTGAGGTCTGAGGTGTGTGTGTGTGTGTGTGTGTGTGTGTGTGTGTGTGTGTGTGTGTGTGTGTGTGTGTGTGTGTGTGTGTGTGTGTGTGTGCAAGTTGCTATGTCTAACATAGCTGTTCGCTATCATCGCTTCCGCGATGGACAGGTCTGATGTCTGAGGTGTGTGTGTGTGTGTGTGTGTGTGTGTGTGTGTGTGTGTGTGTGTGTGTGTGTGTGTGTGTGTGTGTGTGTCAACAATCAAACACAAAGCAGTGTGCATGTAGTTTGCAAGTCGTGACTTCGACTAATTGCTTACTTTTGTTATGCTCTGTGCTCATGCATATTACGAGCCTGAGGAACATTCTGTATGTGTGCAGTTGTCTGCACAGCTGCAGTGTGTGTTGAAGCGTTTGCATGAGCAAAGGTAACTTACTAGCCAGTGTGTCCACTGTCTGTCCTTCACGGGCCGTGACTTCACTCTCCTGTATCTGGTTACAACAAGCCGGCCATCACTCACAACCAATTAGCACCTATTATCACTCACATTATCCACTCACATGCTAGTGTGTGTGTGCATGTACGTGCATGAATGTTGAATGTCCGTTTCTTTCTTCTCCACTACACAGGGATCAGCCAACGCTGTTCCTGTTCTCGGCGCATGACTCGTTGGTTTCACCTCTATTGGCTGCCGTCGGCCCACGGGACAAGACATGGCCTCCGTTCTGTGCTGATGTTTCCTTTGAGCTCTATCAGGATAAGGTACAGTGGCGGCGGGGCTACCCAACAAGTTGAGAGTCAGAGGGCTGATTGAACACAGCGTTCGATCATTGTGTGCTTGGCCGTTGCATTGAGTGCTGCTAGGACAATCTGTACTCAATGACCCTACAGTACTCGGACGCTGAAGAACTGGGGGGGGGGGGGGGGGGGGTCAGGGATCAGGGTTCTAGCCTAGCCTGCTCCTTTTTTTTAGCGAACACAGCAGTTTCGTTCTTTTTCGATGGTACAGTCTTACATGTACATTTATGCAGAGTTATATGTCTGAGTGTACATTACGGTTTCCGTTTTTATCTACACCAATCCAGCCTAGACCGTTTCTAAAAATTGGTGAAATTCTAGCCTGGCCGTTCTTCGGCGCCCGACAGTACTGTACACCGAAAGCCTCACTGCTGCACCTACACTGAGCGTCACGGAGAACAGGGAGAGTTGCTTCACGATGCCAGATGTAGTCTTGTGTGTTTACATACATTGCTACTTCAAGTACTATCTCTAGGGGCAAGTGGAGGCCTACTGTTGGAGTCTCTACATGCAATAGAAGAAAGAAAGAGCCGTTAAAGTTGAAAGTAAATAAGGAGGAATGACAGGAAAGAGTGCAATAGAGATAGGAAATCTTAGACAACTCCATTGTAAAAGTACTTTGAAGTTGAAGGCCATTGAGTACTCTTCTCGGATGAGTGCATCACAGCCACTGGGAAGTTTTTCACTCGGACATATGGGATACGCCATCATACACTTGGCTTCGGCCCGGAATCTTATTACGTCACGGTCAGAATCCTTTAACCCTTTGGAGTCCGTAACTTTTTGCTTCCGCAGAATTTGTGGCAGTCACGAAAATGCGCACTCCATTTCCAACATAACTTTGGTTCTACTTCACCGATTTTGAAGATCTTGGGCTCGTTGGAAAGCTCTTGATGAGAGAAATACAATGAGCCCAAACTCGCCAAGAGCACTATTCATTGTCCGCCACAACGCGCCCCAAACGCAGTCCAGCTCCAGATCTGAGACGAAATCGGTCTCCTGTAGCCATTTCACTGAATCTAGCCCGGAACTGTTCAAATTTTTTCGAGTAGAAGCTTACCTTGCCGTGACTTCGTGCCGCGCCGGTCCTGGCACGTGCCGCCTGTCATGAAGCTGGGAAAATCCCTTTTTTTCACGCACTGCTGACTCGCAGCACGCAGCGCAGAAAATTCGAAATGTTTGATCGCTCGCCGCTCACTCAACCTTCATCGGAGAGACTTCGGACCTTTGTTGAGGCGATAGCTGAGAGTTTTCTCTATCATCTAGACCCTTCGATTGTTGAATTTGGTCAAGATTTGGCGGAGAACCGAAAGTTTGACTGCGCCCACATGCATACAAAATGCCCATGGTTCGAAATCGAACCATGGACTCCAAAGGGTTAAAAAAGAATTGATGACGGCTGCCACATTGTGTCCAGGTGTCTGACCAACCATGCCGGTATCACAGAGCACCAAACAACAATGACCGAGGCTGTCGTTCTCTAAGTAGCATACCAGTGCAGCCATCTGCTTCTGATATTGCTTGCTTTGTAACCGAACCCATTCAGGGTTTCATCCTATTGTCTTCAGCTGCAATGCCCATCCTGGGATATCACCTGGCGACAGCAAGTGGCCGTGTCACTTTGTATATCTCTGCTGAAGCAAGAAGTACAAAGTCGTATGCATTTTGTGACAAATTTGATCACCACTGTAGGAAATAGTGCAAGCACACCCACCTGTCACAGTGTACTTATGCATTGTCTCTTCTACTCTCCTTTTTTTCTGCAGGATGACGACAAATTTGTCAAAGTGTCCTCCGGTGACAAGGTGAGTTTGCTCCTGCCCAAGCTGAAATTGCCACATTTTAGTGTGCCGTAATACTCAGAAAAACGGGCCACGCTTCAGGCTCTTCTTTTAAAAACCATCTTGAAGGTTTTCAGTTTCACTAGTGTGCTTTCACTGAGCCTTATCGTCAGGTGACATACAGACCAAATCGAATGAACAAGGACAATGGACTAAGTACAGTAGAGAGGTGATAGAAACACACCCAGCAGATGAAGTGTACGGTTGGTTCAATTGTGTCGCAACATTAACACCAGATGTGCCTGTAGTGTTATCTTATATGTGTGTGTGTACCCATTGTGCATGCTCGTTTCTCTTATTTGTACTCTTCTCTTTATAGATGTCTCATGCACCGTAGTGTACCCTCTAGTACTCTACTAGATCCAGATATGGAGTACCCGCGACTGTCTTGCTGTATGATGTGTCTTTCACGACTATTTGTGTTCTTGCACTGAGAATGAAAAGGGTTCTTTGCCTCACAACGAGACCGTGTTGACTTGGTATTTTGGTGTGCTCTCGACACGTACTAAGGACGTCGGGAGAACTTTACATGGTGGCAGCGCTGGGATTTCCTCTTTGACAGGATGGCGACAGGCGTTTCAAACAACCCTGTTTCCACTCCCACAACTACCTCCATCACGGTTTCCTCAGGTCCAAGTAATACTACGACTACTAGTAATGCTGGCTCGTCAGGAGCAGTCACTGTCTCGAGTGTTGGTCAAGCTGCACCCTCTGTCGTTTCCTCCGCGGCTGGGCTATCCCTCCCCACGGTATCATCTCTGGGTCCCGTGGCACCCCAGGTTCCGTCGATGATCCACCTTACCCAGGTAGCTCCTCCAGCCCCATTCGACTTCAAGTCCGCTGATGTGTGGGAGAAGTGGAGCAAGCGATTTACGAGATACAGGCTCGCCTCGGGTCTTCATATGCAGGCACAGTCCGTGCAAGTAAACTCTTTGTTATATTCGATGGGCGACGAGGCTGACGACCTCCTACTGAGTTTCCATTTATCAGACCAGGATGCGGACAACTACGACATCGTATTCCAGAAATTTGCAGACCATTATGGCAGGAAACGCAATCTGGTGTACGAGCGTGCGAAATTCCACCAGAGGTCCCAACAGCCCGGAGAGTCGATTGATGGCTACATAACTGATTTGTTTCGTTTGGCAGAACGTTGCAGCTTCAAGCAGCTCCACGACGAGATGATCCGTGATCGCCTTGTTGCAGGAGTTGCAGACACTGCCCTGTCCCAGAAACTGCAACTGGACCCATCTCTTACACTGGACAAAGCTCTGGCACAGGCTCGCCAGAAAGAGACTGTACGAACACAACAGTCCACTGTCCGTCACAGTTCGTCAGCTGGTGCAACTCTTCACCAAGTCCACGCTTTTGAACAGCAGCATCACTCTGCATGTGAGTCGTGTACCTGTGCACTGGAGCTGAATGCACTTAGCATGCGACCACAATCTCACCAAGGTGTGAAACATCCGGCCCAGTACAACCACGATTCAACTGGTCATGCTTCACAGCCCCGCAGTACACACAGTTACAGTGGTCATCCTCGCTCAAGTCAGTCTGCACCCAGGCACAGCTCTGGCATTGATCAATCTAGTACCTGTCACTGGTGTGGTAAGGAACGCCATGCACGCACTCAATGCCCAGCTCGTCAGGCCAAGTGTTCATTTTGCAGCAAGATTGGACACTTTGCTGTTGTTTGTATGCAGAAGCACACTAGTACTAGTAGCTCTCAGTCTGCCTCGAACACCAGTCACATGCATAGTCTGCAGTCCTCTGCTGCTAGCTCTGGTCCACTACAGTCTGCTGACCAGTGGCACTATCCTCCAGCCTACCTAGGTGCATTGTCCGCTGATACTGGATGGTCTATGCCCATGCTGCTGCAGTCAGTGCCAGTTACAATGAAGGTCGACACTGGTGCAGACGTAACTGCCATCCCAGCCAGCTTATATGACGACATATCTGCTTACCATCAGCTCAACCTCCAGGAATCCGACCGTACGCTGAAAGGTCCAGACAACGCAACTCTAGCTGTTTCAGGCCGCGTCACACTCAGTATCTGCCGTGCTGCATTTTCCGACTTTGCAGTAGACACGACAGTGTACGTTGTACCGCACCTGAAAACACCTCTGCTCGGCCGGCCAGCAATCGAAGCCCTACATATCTTCAGTCCGCCAGCAGATTTGCTCAGCGCAACTACCGGTACTTCTGAGCAGTCCTCCGTCAAATCGCAGTACCCTGAGCTCTTTGCGGGAGTTGGTTCGTTTGGCAGCGAGCACACGATTCGGCTGGTCGATAATGCACAGCCTTACTCTCTGCCTACACCACGCCGTATCTCTCTACCGATGGAAGCCAAAGTTATCGAAGAACTGCAGGCCCTCGAACAGAGTGGTGTCATTCGCAAGGTAACTGAGCCAACCGATTGGTGTGCCGGTATGGTAGTGGTTCCTAAACCCAACGGTAACGTGCGCATCTGTGGCGACTTTACCCGACTCAACCAGGCTATCCGACGGGAACGTCACATCATGCCAACAACCGATCACCTGCTTGCTCGCCTCGGCACAGCCAAGGTCTTCTCGAAGCTGGACGCGAACAAGGGCTTTCACCAGATCCCCTTGTCGCTGGAATCTCAACTGCTAACAACATTCATTACGCCCATCGGTCGTTTCTGCTTTCGACGCCTCCCGTTTGGCATCTCCTCTGCACCTGAGTACTTCCAGAAGCAGATGTCTGACCTGCTGAGCGACCTGCCAGGCACAATCTGCATGATTGACGACGTTCTAACCTTCGGTGACGACGAACACGAGGAGGAGAAGAATCTGCATGCAGTCCTGCAGCGTCTCTCATCAGCCGGAATCACACTCAACCCAGACAAGTGTGCTTTCCACCAACGTTCAGTCAAGTTCCTGGGACACATCCTCGACGACAACGGCATCCACCCTGATCCCCAGAAAGTGCGCGGCGTTCAGGAGCTGAAACCCTGCACGGATGTCCCTGCAGTACGTCGTTTCCTTGGCATGGCGAATCAGCTGGGAAAGTTCGTACCGGATCTAGCAACGGTGTCTCAGCCACTGCGTGCTCTCCTGGGCAAAGGCCAGGAATGGTCCTGGACCGAGGAGCACCAAGCAGCATTCGACGCGATCAAGTCAGCCCTCAGTTCGCATCCAGTACTGGCGATGTACTCGACTACCCTGGATACGATCATATCTGCGGACGCCTCATCATTCGGCCTGGGAGCAGTCCTCCTTCAGGTGCAGTCTGACGGCTCCATTCGTCCGGTTGCATATCAGTCCCGTTCTCTGACACCAGCTGAGGCCCGCTATTCTCAAATCGAGAAAGAGGCTCTTGCTTCTACTTGGGCATGCGATCGTTTCGAACATTTCGTACTTGGCAAGCCGTTTACGATCCAGACCGACCACAAGCCGCTCATCCCGCTTCTAGGCAGCCGTGCTCTAGACGACCTACCGCCTAGAATTGTCCGTTTCCGTCTGAGGCTCCTTCGTTTCAATTTCCGCATTGTTCACGTGCCAGGCAAGGATCTCGCCATTGCTGACGCTCTCTCCAGAGCACCCGTTTCATCAGAACAAGTCGACAGCCAAGATGTTGATCTCCTCGCAGCTGAGACAGCAGCGCTCGTCGACTACGCCGTTGATTGTCTGCCTGCAACAACTAAACGCCTCGATGACATCGCCGAGTGGCAAGAGTCTGATCAAGTGTGTGAGTCGCTTGCTCGCTACTGCGCTGACGGCTGGCCACACTCATCCGACGCTCCTTCTGATGTTCGACCATACGTAGAACACCGGGCACACATCACACTTACCGATGACGGTCTGCTGCTCTACAACGACAGGTTGATCATTCCCGCATCTCATCGCGACGACATTCTGTCACGGCTCCACACTGGACACCAGGGCATAGCCAAGTGTCGCCGTCTTGCCCGCAACTCTGTCTGGTGGCCCTCCCTCAATTCGGATATTCAGCTGTATGTTGCAAATTGCTCGACGTGCGCCCGCATGCACACTCAACCAGCTGAACCGCTCATCCCAACAACACTCCCTGATCTACCATGGCAACGTCTAGCTGCTGACCTGTTCCACTTTGGTTCGCGTGACTTTCTCCTACTGGTAGACTACTACTCTCGCTACATCGAAGTCGTCCAGCTGACGTCAACATCATCCAAGGCTGTAATTACGCACCTGCAAAGTATCTTTGCCCGTCACGGTATTCCCGAGACATTGATGTCGGACAACGGTCCACAGTTTGCGTCTGAGGAGTTCCGTCGATTCGCCGAGGAGTTCTCATTCCAGCACGTAACCAGTTCTCCGCTATATCCGCAGGCTAATGGTCTCGCCGAAAGATCCGTTAAAACCGTCAAGCATCTATTCACTGCCTCTCCAGATTGGTACAGTGCGTTGCTCACGTATCGCAATACTCCTCTGGAATCCGGTTACAGTCCTGCACAGCTCCTAATGGGTAGACAACTCCGTTCACGTGTCCCCGTGTCCAGCTCGCAACTGCAACCTCAGTTGATTTCGACATCTGACTTTGCCGCCGCCGATGCAGCTCTCAAGGCCCGGCAAACCAGCAACTACAACGATCGGCACCGTACTCGTTCTCTGCCGCCTCTACAAGCTGAGCAACCAGTCTATCTCACGGATCGCCATGAGACTGGTACAGTACTCCGTCAACCCGCCATTCGCTCATATGTTGTGTCTACACCCTCGGGTGAATATCGTCGCAACCGTCGACACATTGTTGCTTTGCCGTCCGCCCCTCCGGTTGCGCAGGTTCCGAAAGCAGCTTCAGCACCAGATACAACACCACCGCGTCCACCACAACCTACGACAACAAGTACCACATCGTCTACAACCTCTTCTACACACTCAGCCGTTCCTACATCCAGTACAACATCAACAGGCACAACCATTACTCGTAGTGGTCGTACAGTGATACCTCCTGATCGTTATGGTTTCTCTGACTGAACTCGCATCACCATTACCTCTTTCCTCTCTTGCTCTGTTGCTCTACTCTTCTCTACGCTTTTCTCATGCGTATGCGTGTATGTGTGTATGTGTGTGTTCTTCTTCTTTTGCGGAAGGGAGGGATAGGATTATACATAAATGTTTTGCATTATTTGGTCTTCTCGTCTTGTCTTTCTCTTTCCAACTTTCACTGCTATGCTCTTTCTCCTTTTTGAAGAAGGGGAGATGTAGTGTTATCTTATATGTGTGTGTGTACCCATTGTGCATGCTCGTTTCTCTTATTTGTACTCTTCTCTTTATAGATGTCTCATGCACCGTAGTGTACCCTCTAGTACTCTACTAGATCCAGATATGGAGTACCCGCGACTGTCTTGCTGTATGATGTGTCTTTCACGACTATTTGTGTTCTTGCACTGAGAATGAAAAGGGTTCTTTGCCTCACAACGAGACCGTGTTGACTTGGTATTTTGGTGTGCTCTCGACACGTACTAAGGACGTCGGGAGAACTTTACAGTGCCGTCTAAAACTACAATATAGTACGGTCATGTAGTACCCATGATAATGAAGCGTCCGGCCCGTGTTAGCACACTTGAAAGTGAGAAGAGAAGAGACACCGTGGTACTATAGGAGAGCCAAACACACGGTGTGTCTATCGACCTACTCACATGTGATATTGCATGTGATATTGCATGTGCAGCGAGCACTATTCCACACAACAGTATCATACCCCAATAACTGATCCAGAATGAAACAGTCGAAGAGTGTGTAGTTCAGGTCATTTCAATAGTGCATCTCTGATCAGATGCTCCGATGAGAACTGGGTGCCTCAGGCTAGTTGTGTCACACAGTGCTGAGTATGACATCTGTTTATAGTGATTCCTACTAAAGAGTCCAATGAGATCAGACTGTAAGTAGAACTCACTTGAAAAAAATCTGAAACACTGAATACGAAATCATGACATCTGCAGTTCCACAGCCCAGTTGCACGAGTACATGTACAGCCTCCCCACTGTAAAGGATCTTTCCTTTGTCTTCAAGGTTGCAAGTTGCTTTCTGCAAAACCTCTGCCTGATTCTCTGTTTTTGTAGGATATTCTTGTGGACGGCTGCAGCGCCATCTATTGTCCTCTGGAAGAGTATGTAGAATTTGGTGTTGATGATATGCAACTGTACTTCAGGAGTGCTGCTCAGTTTCATTTTTTTCACAGCTAGCATTTCCGGTTGTTTGTAACTCGAAGTCTAAGTTTTCGCCGTCTTATTTCTCGGCAGGGAGCATTTGGCTTCTATCATCATCAACATCAATATCGCCGCGAACAGGTTCACTGTCCTGCTGTTCCCTTTCTTCCGTTTAGCGGGCCCCAGCAAAGCTCACTCGGGTTATCCCAATTCAGCGACTGCGTATACTGCAGTATGTTTTCTATGAAAGCAAATCTACTCAACCTGCAGTCAGTACTGTTGTCGTTCAGCAGGAATGACAACCTCTAGACGTTGGGAGCAAGTACACTGGCATGTACTGTTATATCAGATAATAGAGAAATCCATGAAAAGATAGAGTTGGATTGGCAGTTGACTGCACAACTGTATACATGTAGTACAATAGCCTAGTTTGAAAGGTTTTGACGTTTTTTGTAATCCCTTTTTAAAATAGTGCTTGTGCATACACTTTCCGGCTATTTCTAGATTTGTGTCAAGCATGGAGAGGTTTGCTGTTGACGCTGAGCACCAAAGAGCTCTATGCCATGACAGGTTAGTACTACGCATGCTGTATTCATGAACTATCCCATAGGGTCTTACAGTAAGGGTCCTTTGTGGCACAGGCAGGAACCCAGCATCCTGCAGACAGCAGCACAGGCCAACTGCAATTACAACAACAGCAGCAGTAACAACAACGACGACAACAACAACAACAACAACAACAACAACAACAACAACAACAACAACAACAACAACAACAACAACAACAGCAGCAGCAGCAGCAGCAGCAGCAGCAGCAGCAGCAGCAACAACAGCAACAACAGCAGCAGCAACAACAGCAACAACAGAAGCAACAACAACAACAACAACAACAACTCTTATTGGCCACTGGCTATCGTGAGAATAAAGATTTGAACAACAACAACAACAACAACAACAACAACAACAACAACAACAACAACAACAACAACAACAACAACAACAACAACAACAACAACAACAACAACAACAACAACAACAACAACAACAACAACAACAACAACAACAACAACAACAACAACAGGAATGTGAAGCTCATTATAATGACAGTTTTTCTGTATTGACTGTCAATAAAACGTATCCCATCGAGTCACAAGCACTCTTTCTCCTAAAGCCAAGGTTTGTCTCATCACTCACATGAACAGTGTTCATCTTATCGAGGCTCCACTGTAACAAGTGTAACACAGTGCATATTGCATTTGGGCATGCCTCATTCATTGTACCATATATTGACCTTTGGTAAATACCCACACTCATTAGTGACCACACCATCAACAGTATCAATTACTATCAAATTCAAATAAATTTGCTTTGACTCAATAAATACCACTGTACTTTTCCATGCAGCACTGCATTTGTCCCAAAAGCCAATAAATACTGTTTATAAAATACCACTAAGGCCAATAAATACTGTTCATAAAATACTCCTTTTTAGGGAAAGTGAAGGTCAACATATGTATAATAAATGGAGTAGCCTCAGGATTTATTGCAATTACATACCAGTTGTAAAAAAGGGTTTACCGGGCATTAGCGGCCGTCGTGAGTTCCCTTCGGGAACGGACACGATAATTTACTTTTTTTTTTTTTTTTTTGTAAAAACCTCTGGGGACCTCGGTTTTTATACTGGTATGTAATTGCAATAAAGCCGTCGGCTCTACATTTATTATATACTTGTATGGAGGGATGCCAGTGGTTTGGGAACAGTAGATCGTGTAGTTTAGGTTCGAGCCACCTTGTAAAGCTTTATTCTTTTTTCTTGTTTTCATACTTTTTAGCAGGCATCTGATACTTGACATCATGCATGACTCACTGCATTTCCTAGTTGGTGCAGTTGCACCACACCTGTAGTCATGGTAGTCACATGCATAGCCGCGGGCTTCTGATTGGCCAGAGAGCACTCTGGCCAGGTATAAGTAGGGCTTTCACACATCAGTTCATGCTCTTCTGATTCAGTCTGATTCTGAGTCTACCATGATCTGATCTACAACTGAACTGTGACCTACTCGTGAGTTTGATCTGATGATTCTCCTTGTCTGCTGCCTGGCCCACTGAGGCCAGGCTACACAAGCTTCAATTGGCTTAATGATATGCACACTTCCTCTTGTCGAGCACTGTTAGTCAAATCGTGACATGTACATGGAAAGGGACAGAGACAGACACCGGCAGACACAGACAGAGCCAAACACATAGAGAGACAGAGAGAGGGCGACAGATAGAGGCAAAGAGAGACTTTTGTGATTGCCTTACACCAGCGGCAATGTAGCACTGTTGAATGTTGGTCTCCATGTGACCAGTGCTGGATTGGCACGCGAGCGCGCGCGCACACACACAAACACACACACATGCACAGGCACACACACACACACACACACACACACACACACACACGCACACAGGACATGGTGTATGCTGCCGTAGAAATCCACTCTGGGTGTTTGTTTTTGTTCTTTGCAGTGCGTACCAAAAGCCTGAATCGGCCGAGGCTAGGAAGGCCATGACTTACTTATAGACTGCAGTGGCTTGCACTGTCGTGTGTGTTCAAGAGCGGTGTGTACAACTATTACTTGCCTGGTAGTAAGGTACTCCTTCAGATGTGGGCCATACAGCTCTCACATGACTGACAGAAGAGCTGTTCATTAGAGGACACACACACACACACCATTGGCCAAACAAATTTTGAAGTTCACCCACTCACTGCCGCATGCCCATGGAGTACCAGCACATCATCGAGCGGGTCAGCTGTGATGTAGTCTGGCATGGGAGTGCATCCGAACAGCCAACTGCCGGAAGTACATAATGTTGTACACACATTGATGATCACTGCCGAATATATTTGCACGCCTATTGATCAGTGATCATCGTACGTCTTGGGCGTGCTCTTTCTCACACATACGCGTACACCTCGTCTGGGTGATGCATTCTAGTGCCGACCAGAGATTCACTGCCAGAGTTGGTGCATGATCTGTCACCGGAGTGCTTCTGTGGTATTTAATAATTTAATGAATGTGTCAGTTGTGGCCCATTCGAAATTTTCCGCTTTTCTTTCATTTGACAATTTGCACCACACTGTGTGTCACACTGTATAACACCTTTGCCATGAAGGGAGATAGGAGCGATTGTGGTATCCCTTTGGATACAAAAGTCAATAAGAGTCGATAAGACCGAAACGTGAATTGTGCAATTTATTGTTGTTTTTTATTTTTTATTTAGGACCTATTTATCTTATTCTTAGTCTTGCGCACACTTGAAGTGCTCAAAAACTAGTCCGTTTTAAGTATTGCTATCATGCCATACCTTGCCACCATTTTGAAATTCGATTTCAAGTTTGCGTGTTCATTTTCCGTATTTACTATTTATCTGATCTTAGATTATGAAAGTCAATGCGCAGATGACGCTTCACCACCAGATCTGATCAGTGAGTCTTCGAAATAACGGTATTCGTCACGACACCCTGGTTCTAACTGCTAGTATCGGTTCTTTATGCCTGTCTCAATATTTTCTCATGCGTGTTAAAAAGTCCCTTAAAAATCCGAATCTCTACCAGTGTCTACTTGCTGAGCCTAATGCGTTTGAGATTCCAGTTGTCCTCAGTGTGCTGTGTACTTTGCTTGATGCTGTGCTGCTACTGCAGTGTGACAATCAATTGAGAGAGCGATAGCGCCAGCAGAGTGCATGCGGGCTTGAGTAGTACTGGTCTAGCAGACACTCATCAGTCTCGGCAGGCCAGGCTTGCATGCAGATTGTGACGACCAACAAGGTAACAGTTGCAACTCATGCTCCGATCCTGGCCAGAGGGCCATGTGTACTGTAGTCGACCCTGTCCGCGTGGTTGTTGAGATCTATGCCAAGGCCTAGGGGGCGTCGGACACGGTACGGTCACTACGGTATTGACCGTACCACTTTTTGCCCCGTGTACCCCGTGAATCAATAAAATACGCTGATCTGGGCTCTAAATTTCCAAAACTGTCGGCCTTCCGACGCCCCTGTATGCATCATATATTCCACTCTCACTACTGAGCAATGGTGTTGTGCTACTCCCAGACTCCCGTCGCATGCCGCTGTAAGTATCAGACCTACATGGCTTTAGTAGCCGGTTACGGACAAGAGTACATAGCGGTTAACCACGAGTATGCAACTGTGATTGTGCGGGGTCAGTAGCCAGTAGGCACTATTCACATGATTCAAGACAGGGCACTAATCGGTCGAGTACGGTTTAGTTCGTCGGTTGGTAAGCGCTAGGCATGTCATGCACGCTGTGATGTTAGACGACTTGCCGTACTCCCGCACACATAAGCCCACGGGCTTATGTCCGGACATAAGGGAGGTTCTGCTATACGTGAAACGTAGAGAAATCACGTAGAGAGCAGGTGTCTGGGTCAGAGTCTACGGCTTCGCGTGTTTTGGCTCCAGATTTCTACGCGGAGATGGGGTTCTCTACGTTGTGGCACACGCAGAGAAAATGCGTACGGATTTGCTGGGTATCGATCAACTGCATGCAGAAAACTGCCAAATATGGAAGGGGAAATTCCCAGTACACATTCCACGTGACTTCTCTAGGTGAAACCAAGAGTACATAACCCCGGGGGGTTATGTACTCTTGGTGAAACGTAGAGCAGAACGGCATTTCTTTACGTTACGGGAACGCGAAGAAAGTTCGCGTGATTCTTTGCGTCGCGTTCCCAAAACGTAGAGCAGAACCTCCCTATAAGCACATGTGAAACACCCGGGAGCTGAATACAGTACTACTACTAACACCATTGTTTAGGACACAGTACAGACAAACTCATGCAAGTTTATTGCACATACCATGATAATCGCATGTGCTTCTACCATAATATTAATACCAGAACATGTTTACACAGTATACTTGACACAGCAAGAAATCTTTTTGCAGCAATTTTTCGCTTATCAGCGCATGCGCGCTTATAGCGATACATCATGTGGGGAATTCGGTATGACTGTTATTTTTTATTTTAGCGTCTTGATCTTGCATGTCTGTACCGTACACGTAGATCTACCGATCACGTCTGATCTCTGATCTAGCCAGGTTTCTTTCACGGTTCTTTACTGGTCTCGTTGTTTTCGTATCCTTTGCTCTTCGGTCGCTCTTTTCTCCACCCGTTGATCGAAGTCGGTCTTGTTCGAAGTTGTTTGTGTCAGAGAAGCACAGCATTGGTTATTGCGGTGCTCCAACTACTAGTACGAGCCACGACCCTGAGACGGTCGCTATCCGAGTTTCGCTCGCTTCGTCCGTCATCATATCTCACTAGCTCATCGCTGGTGTTCACTGTTGAACAGTATCTAGATTCTAGGCCTGGCACTCGAGTCGTTTATCGCCCCGTCGCCTGCGCTCTCCTCGTGAAGAGATCCATCAAGGTTAGTTTGTGTTCTTTTTTTGAAAACGTTTCTTTCGTTCTGTTCTGTGTGCATAAAAGGGCTTGAAAGTCATGACATCAGAACTCAACAAGTGGATAATGACATCTCACACTCTGAGTCACAGTGGATCGATCCAGTCTGCCCAAACTGCCAAAGCAAAGTACAGACTCAGTATTGTACTATAGTGCGTAGCCCCTTCGTGTCGCACGCAAGCGTGAATTTTTCCTGTACCAGGTCAGACAGGAGTGGGTCCCCCCCCCCCCCCCGACCAGGATGGGCCCAGTCCCGGCGGATGTGTCGTTGTGACCGCATGGTCACACCCCCGCCCCCTCCATGCTGTGATGGGAAATCACCCAAACCTGTAATAGGCTGTATGGATCCATACAAATACCGTAAAAGCCCGTAATAAGGCCCTGGGCGGAAACACTAGTGAAGGGTCCTGGCGCTAACGTGGACCCGGGCCTTATTTCGGGTACATGAAATCCGAATTCATTGTTCTTTTCACATGAACATGTACATACCGCACTACAGTCAGACCTCGCTTAACCGCACACATCTGTTTTCCACGAAAAAGTCCGGATAGGCGAGGGAACCAAATAATGGAACACTCATACTGTATGTATGCATGACATATGCTGTAAATCGGTAACCAAAGGTTTTCTTACGGATGACGAGGGATCCGGATAAAAGAGGACTGGATAAGCGAGGTCTTACCGTACTACTGTGTTCAAGCATTCGTGGTAAGCGCAGTGTACATTGTACAGTGTAAACCATGGAATACTCCCTTCTGATCTTAGTTCCTTACACAATCCAGGCTGTATAATCTACAATTGACGAAACTTTGTGGCGCTTTCCGATTCACAAATCCAGGCATACCCGTTTTCATATCTTAGTTTACGATAGTCGGATCTGCCATTTTTTTCTGCCAATGCTTATCTGTACTATCTGCGACACTACCGATTCTTCCCCTCCCTCCAATTTGAACCCCACCCTTATGCCCTTTTCACCGCACAAAACTCCCTACGGATTAGCATCTACGGGTATTTGCTTTTGGAGGATTGCTTTTAAATTCAAGGAAGAAAGAAAGAAACGAAATGCTTAAAAGAGTTTTTTTTTAGTACTCCTTGGTGCAATTATTACCGCACATTCATGTGGAGCTGTGCATGCACTACGCCAGCTGCGTACTGGGCCTGTGCGGAGTTCTCCCATGGGCGTTCACTTGGAGGGGATGGTAAGGGGGGGGGGGGGGGGCTGAAACGGAACAAGAGTGTTGACATGCGGCACCTGGGCGCGTGCACGGATCAGTAGTGGCCGTTATACTGGGTGGGTGTTAAAAAGTCAGGGTTGTCATCACTCCGGGCTGACTGTGTCAGTGACGTAGCACTTTCAAGCCCAATATAGCCCGTGTGAACTTTACATATTTTAGTCATGGTGTCCTGCTGGTGTGCGTAACAGTTACCAATTGCTGCACATGTTATCATGCTCAAAGAGATCTATGACTCTATGTACAGTAAAACCTGTGACTACAGACCACCGTGACTAGCGACCAGCCTGGTACTACAGACCACCGTGACTAGCGACCAGCCTGGTACTACAGACCACCGTGACTAGCGACCAGCCTGGTACTACAGACCACCGTGACTAGCGACCAGCCTGGTACTACAGACCACCGTGACTAGTGACCAGCCTGGTACTACGGACCACCGTGACTAGCGACCAGCCTGGTACTACAGACCACTTCACCAGGCACGGACGGTCTCACATTCATATTTCATACATGTATAATATTATAGTTATGCAGTGCAAACCTCTAACTAAAGACCACCTGCCACTAAAGACCGCTTTCTCTGGCCCCAAGGGCAAGGGGTGGTCGTTAGTCACAGGTTTTACTGTACATGCACATGTACTTGCTATCTCCGTGCTGGGGGCAGTTTTTTAAAGGAGCTATCTCTCATCATCAGCTGCCTGGTCTTACTGCTACATACATGTGCACTGTAAGCATGAAACTCTAAACTGCGCTGACTAATGCCGAGTGGTCCCTCATCTCCCAGGTGTGAACTGCTCTGCGCTCAGCTGGTATCGAGTACTATTGCAGCAGCTGTTGCTACTTCTCTAGGAAGACCTACGTGTATAGAAGCTGGGTGTATCCTAGGCTAAAAGTATTGGATACTGAAACTGAAGAAAAAACGCAGCAACAACAAGGGGTAAGTTCACGGCAAAAAAGAAAGATGTAGTGGCAATATGTGAGATTAAGGAATTGCCATTGCCGTGCAAGTGATTTCCACTCAGGAGCAATGTGCATTGACTTTGTTCCTTGTGAGTGGACCAGTACGGCTGATGTTTACATTTACGCTCTAGGAACTACAGCCTTTAATTTGTCAGCTTTTTAGGTAACGTTTTAAAATCATCTTGCTCGTGATCCTTTCCAGCAAAGGCATGTGCATGCTTTTGAAAAAAGTCCTACGCCAGTACAACAAACTGGCAGACACTGGCCTGTTGTTGACACTCCAATGTCCTTATAATTATACTACATGTATTATGGTTAACATCAAGAGTCTAGAACTCCTCTGTACATGTCTTGCTTGGACTGAACGGTACACATGCTACTGCCTATAAATGCCGGAAAGAGGCCGGTGAAAGCTGCCCTGACACTTGCATGCAAAGTGCAAGCCATAAAAGGGACACAGAGTGAGCTGGTTAATCACCATAAGCATCTAATTACTGCCTTTTACTTGAAAACCTTACTGACTCGTTATGTGCATGGCTGCATACCGGTGTGTCTGCTTGGCAGTTCTACGGCCAGATCAAAGGCAGCAAGAGTTGCAAGGATCACAACACTTGACAGCTTGAGCGAAACTGTGTTCTACAGTAAGTCATGCTAATTAGTGCTGCGGTATAGGTATGATGAGACCCCTTCATTGCTTCAAGTACTGCATGTGTACTTTGAAGTGCATGGAGCAGCCAAGTGTATGGGATGCACAAGTAGCCACTTGACCGGTGAATTCATACCTGTGTAGTTATAGTGTTTGGCAGTGAGTGCTCCTTCACAGCATGCAGCAGCCCCTTATAGGGATAGCAGTGCAGCTGCATAGAGACTGTCCCAAAGAGACTGACTGAACTTGTTTACCCGTTTACATGAATTTATTACTGACTCACTGTGCTGGCCTGAGTCTTTTGTGCCAGCCTTTCCCCGGCAAGCCCGCTACGAATGCAGCACTCTCTCCGAAATCACTGTGCGGGCTTCACATGGTCTATCCTGTGGAGATGCTGCAAGCAGCCACACACATAACCATACTATGATCAAGAAAACAGTCTACATGGCACAGATCTATGTGTCAACAAGAGTGTAACACAGTCAAGGTGATGGAGTCCCCTGGTGTCACCAGTGATTTGCCCGATGATAGTGACTATGAATCCCTGCGGTAGAATTTCAGCATTCCACCATCACCTGTAATAGGAAAGAGCCTTGGCCAAATTTGCAACACGACCTTGACTCTTCCTTCATCTCAAGTTGTTTGGTTGGAGAGAAAAAGGGATAAACTGTATCATGGGATACGCATATCTACACGTACATGTTGATCTACATGCGGCCAGATGCATGTCTCTTGAAATGAGGGTGTGACTGGTCACAGGGATGCTGCTTGTACAGTACTACTAATATGGTCATTTCCAAGCTCAGACTATGCCTGATAATGTAGGAGTTGTGTTTACTCCGCAGGGCCAAAGTCATATTCCTCAGTCGCCTACTAGAGAAACTGTTGTGATCTATAAAAGGCCTCACTCAGGAATGCGCCCTTGAGCGAGTGCAAATGCTAGTAACAGCTGAAGCAATTGTAAAACGCTGGCTAGGGCACCACTACTGCAACTCCGTGGATCAATCAATTTGTTCGCAAACCAAACGATCCACGGATTTGCTCCATTGTCTCTTTACCAAGTTCGGAAAAATCTAGTAAATTGATATTTCGGCCCAGGACCATCATCTTTGTTAACTTATAAACAGTGTGTCAGCAATAAGCATAACATACAAGAACAGGGTGGCGAGCTCATCACCGGATAACTCCACGACGTGACATCCGTTTGAAACGGTTCCACTGGACTTTATCTTGGGCTCTCTCTCTCTCTCTCTCTCTCTCTCTCTCTCTCTCTCTCTCTCTCTCTCTCTCTCTCTCTCTCTCTCTGTCTCTCTCTCTCTCTCTCTCTCTCTCTCTCTCTCTCTCTCTCTCTCTCTCTCTCTCTCTCTCTCTCTCTCTCTCTGTGACTCTTTCTCTGACTCTCTCTCACTCTCCCCCCCCCCCCACACACACGCATACACATGGAGAGACACAGGCACACCCAGACACCTGTCCTGTCGAGCCACTGCCAGAAGGGCCAGGTGGGCCTGAAGGGCACCGGAGAGAGGATAAGAGAATGTCATCCCATTGCCTGGGACACAATGGCGAGGGTTCGTCTGGATTTGGGTCATCGGTGATTGCGACCACGAGGCCGACGTATGGTCGGGGGAGTACTGGAGCAACGGTGCCTATTCAGGGGTGTCGCACACGGCCCGGTCACCACGGAATTGGGAGTACCACTATTTGACCCAAGCAAAGAGACTATCTTCTAGCTTTGCAGTGCGGAGCGTGGCGCTTGAGGTCCCCAGGACGACGGCAGACCTGTCAACATGCGCAGCGGAAGCCAGAGTTATGATCAGGGGGAGTACAGGCGGGAGGACGACGGTGAGCAATCTGAGCGACCCCCTCCCTCCCCCCCCCCCCCCCCCATCCACGAAAGCGGTGGTGTGGCGTCATCGTAGATGATTTCCGGTCCATCAGCCCCCCCCCCCCCCCCCTGCACCTTCTGACTGCTGGCGTGCTGTTGCCCAAGATCACCCCCCCCCCCACACACACACACACGCGCGCACATCGTTGGATGCCCAACGCCGGAAGGCAGTGACTGCCGTCAAGCCTTTAAACGGTAATGCGGCTTCAAGTCGCAGGCACACCGGTAAGTCCAGATGGGAGGGAAACCCTGCAGCTACTGCTTCTGTGCGTCTGACCAGTTATTGAGTAATTCCATGGTGATCGCCAATCACACTGCGTGTAAACTGCAAGCGTGTGCATGCTCATTGTTCTAATGAGATCTCCTCGCCCTGCTTGGCGCAGCCCTGGACATTGGGCAAAGCCGTGACCTTGCGCTGAAATAAGCGGGTAGATAATGTCGTCAACATCTGCTCTCCTATGTGTGTACTTCAGTATATGCATGTACATGTATCGTCAACATCTGCCCGCCTAGGAGAGTAGATATCACGAATATCTGCCCGCCGAGCGCTTTTCCGGGCACATAACACGCTATACAGGTAATGGTACAGTGCTGGCAACTGAAATCCGACCCCTGATTTTTGAGCTCGAGTGCAGCACCAATTCTAGCGGTCTCTATTTCGTAGTGTTACAACTAAAATCCTGTGCTGGGTCCTTGCAATGTGAATGCACCGCTCCAGGGGTCGGATTTCAGTTGACAGCACTCTACATGTACATGCCCAGCTAAATGCATGCATGTTTCATTGCTATCACTATATATGTATCAGGTTCGGCTTCATTCTCTGTGCTTGCTGCGCTGATGGGTCCACCAAAGTTCGCACATCCGCGTTACCTCCGGCTTACGAGAAACACAATCTTTAGAACCGTCCACCTCTCCACACTGCGCTATTGGCCCAAATTCACAGCACCACTCCCCATACTGGACCATAGCGAGGAAGTTCGTCACTTTTCTATGTAGGAAGTGAGCAATTGCGCCACTTTACCCTATAAATACACTCATTCCTTTATCTGCTATTCATTCGTTATCTACCTCCACTGAGGAGCTCTTAATGAGCGAAACAGCTGTCTGCAGGATACGGAACATCTACCCAAGAACGAACTTCCTCGCTATGGAGTGGTGTTGTGAATTTGGGCCAAGAGCGCAGTGTGGAGAGGTGGCCGGTTTTAAAGATTATTTTCAAATGGCCGAGTTTGTCGCTACTTCTCAGTTACGAGAAACACAACCAGTTGCTTAGAGAAGTTTCGCTCGTGCCAGGCCACCACCATGCCTGATTATACCAGGGTGGCAGACGCAACGCCTAACGCTATAACAACGGTGAGGGTGAGATGGTAAGTCTCATGGCCAATGCCCGATATGCCATTGGGGGCGAACCTCGTTAGCTGCATCTATGTTAGCTGCATCTACCCTGATCTACACTACACTCTACAGACTGCTGGCATGGCCAAAGAAATCCAACCTCATGAATAAAGTAGTGCCGCCGTGCGCCATCGAGTGCGCACGAGTGCACAGCTATTTTATGCATGAGGTTGGATTTCTTTGGCCAGTCCTGTCCTGTATGTCATTCCAAGTAGTGAGTAGATCTACTACCCAGTTGACCGTGGGTGTCGGTGCAGTTCATTCATGATTGTATGTACTTGTGAGCAGCAGGCAAGCCCACAACCACTCGGTCAAAGCGCTGGTACCCCAAGGACGAGGGCAAAATAATTCTGCCTGCAGATTGAGTAATTTTGAGTCTACTCTATCTCCAACTGTGTGTTGTTACCTGTAGTGACACACATAAAGCTTTAAAGGCACATGCGCTTATGAGTGAGTTTTTGTGTTATTTTGCTAGTTTTGCAGGTCGTTTTGTCTCACACATACTGTGACATAGGCGCATGCGCTTGAGTTGCTGGTGCACTAGTACCTTGCATAATTATGCACATAGTGCAATATACCGCAATGCACATTGAACTATGTGAACATAGTGTTTTTGTGGTGTCTGTGTGTCGCGGGGTGAACTGCATTTAGGTTCACTTATAAGCCCTTGCGCTTATTTGTGAGGGTGCGCTTATGCCCGGGTATAGGCACATGCGCTTATATGCGCGTCACTACGGTACATGAAGTAACAAATTGACATACATGTACAAGTCATGTAATTGTTTAGTGTCAAATACAGTGCAGTGGGGGGGGGGGGGGGGGGGTAATGCTAAGCAACTGAGATCTGACCCTGGCCCTGGTTTCGTGCTCACGGCGAGTGCAGCACACACGATACCGATTATAGCACTACACATTGTAGCGGTCTCTAGTCTGTAGTAACTAGTGTAGCTAGATGCAGCTAACGTAGTATACATGCAGCTAACGAGGTTCGCCCCCAATGGCAATGGCATGTCGGGCATTGGCTGTGAGACTTACCATCTCACCCTCGCCGTTGTTATAATACTGCTGCGTCTGCCACCCTGGTATAATCAGGCATGGTGATGGCCCGGAACGAGCGAAACTAATAAATATTGCTTCTCTCCTAACAGCTGGTTGTGTTTCTCGTAAGTGAGAAGTAGCGACAAACTAGGCCATTTTACTAGTGTACGAATGACAAGCGCGTGCTGGGTTTTTCTGTCGACATGGTGACTGTCTGATCAGGTGAGCTCCAGAAAGGAACTGTCAATTGTCGTGTAAAAATGTGTACTGGTGGTGTGCTACGCATGCGCGAACTCTACCAAACTGTTTTGGTAAAGCCAAATGACATACTGACATACTCACATAGTGCGCAAGAGCTGTTTTGAGCGACGTCCAAACTAGGCGAAGGACACATCGGGAGCGCTAATAAGGTATGATGGTGACTCCGACCGAGCGTGGTTTTCTTTTGGTGCGCTGGCGGCAGTAGACATCTGTACTCATGCACCTACCTGTAATTACTATTACTAATAGTATAGCACTAGCAGCTAGATTGACGTGGTTGTCGCCATCCCCCGTAATCGATCTCGAGTTGGCCTGTTTCTCTCAAGTAGTTTGCTACTACTATCCACTGCTGCTTCTAAAATTTTTTAGTTGCTTGCTTGCGCCCATTCTGTGATTTGTGATTGTAACAGTATTGTTCTTGCTGCTCATCGGTGATAAGAAAATATTCTCTGCATGCATCGTTTCTTCACTGATTTTTACCGATTGAAGACAATCTCAAAAGGACAGCTCGTTCGCTACAGCACAAGTTCCGCGTTCTTCAAATATGGACGGTAATATGTTTGACCAAGGCCCAAAGAAAATGGATGAGCTCGTTTCAGAGACAGTAGGCGCAAAAAAGAAGCCGAAGAGAGCATCGGCTTCTTCATTCACTGACCAAGAGCCAGATGGAGCTGTATCGGATGGCGAAGATGGTGATGATGGCGATGAGATGGTCGTCGTCAACGGGGAGCCTGTGCCCAAGAAAAAGAAGACCAAAGGACGTGTCAAAATTAAAATGGAGTTCATCAACAACAAGTTGCGGCGTTATACTACGTTCAGCAAGCGGAAAACGGGTATCATGAAGAAGGTAAGTCTCGTTTCATTTTCACACCGACGTGTTATTGATGAATTTTGAATGTGGTTCTTGTTGTAAATTCTGCAAGTATGAAGTAACTTAGTTGTTTCTGTTGACGTTTGTGTTGCTCGCAAGACGCAATTCGTCTCCTACTAGTCTTAGCGCTAGCGCGCATGCATGCTTGCAGCCCGAATGCGCACCATACCTTGTTCGAGTACATGTATACAGCTGTGTAAGCATAAGCTTTCTACCTATAATATTATAAAAGTCTTGGTACTAGTCTATCGATGTGAGATATTGGGAAAGAAGCAAAAATGCTTGGAAATTCATAAAATTAATTTTTTGTTGTCTAAAATAGTGAAACATCATAATTATTTTTATAAGTAGAAATGAGGACCAAGGAACTACAAGTTACGCTATAATGTCCACTAACACCATCAGTTACTTTACAATCAGCTCATGCGATAACATAATCATTGCTCGACACTAACCAACGGTACTGACGTTCTACACCTAACTAGAAATCTGCTCTAGCACATCTTGGATGCGCACTCCAACAGCCTTCCAGCTTGGAAGATTGGATGATGCATGCTACATGTGGGTGCGGGCAGCTGGCTGACCTCGACCAGTGACATGAGCAATTCTCTCTCCGTGCTTGAAGACGAAGCAACAATTTCATCAATGTGCGTGGGCTGCCATGCTCTATTGACGCCTGCATGCACTGTCTCATCGATCCAAAAGATTTATTCAAAAATGCAACCCCACCAATTTCTCTATGGTTATCGATAGGCCAGCTACTAGCGCCGCAACTTCAGGCATAAGAGATCGGCTCTGCGATAAATCACGGTATGCACTGTCAGCATAGGTTGAAGTCGACCTACCGGCACCAAAGGGTTCAGACTCAACTTGAGAGACCGTGGCAAAAGTACGCAGAAGCCCACAAAACAAACACAATAATTATTACCGTAAAGTACCGCCAGAGCACCCCGTCTCGCGAGAGCGCCCCACCTTGATTTTACAGCCAGGGAAAGGAAAATCGTATGGCACAGTGCAACGAAGTTTGTACGGTGTGAAAACCTTAGTATACTAGTCACACTTGGCAAGTTTTTGTGTGGAGCTCTTGTCCACTTGAAGTAGATTGAGTACGGATTGACTGCTTAACGTGTAATACGTGTACAAGGTTCGTGTCATATTGCCTACAGGCAGGAGATCATCTCCACAATACGACCACGAAAGGACGAGATGGTGGGGCGCTCTGGCGGTACTTTACGGTGGTAGTTTCGGGCGCCCCCCCCCCCCCCCCTCCACCAGAAGAATGAACATTGTTTTGTTGATGTCGGATGTGGCACGTAGATCTATGTTGCACGAGCATGCAGTGCAGGTCGTTCATCCCAACGTAGATCTGTGCGAGCTGCGCGCACCATCCATGCATGTATGTATGTGCAGTCGTGGCCAAAGAAATCTGACCCGCGAATCAAAAGTAGCGCCGCGTTTCCATTTCAATTACACTATGCAGGCTCCAAAAACAGATCTGAGGGCCGCAGCGGCCGCATGAGCCTTGGCGCTGCTTTCGGCATGTGGGTCGGATTTCTTTGGCCATGACTGTACATTCGCAAATCCTGCTTTGCTATTCATTTTTTGGCTAGAACCCCCCCCCCCCCAGGCCCCCTCGGAAAAAAATTGCCATGCGCCAACACTTCCTTGGTGTGTATGGTAAGAATTGAGTGTAGTAGCACAGATCATCTTTATAGGTAGCAGCAGCAGCAGCAGCAGCAGCACATGTTCTGTGCTCACAACCCAGTGTTGTGCATGTAACAGTAATCTACGAGTGGCTCTGAGACTGTTTGGCAGTGAAGCAGATTTCTGAGATCCTCTAGATGAAGTAGGGCTGAAACAATTATACCGATAACTCGCATATCGATCGTTAAGAGTGCTATCGATAATCGTTAGTGCTCAAAACGAGTGCTAATGATTTTTTTATGCATGCATATCAGTGACAGCATTCTAGCCCTTGCATGCACTCCATCCGATAGTGAACACGAGTATAATCATGTACTTTCAAGCGAAGTCAAATTGATTTGTGGCTTTGAAAGAGATCGGGAGAGAAGACTTTGTCTTTTCGGTTCATTTGTGGGAGAGGTCGGAGATAAGAGCAGTTGCCAGATGGTGAGGACAAGATTCTTTGTTCTAGAAACAACATTGAAATTTTCTAGTTCATGTTGACAAAACCAGCCAAATGTCTACAGATGTCAACAGTGCAGAGCCAAAATGTTCTAACGTAGCCAAGGTATCGTGGAATTTATTCATAAACTGGTGTTCGAGGTACACGGGTAGAGCCGACAAGAATCGATAAAACCAATATATCGATCGTTAATGATATCGGTTGATCGTTAGGAGTTATTGAATGATCGTTTCAGCCCTAAGATGAAGTACTTGTACCTGGCGCGTACTGTATAACATGTAGTTGCAGATGTGGTAAAATGTCGGTGCCAGGGACCTGCCAGGTTTCAGGTGTAATGTAGAATTAGGTGACCAGCGTTCCCTGCACATATACAGTGCATACTCCAGTGCCATTTAGGTGTAATCTAAAGTTTAGGTGTCTGGTTTCTCTGCCGAAATTTAAGTTTAGCCGAAAATAACATGTTATACAGTATGTTAGACTCGGGTGGAGAGCCAAGGATTAATTTATAAGAAGAGTTATACATAATTATATTAAAGCATTACTTCTAGCTCTTTGGTCCTCTTTTCTTCTTATACAGTATGTGTTCATTTTGTGTCTCTGTGGGTGCATGTACGTGCATGCTTTCGTGCGGTGCTGCCATGTGCGTGTGTGTGTGTGCTGCATCAGGCGTACGAACTGAGCACACTGACAGGTACTCAGATCATGCTGCTGGTCGCATCAGAGACTGGGCACGTCTACACGTTTGCCACTCCAAAGCTGCAGCCCATGATCACGTCCGAGAGTGGAAAAGCTTTGATCCAGACATGCCTGAACACGCCCGACCCGCCGGCAGATGAGCAAACCAGCAGAATGGTCTCGACTGGGTATGAAGAGACTGATCTCGGCTACCCGGTTGACACGGAGGACGACAGCAAGCAGGTAAACTGTTCTTCCATGAATTGATATTTCACTGTCACTATTTGCATACAAGTTTATTTATGATATGTTCGTAAAGTAAGTACCCGGGTATGAAGTGTATTGGCATGCAGCACACTTGTGTCTGTGTATTCTAGGGGTTTTCCTTCGAGCATCTATACCTGTTGAAAACACATTGCGTGTGCGTGTGTGTGCGTGCGTGCGTGTGTGCGTGCATGTGTGTGTGTGTGTGTGCGTGCATGTGTGTGTGTGTGTGTGTGTGTGTGTGTGTGTGTGTGTGTGTGTGTGTGTGTGTGTGTAGGGGTTTGCTGGCCAGAAAAACCACTTCAATCAGCCGTGTGGTGTAGACCAGGCAAAAATTATTGGTGGTCAATTCAGCAGCCTTGCATGCTGTTGAATGGTGTAGTCCAGTACAGGTTGCTATGTCTGACATAGCTGTTCGCTATCACCGCTCCAGCGATGGGCATGTCCGAGTCTGAGTGTGTCTGTTGGGTAGTAATAACCGTTTCCAGTGCAAGAGCACTTACTACAGGTTTGGCCGGCATGATGCGTACACGCAATGTTGACATTGGGCACTAAAAAATAGTGCCGCTTTTCTCACCAGTAATGGATTCTCATCCTAGGCTCTCTGGAAAGCTGAGAACCTCCTTTGTCAATCCATGGTGCTCAGTGCTGCGTAGGCACAGAAGAACAGCCTACAGACACGTAGTACAATTCGACACTTGGAGACAATTTCTTTTGGTTTGCAGCTCATACTCAACGCACAGCAAACAATTCAAACATCAGAATCAGGCTGTTCAAGCGCTCATTTGGTGCTGGTCACGCATGGGTGGTGCACTGGGGAAATCCCCGCACTCAAATACTTCAGCATGAGTGCGTCACAATCACACGCTTGAAATTTCAACTTCACCCGTATCCTGGACTTCGAGCTTTGGCGCTTGCGTACTTAACTTTGCGCTTGCATCGTTAGAAAGCTACGTTCGGTAGCTTTCCAATGAGCCCTCAAGTTGAATTTGCAGTAGGGAGACTGAAGTTATAGCAGTTTGCACAGTGGCCTATGCGTGATGTACCGGTAGTTGTTGTAATAATGCAATCTTTGGACGTGGATAATACGTATTGTGAGATGCACTAACTCCTCTCCACCTTCATTCGGTCTGTTACTTTAGGCCTCTGATGCTGAATATGAGGATGCAGACATGGTGGTTGCTCATGAAGTTGCCACTATCAATCCAACTCACGAAGTGTCTTGCATGGGTGTAACCCCACCACCTCCTCCGCTGATGGGCAGCTCGGAAACCGGCGCACATGGTGAACAGGCGCATGCCAGTGTGTCGGCGAGTGCTACTCTATCGCCACCTCATGCACACGCCGTTGCTGCTGCTCAAGCTGAATCCGTCAGAAGTAACAGCCAGCACGTCGTGACCAGCAATCCAGGACGAGCCTTGACCGCTGGTAATGCACACTCGGTTACAAGGGGCGGCGCTCAGTTGTCAACGCCAGCAGTGACCAGCCAGTACCAGCAACAACTGCAGCAGCAGCAACAACAAGCGCACAATGCTAACAGGCTGGCAGCTGGAGCAAATAATCCTGTCGTGGGAGCATCTAGTATGCCAACAAACAACTTTATGCCTCAAACCAATGGCATATTGATGTCGTCCCCAGGGAAGGCTAGGGTAGTACGAAGGTAGCGCTACTCGCATATTTAGGCCAGGTCATGGAGAAAAAACAACTGAACCTGTTGTGAACCTGTAGTGTATATAATGCTTGGTAATGGTGCAGTCGTCTGCAATGGAGTGCTGTGCAGATGACATTGTGTTAGTGCTAATGTTGAAATGTGTACCGTGACACATGGAATGCCATGGCGCCCATTGCCTGATGAGTAAAGCAACTGCTAGTCTGCTACTGTACATGCAAAGTTAGTTCAATGTTCTATCCGCTCTTATGACATTCTTCTCTACATTCTTCGTCTCCGGGATTTGGCATGTGTTTGTGTTTGTCACTGTGGACTGCTTGTGTAATGTTGCTGTGTAGTGATTGTGGTAACATGTAGAGTTGTGGATACGCGATATTGAAACTGACAGGGGCTGCCATTCACACGTTCATGTACTCGTCTTGATTTGTGTCTGTTGATGTGTAATCTGCTTGTATATAATTATATGCTTTTAATTTCTACCGCCCACGGCCGCACAAAGTCCTTGGCTACAAAAAAAATTGAAAATCTCTCCGAACCAAACTTCAAATTATTTTTGTAGCCAAGGACTTTGTGCGGCCTTGGGCGGTGGAAATTAAAATCATGACAAGGCTACAGAGGAGTTACGCCATTCTTATTATATATGCTTGTATATATAAGTACTAGTTTTCGCTTGGAGTTTCACAAACCATGTGAAAATTACTTTTGTAATAGACCGCTTCGAGCAAGGCCTAGTTTAATTTTTTCTTTATTACTTGGAGAGTTTGTTGCATTACGCGGTACACCATGTATATTGTGACCAGTCATCTGTGTTCTTTGATTTTCTAATAGTCCAGATCATGAGTTGGTTTGTTTTGTCCAGTATTTTTTTCTTCAACAACCGACGCCTGCACTCGGCAAACAGAGTGCACAGTATTCGTCTGGATTCTGATCGACATATTTCAGCATGGGTCCGTGTGTGCGCGTGTGACGAAACTCTGCACCTTCACTTGCTTGGCCTGCACACATATTGCAACTTGATACTTTTGATGGCAATCTTGCCAAAACGTACAATGATTAATGGACCCAAGAGTTCTCCTCCCTACTTCTGATATCAGGCAGTCGTCAAATACTATGCAACTCCTGCGTGAAAATACATCCAGTGCCCCTCCCCCCCCCCCCCCTACCTATTTACATCATGCTAAATGGTGTATATAACTCCTAACTTAGAAGGGTACTTGAGTACTTGTACTGCCCTCGGGGCTATCTCACGAGGTCGGAATTTTCTGGCTAGGACTGTACTTTGTCGGCAAGGATTGCTCTTGTCCAGTGACCCGGACATGGGTCAAGTGTCACCAAAACTGTGACAGTTCTTGCCTGTACTTTACCTGAAGAGAAGGCCCGAAAGCACACAAGTGAAAGTTCAAAATGTTGTTTGTTGAAGAACCGGAAGTGTGTTCTCTTCCTTAGTGTTAACAACTGTGAAGTACCGTATTTTCCGGAGTATAAGCCGCACTGGAGTACAGTGGAGATTGGATATAACGACACTCCTTCGGGAGAGAACAAAATGTCCATATTCGATCTGTCACTAAACCCGATCTTCACAGAGGACTTACTAAGCGACTTGGGCAACAGAATTGTGTCGCTAAACTCAATCTGTCGTTTTATGCACGGTCGTTATATGCACGGTCGTTATATCCCATCTCCACTGTATACGGCTGAGACTATAAGCCGTACCCGGGTTTTTGTCACGAAACACCCTACAACCATTCATTTGACTATCGTAGCAAAATCCGCACTGACCTTTTTGGGGTGCATTACCAGTGTCTAAAGTGCGGCGTATACTCCGGAAATACGGTAACGTTTTAAGACAAAACTGTGAAGTACAGTAAAACCTGGTTTAAGCGACCACCCCATGGTGCAAGCAAAAGCGGTCGTTAAAGCCAGGTGGTCTTTAGAACCAGGTCCCACAGTGTCTGTGTAGAACTGTCCGCGCATGGAAAAACGGCCGTTAAAGGGGAAGTTAAGGCAAAAATTAAAATTTCACCAGTTGTAGTCTTCGGGGTGCTGAGTCGAATGGTCGTGGTCCGAGGAAGCTGAGACGCTCCTTTCCTACTTGAATCCCAAACGAACTCGCGCACTTCCACCGAAACTGGGTGACTACGCCCTACTAGATGGGGATTTGTATGCAAAATGTCACTAAAAGCGCCATTTCGTTCTTATAAAAGCATGGATGACCGCGATTGGCCCATATGTTGTAGTCTTTTGGACGCTGAGTCGATTGGTTTTGGTCCGAAAGGGCTGCGATGCAGCGTTCCTCCTTTATTCCCAATAGAACATGGTTGAACAAGCGGTCACGTGCTCCTGCGTACGCGAGTCACCTGGTAACCGTGCCTGCAGGGTACAACTTACTAGCCTGTTTGACCTTTTTTGGGTGCGGTCCTGTCACTCGAGTTGAACCTTGGTGTGAAAGTTGTCGCCTGCTGGCGTGGTGACCAGGTGATTTGGGCACCCAGGAGCACGTGACCGCTTCTTCAACCATGTTCGATTGGGAATAAAGGAGGAACGCTGCATCGCAGCCTTTTCGGACCAAAACCAGTCGACTCAGCGTCCAAAAGAGTACAACATATGGGCCAATCGCGGTCATCCGTGCTTCTATAAGAACGAAATGGCGCTTTTAGTGACATTTTGCATACAAATCCCCATCTAGTAGGGCGCAGTCACCCAGTTTCGGTGGAAGTGCGCGAGTTCGATTGGGATTCAAGTAGGAAGGGAGCGTCTCAGCTTTCTCGGACCAAGACCATTCGACTGAGCACCCCGAAGACTACAGCTGGTGAAATTTTAATTTTTGCCTTAACTTCCCCTTTAAGAGCAGGTGGTCGCTAAGCACAGAGGTCGCTTACACCAGGTTTTACTACAGAGTAATAATTTATTGACAAGACCCGGTCCTAGAAGTGCGGCGTCTACTCCGGAAAATACGGTAACGTTTCATGACAAAACCATGAAGTAACATTTTATGACAAACGAGTAGACAAAGTAATAATTTATGACAAGTTCCGGTCCTAGAAGTGCAGCTTCTACTCCGGAAATACGGTAACATTAAATTTTTATGACAAGTTCTGGTGCTAGTCCAGTGACCAAAGTTACTCCCACCGGGCGACAGGCACTGGCCGATTGTCAAGTCATGAAGGCCCGCGCTCTTGTTTCTCATAAAATACCATATACGCACGGCACACATCAACATTACACTGTTCCACTTGCCGCACGGTCGCGTCCGATATCCTCCACCAGGTCGAGGGATCCGTGTGGCCGCGCCTGTACGCCACATAATGTCCTCCTCCGGCGCCGCCCTGATGCACCACGATGGATTTCAGCCGGTAATCGCGCGATCGCCACGACCTGAAAAACACACGCATGGCACATGGGTCACACGCTGATCCGGACATGTCTCTCAACAGGACAGTCCCGGCTTATGTGCAGTGCTGTCACCCACTACCGGCATGCTGTGTTACGATGCCGAAAGTTAGGAATGCCGTGGTTGGGAAATTTCAGCACCCATTACGCCGAGCCACTGCGGCACTGTAGTTCCACTAACTTTACTGTGCATACAATGTTGGTAAACCTTGTCAACTTCCTATTTGTATCAGTAAGCAGCAAGCAGCATGTTATTACAATTTATAAAGTTGATGCTGCACAGCTGCCTAGACTAGTCTACTCACAGACTCAGAACAGACAGAAGGGTGCCTAGTTGAGAGAGGCGCCCGGGTGCGAGAAAAAAGTCTGGATAAGGGATGTTTGGTGCCTGGCCTCGCAGCAATAAAGGGATCCGCGACACCAGCCAGTGCTGCCACGTTTTTTTTAGTGCAACAAATTTTGGAGCATTTTGGAGCACTTTGAACATATTACACATGTTTCGGGTGCTGGTCGTGATGCTAGTAAGTGCGTTTTCCTCTGCCCAAGGTGTACGTCTTATCCGAGTTCTACTGTACACGTGCAGTAAAACCTTTGCTAAAAGACCACCAGTCTACAAAGACGGCTATTCTGTACACCAGGCAGCATTCGCAACTAGACACAGGTCTCGCTGTACCCTACTACATGTCCATGCGGGTCCTCAGCAATGACCCACCCAAGTCCTTTTCTGCTGCTACTCAGAGTTTCGTGTTAAAGAACACTCATCGGACGACAGCATGATAACCTACCCTAGTACATGTAGCATGTGAAAAGAAGTGAAGAAGTGCGCTCACCTGTACTGCTGCCGTACATCTCCAGCTTGGGCATTACCGCCCAGCCGCTGCTGCTGCTGCTGATCTCCATGAGCAGTTGTGAACGGGCTCATGTCGAGCAGTTCCGGGCATGCAATCGCCGTTTCGCTCTTCAGCGGCGTTCCCGTCCGCATCCAGTAGAGACGCTGGATCTGCAAGCACAGGCAGCGCGGCAGCCGGGCCACCGACACAGACTTCGTGAAGTTGGAGCGGACCGTTGGCGTTGCCGCCGTCAGGTGGCTACTGGTGACGCGTGCCAGTGTGCGTGTGCAGCTGTCACATTCCACGCCTTCCAGTGTTTCTTGTCTGCAGAACCACTTCAGCAGCTGAGCCGTCGGCACAAACACACTGGTCGACCAGTATCGCCGCGGCAGCAGAAGTGAGAGACAGTCAAAATGCGAGTACTGCAGCGGACGGCACTGCCCGCACGCTGTGCACTGCATGCTCGTCACCAGCAGACCATTAAACGGGTCGCCATTGCTGCCACCGCCGCCGCTGCCTTGAAAGAGGTAAGGCAGGGCGGTGACGCTGCGCCGTGGAATGGTCACACCGTGCGGCACATCCCGTAGCGGCAGCTGCAACGCTATGTGAACGTCCAGTAGAGACAGAGTGTCACGCCACATGCTAAACTCATGCACAAGGGCCATCAGCATGATGTGGAAGAGCTCGTGAGCATCTTGCTCCTCGCCGCCAGTCTTCCAGCCATGCGAACACAGTGCTTGCAGCATACTCTCTGGCCAGTGAACGGCAGTATTACTATTATCTGACGATAGAGCCAGCATAACCTGATGCACACCGACGGTCATCGGCATGTAGTCTTTAATTCCTTCGGGTATATTCTTGCAAGCATCGCTCATCCAGGACACAAAGTGAGAGCTACCTGCCAGAGCCTGCAGGGTGGCGTTCATGAAACATGTATTGCCTAGATTCTGCAGGCCCCTTGCCCCTTGGAGCGATGTACTCTCGGATTTCGGGCCCAGAAGAATGTACAATCCGGCGGATGCACTGGCCGCTCCGACTGCCCAGGGCGCAAGGCGCTCCAGTAAAGAAAAGTCCATAACGGCAGAAACGTCAAGTACTGATATTCAATGGAGAATGATTACACCGGTGGGAATCCAACGAATCCATAGCACATGCAGTACTCAAGCACAAAGAGATGAGAGACTCTGACTGTCACCCATCAGGTGCAGAACTAGTTTACTCAGGCTCGAGGTCCATGATAAAAACATCAACAGAATATCTTTGTCTTCTGCTCGCCCAGTGTGGTTGAGGAATGAACTTCACAATCAGGATAACAACTCCTTCCTCACAATCAACAAAATGAAGTATTTTCAATTTCAAAACAATAATAATATTCATTCACTCTTTTTCGAAATAAAGAAACAACAAGTGCGCGATGCACGTGAACCAGGCGTGGCATATGACGTAGATGTCGTTGCACGGAAAAAGAAAAACAGAACTACACTGACACTGTTGAGTGTTGTACAAGTACAATGCAGAACTGAACTGAAGACGAACATTCAAAAGAACAATTGCTACTACAAAGTACAAGTACTGTCTTTAGCTTCCCACATACTAGTATAGTATGTCCTTCAGCTGCATAGGCCATAGCACAGATCCGGACCTGTCTATCTACCAGGAGTTGTGTACCGTCAGTGTCTTTTGAACCTGCCAGTTGACGGACCCTAGTGTTTTTCGTTTTTTTTCCAAAGGTTCGCTCGCATCAACACACCTGTTCTCAGAATGACACCTGAGCTGCAGCTGCTTTAGTTCCTGTTTTTTTTTAATAGTACTTCCGCGCACTACATTGGAGGAATGTTAGTTCGAGGTGGTGTCACTTGGATCGTGACGTTTGCTATTTGCTGGTACTCAGCAATTAAGCTTAGCTCTTCAGCTGATACGAGCAATTTCAAAAAGTGCCAAGATGTTTCATTCTGCAGGTAAGTATTATGCACTGGTAGAAAAGCAAGTTGAATACACGTAGATCATACCAAGAGTCCATACCCCCCCCCCCCAACAGTATACAACTCTGCACATGGGGTCCGGGACTGCATGCTGCCCACATTACGTGGCCTCAACTGGGGAATTGGCTGGGCTGTGGGGTCAGTATTGACAAGAGTACATAACCCCCCCCCCCCCCCCCCCCCCCAGAGTGTGCAACTCCACTATGGCCCATATATGGGTGCTGTCCCGACAGAATTTCAAGTTGACGTCGTTTTGAAGGAGCATTGCGTCATAAATAATGACGTCAACTTGAAATTCTGTCGGGACAGCAGGGTGTGTGGGAGTTGCACACTCTGGGGGGGGTTATGTACAGTACTGTCGGGCGCCGAAGAACGGAGCGCCGAAGACCGGCCAGGCTAGAATTTCATCAAGCACAGCATACCAATGTATACGCGGTGACTCAACTGCGCATAGACTGTAATACATGAAAATAAGAACGGTCTAGGCTAGGAGGCTGAGCCCCCAGTTCTTTGGCGACCGACAGTACTGTACTCTTGGTATTGACAAGAGTACATAAACCTTGGTATTGATCTACAGTCAAACCTCACTAGGACGAACTTCAAGGGACCGAACGAGTTTGTTTGTCTTTAATATCCGGAGTTCTTCTTATCCAGATCTGACAAAATAATTGATATGCATATCATTTGGATTGTATTTACGTGGACGTGCATGCTGTGGCAAATGTAAAACATTTTTTCATAACATAACCCAGCAACAGGTAAGCACAATGTGCAATGAATTCATGACAGCAAACATCCGCCTTGTAACATGTTTTGCCAGTACAAGAAGCCTCGACTATCGTAAAAACTTCAGCCAGCGTACCCACGGGGACCGAAAGTTCCTACTACAGTCATGCTGATTTTGTTCAAATCACGCTTGAAAGTAGTTTGTCTTCACGAATGTTCGCCGTACAGAGTTCGTCGCAAACGAATAGTTTTGACTTGATATGATGTTGATTCTCAGGTCATGAGCCTGTGAAAATCGGTGCGAGCGAGCGATTTGCGATTTTTTATTTTATTTCCCACAATTTTTTTAATTTCCAAAGATAGGGTCACACATATGTACATGGTCACATGTTCATTAACTCTTTACCATCCGTGTGTACTTGAATCGATCTCTAGAGATCGATGGACATGCATACACTGAAACATTCGTAACTCGATCGATTCTTTGCGGAATTAAAAAAACTAAGTATCTAGGAAGAAGCCGAAGAGCCCAGCTTTCCATTGCATCAATCGGTGAAGAGCTGCGATGTTGCATTCCAAAGATATGACGCTCGACATTTCAGCCACGGCAAAAATCGAATTTCTTTCCGAGTGACAGACCTTGAGCGGGGACTTTCCCCTCTCCTGGCATGCTGAGTCACTTTGGCATGCTTTGAGCGCGTGGGCAGCATGAAAAGAAACTCAAGCAAAAAATTGGAATGTTTACGATGAAGGAGCGAGAAATGGCTGGTGAGGAGAGAATTTCCTCGTATATCCAGCGATGGGGTGTATTTGAAGCTCCCTGGCGCTGGGTATGTGATCTCGGTTGTGTCCTGTTTGAGCTCAATGTACGCAGCTCGTGGAGAGCTTTCCAGAATGCCCAAGATTGCGAAAATTGGTTGACTAGAACCGAAGATATTCTCAGAATACGGTGAGACAAATTGCATTTGGGACTGCTGGGGAATTTAGGTCGGATGGTAAAGGGTTAAAGGGGAAGTTAAGGCAAAAATTAAAATTTCACCAGTTGTAGTCTTCGGGGTGCTGAGTCGAATGGTCTTGGTCCGAGAAAGCTGAGACGCTCCCTTCCTACTTGAATCCCAATCGAACTCGCGCACTTCCACCGAAACTCGGTGACTGCGCCCTACTAGATGGGGATTTGTATGCAAAATGTCACTAAAAGCGCCATTTCGTTCTTATAAAAGCACGGATGACCGTGATTGGCCCATATGTTGTAGTCTTTTGGACGCTGAGTCGACTGGTTTTGGTCCGAAAAGGCTGCGATGCAGCGTTCCTCCTTTATTCCCAATCGAACATGGTTGAAGAAGCGGTCACGTGCTCCTGGGTTCCCAAATCACCTGGTCACCACGCCAGCAGGCGACAACTTTCACACCAAGGTTCAACTCGAGTTCAACTCGATTGACAGGACTGCACCCTAAAAAGGTCAAACAGGCTAGTAAGTTGTACCCTGCAGGCACGGTGACCAGGTGACTGGTGTACACAGGAGCACGTGACCGCTTCTTCAACCATGTTCGATTGGGAATAAAGGAGGAACGCTGCATCGCAGCCTTTTCGGACCAAAACCGATCGACTCAGCGTCCAAAAGACTACAACATATGGGCCAATCGCGGTCATCCATGCTTTTATAAGAACGAAATGGCGCTTTTAGTGACATTTTGCATGCAAATCCCCATCTAGTAGGGCGCAGTCACCCAGTTTCGGTGGAAGTACGCGAGTTCGATTGGGATTCAAGTAGGAAGGGAGCGTCTCAGCTTCCTCGGACCATGACCATTCGACTCAGCACCCCGAAGACTACAACTGGTGAAATTTTAATTTTTGCCTTAACTTCCCCTTTAATTCAGGCCAGGGAGTAGAAAAATACCGGTATTTTACCACTCCCTGATTCATGCCTTTCGCATTGACCGTTTTCATGCGCGCATATGCATGCATAGAATTTAAAAAAATCGTCGGTGCACCGCCAAAAATCGGTGCGCGCGTACTTGAGAATCAAAGATATTTTTTACCATGGCCTTATCAGTGTTCGTCTTATCAGTGTTCGTCTTATCAGTGTTCGTCTTATCAGTGTTCGTCTTATCAGTGTTCGTCTTATCAGTGTTCGTCTTATCAGTGTTCGTCTTATCAGTGTTCGTCTTATCAGTGTTCGTCTTATCAGTGTTCGTCTTATCAGTGTTCGTCTTATCAGTGTTCGTCTTATCAGTGTTCGTCTTATCAGTGTTCGTCTTATCAGTGTTCGTCTTATCAGTGTTCGTCTTATCAGTGTTCGTCTTATCAGTGTTCGTCTTATCAGTGTTCGTCTTATCAGTGTTCGTCTTATCAGTGTTCGTCTTATCAGTGTTCGTCTTATCAGTGTTCGTCTTATCAGTGTTCGTCTTATCAGTGTTCGTCTTATCAGTGTTCGTCTTATCAGTGTTCGTCTTATCAGTGTTCGTCTTATCAGTGTTCGTCTTATCAGTGTTCGTCTTATCAGTGTTCGTCTTATCAGTGTTCGTCCTAACCAGGTTTGACTGTACTATGGTTTCTAACCTCCAAAAGTTCGTTTTTCTCAAAGATTTCGGAGGGTTGCGTGCAATGTGTTACATACAGGAGTTACCTTTGAATCTATCACGTTAGGCGTGAAATCACTGCGCCTAAACTGTACGAAAATTCGAATGCACTTGGATTGGTCGTCATTTTTTTACTGTGTACGAAAGGCAGCGTGCCGCACAGAGCAAGACATCCATAGGTCGGAGATCAAGAGTCACACTCTTAGGAGAGTATTTATAAGAGCTCTGTAGAATACCTCGTTCAAACCAGTGGATGGCTCTTCGTTTGGCGGCTGTTCTGAGTGGTTGTCTTTAGTTGTCTTTTTAGCGTAATCTTCTTCACCTGTTGTCCAGGTCACAGTTTCTGAGTCCAGAGCAGTCGAATCTTCTGTGTCAGTTTGAGGGAATGTGTGATACGGCTGGCTCGTGTCAAGATGTGTGTGTGTGTGCGCTGTGTTGTGAGCGGCATTCTGTTGTGTATTTTCTCCTTGTAGGCATCACCGGCGTCATGCTAATACAAGGAGGAGCACACAGTACAACATTGTGGCCGATTCGGTGAAACTTCACAGCTCTTCTGTGTTGCAGTTTAGCGTGGAAACGCCGCAACGGAAGAATCACCTCGACTGCCAGCTCCATGGACTGGCGCAGAAGACGCTGCGGTTACAGGTGCGCGAGCGTGATCCCATTCGTAAACGCTACGAGGTCGAGGATTCCCTGGCGGCACCGCCTGAGCCTGCCGATGATGGGTTAGTCAGTTACGAGTCCTGGTGACTAGTCCTTTTAGCCTTCTTGAAAGTAGTCTTATCAGAAAATTGTATGCAAGCATGCATGTTGGAGAATGTAATTTCAAGATACTGGTACGTAGTGGCAAGGAATACTAGTACCATGCTGGCTTCCTCGATCACATTCATTGCCCTACTCGAATGCTGTGTATTGCTTGGTGTTGTGGATGCCACAGGCTCCCAATCTCATCGCAAACTGATTCATCGACTGAACTACAGTTTGGCGATGCGACTGTTCATCTCAAGTATGCCCCGGTTTCCTTGCGTGTCAGCGTCAATGGAGTCGACGTCTTGTCACTGAATTCGAAAAAGTTGCTGGAGTTCCGCTCTAGTCAGTCCAGAGAGTGAGTTGTTCACCTGATTATTCATGTGTTACCTCTTCTTTTGCTACAATGTACGCGATTTTATGGGTTTCCCAGGGTGCTTGTGATGTTCCTTTTGCTACTTCTATTTTGTATACTGTAAAACCGGAAAGTCTTCAGCGGGATTCACAGAAGCTTTTTTTGCGATGCGACACGCGATCTGCGATGGACGCGTGCGATGTGAACTCGCGAAATACCATTCACAGAAAAAGTCAGCGATGCGACAAAGTCTTGCTGATTTGGGTACGTCACCATGACATTCGCGCGGTTTGGTACAACTAGTACAAATTTATAGGCAACTCTTGAACCTTTGTACAGCTTTGCTGTAGAAAAGGTCAAAATCGTACGCCAAATCGCTTGTCGCATCGCAAAAGTTGAGCCAAGCTCAACTTCTGCGATGACCCAATTGCGTCAGTTGCGTGGGGTGCAAGATGGCTGCGATTTGGGGATTTCCCGGGTTCGCGGCTGTCGCATCGCAAAAAAGCTTCTGTGAATCCCGCTTAACGAGTCACAAAGTCTAACATTTTAGCGACCAATTATTTTTCGTTATTTTTTGAAAAAAACGTTATCGCTAGATGTCTGTGTAAAGACGCACATACAGATGGGTGGCCAGGTAGTCATCGTTAAACTTTCTGCGCATAATCATGCCAAAATTACAAAAACGTTTAACGTTTTGGTCGTTAAACTTTCCGGTTTTACAGTACATGTGTGGGAATCACGTACAGATACTGATATAATATGATAATCATCTTACCATCTGTCTGTTCTGCCTAGGCAAGCAAGCAAGGCTGCGATCAAAGGGGGCGACTGGGAGGAAACGTTCAAGACATTCAACGATTCCAAGCCGTTTGGTATGTGTGGCCAATGCTGTACTATCACAATTATAGTACAGTAGGTATCGGTTATAGCGTGGGTGTTTGAAAAACGACTTTCTATTCTTATTTCCGATATTTCTTACGCATGATAAATCAAGTGTGGCATATCATATGCATGTGCGCAGGGGCAGGAAGATCATCGTACATGCAACGCAGCATTTCTGTGCATG